ATACAACAATTAAAATATTAAAACATTAAAATATTAAAATGCAACCTCATCACAGGAGGAGAAAGGAAAAAGAAAAAAAGAAATTAACAAGTTGTTAAAAGTTGCAAAAACAAAGAAGCACGGGACTGAGTGAGGGAGAAATTTTTGGAATAACATTATGACTAGCAGCAACAACCGGGAAAAGATAGGCATAATATTTTACAAGGTCAGGAACAAACAATATGGACAGAATAAATGCCACACACAGGAGAAACAAGGATACAGTATTAGATCTTCACTTGTAGTCTTATAAAGCATTTAATGTGTCAACACGAATAGAAGTTATAAACATTGCAGCTATTGTATAAAGGATTACTATTACGACTGGAATGTAATTGAATCAATTAAAATTTTGGAACGCAGAAACAAAGTAAATCATTGAACCATCAATTCTAGCACGCGGGGGGCCACCTAAATTATATAATTTGGTATTTGAATGATTCCTATTAGGAAATGTATTATAATTTGGCATTGATATAATGAGGCTATTATTGGATTATTGTAATTGAAAACTAGTAAAAATTATTATAAAAAAATAGAGTTCTCCCACCTCCTTCCCAAAGCCTAATTGGTGCTTTCTCAGCTTTGAGAAGTGGGCTGGGGAGGCATCAAATTTTGGCCTCACTCCCCCCCAACCCATGCAACAAGACTGCGTTCGGCCCACAGGCTTGGTGTCGATGTGGTCTGCAAACCGGTGTTGGGTGATGTATTGATACATCGCCCAGCCCTAGCCATCTTTAGAGGCAATTTCCACACAGCCAGACTTAGCTGTGCGCAAGCACAACAGCAAACTATCCCAGACGCTACACTCATGTTATGCTTATTTGGACAACCTGAATCCAAGGAGACAAGTGGATGATCAAAAGATGAAGTGTTGCTACTCAATAGTCATCATGTCACTTGGATGGAGAGACTGTGCAGAACTGGTCTCGGTATAGATTAATTTAAGTGGCAGAAGTACAAGACCATTTACGAACAAAATTACTTAGCAACGCAGGCAGCTCTGCTACAACAATTGCTCTCGCTGAAGAGTTGCCACTTCCTTCTGTTTGGGTCTGCAAACCTCTTAACAGCTGGCCCTAGAATAGTACTGCTCAGTTCAATAGGGAGGGGTGTTTGTTTTTGACAGAACATATTGTTATGAGGCCAATAGGCTGCTCTGAGTTCCTTGGAAGATGGGTGGAGAACAATTTGGGGAGGGGGGGGAATAACTGATTTTCAATTTATATCTTCAAGAGTCTATGGGAAACTAAAAAATAAAATCCTGTTGGCAAATGCAATACAGTGGTACCTCAGGTTACATATGCTTCAGGTTACATACGCTTCAGGTTACAGACTCCGCTAACCCAGAAACAGTACCTCGGGTTAAGAACTTTGCTTCAGGATGAGAACAGAAATCGTGCTCCGGCGGCACGGCGGCAGCGGGAGGCCCCATTAGCTAAAGTGGTGCTTCAGGTTAAGAACAGTTTCAGGTTGAGAACGGACCTCCAGAACGAATTAAGTACTTAACCTGAGGTACCACTGTACAAGTAAAGCAGAGCTGAACACCAATGAGTACAGATTTCATTAAAACCTCTAATTCTTGAATAAAATATAAACATCTGCTCAAAATGCTTGATGGAGCAGTATGGTCTTAACTGGCAGCATGTTTATTTCTGGAATCTCTGCACGATGTCTCACATGATACAAGAGACAAGGCTTTCGAGTCATTCATCTCATGGCAAACACGAGTTTCTCCATCTCCATACAGAACCTACAGAAATACTTTACTAACGTTTCACAGTGAAATGTTCTTTGCTACAATTATGCATACAGTAGGTAGATGTCTTTAACCAAGTTAAAAGCCATGAAATTCTTACACAGAGGGGGATGACGTTTATACATTATTATTATTTTAACCAATCGTTTTTTGGAATGTCTTTTGAGTCAATGTTCCCCGTTTCAAAATAAGTTAGGCATTTGGTCTCCCTCGGTGATGTTATTGCCATCAAAATAATGAAACCTGCAACTTAAGCAGGCTTTCTGCACTGCGTTAACTTCATAGTCCTTCATGAAGTCCAACTGAGTTCAATGGTGCTGAAGAAAATAGCAGGATTAGACACCTAGATCTACCTACACAAAGCATGGTGTGAGATCGCCACAAAGTAATGGAAGACATTACATTAAGGCGATTTTTCCTTTGCTACCAAGGAAAAATTCAAATTTCCACACATTTATTTGTACATCTAAAGGCTCAGTGTGTGCTTTTAAAGCTGCTTATAGTTTACAGAAAACAGTACACAGTTAAGTTTAACTGGCTGAAGCAGATACTTATTTTCTAAAAAATACCAAGATGTTAAAATATATAGTTCGCCCTTCAAAGCATTTTCCTAGGAAAATTAACTTCACTAGATACCACACTTTCTCCACAAGGCCATTATCAAAGAGTGAAAAGAACTGCAGAGACGACTCCAGTAGGCCAGTAAAGAACTTCTTGTGACAATTATTTTAGAGACCAGCGAAGTCTCTTCGCTTGACTTTTCCAAATGAACTAGCAAGGGTCAGACAGCAATTACCTACAAATGTAGTAGGCATCCTATGGTCCCAGTTGCAAAAGATGCTTCTAGAATTCAGTAAGGTCTCTTCTTCCTTTGTAAATGCTTTATTTTGAAAGGCACCCATTGGTTCTGCTCGCTTGACAAGCCTTTAAAACCTAAAGTCAATTTATTTATTTATTTATTTCATTCATGGATTGCTTCCTGTGAGGTATCCTGAAGTGATATACAATATAATAACATACATAAAAGTTGCATCGATAAAAACACTTGTAACAATTGTGTATAGGAATATAGAAACCATTTAAAGCAACATAAAATCAGTTGAAATCCAAGGCAGATACCAACTGGGATTAAGGTTTTAGAAGACTTGAAGAGGAACGTCTTTGGCAAGTACCAAAATGACAAGAGAGAAGGTGGCTGTCTGATATGCATTGGGAGGGAGTTCCAAAGGGTAGGTACCCCTACATAAAGTCCTGATTCGGATATCATGTGGAATGGACCTCCTGATAAGATGGTTAGGTGCAAGCTGTCTTCTCCTGCAGAACACAGTGAGCTCATCTTTAAAGTACCCTGGCCCCAAGCTGTAGAGCATCTAAATCAGTGCCTTGGGGACAGGTACAAGGTAACAGCACCACTACTTTCTCCATATATGCCCACCTCAGTTCTGTACTACAGCACCAGGAGACACCAGACAAGATGGACCACAGGTCTCAAGCAGGATGCTAATGCCTAATATTTTATGTGCCATCTCTGTACAAATATACATAAATTGTCCTACAGAGTTGAGGAGTGCATGAACTCTAAATGTGGGAAGAGTAACCAGTCATTTTAAAGATTGCTTCAGATTACTTTAAAATGCTTTCATGCTGCCCGTGACGTTTCACAAAAGAGCTGTACATAAGCTTTTATAATAAGGGCTGCACACAAAACTCCATGTTTACATATCCTGTCCATTGCATGCACAAAACTGGCCCCAACCATTACATCCATTCACAAGGGAGATCTGCGTATACTGATGAAAGCATGCAGTTTGAATGCAAGCGAAGACTAGAAAACAGGATTTTCTTATGGAAGGTGGCCACAATATCACACACTCCTGTATGGTCAATTCCCTTTCTAGGAGCGAGTTCCTCCCATTTCATCACAACTGCAGCTAAGGAATATATTGGCACCAGTTTAGCAGAAGCTAATCAGTTTATTTAACCTGACCATGAAGCTGATTAAAAAGAAACGAGTTAGCCTTGGCTGTGGTTAAAGGAAGGGAGTTTGCTTTGGATGGGAGCACATAATTCTGCCTTTGGTTCTCTTAAAAGACAACTTTAAGGAAGGCCAGTTACGGTACATCTTTACCAATCTTGCAAGAGGCTTCCTCCTGAATATTACATTTTGTTTCGGGATCATTTAAACCTGCAACCCGATGCACAGTGAACTGATGTGATAGTACGATTTATGCCCACACAGAGAGATGAAAACAAGTTAGTACACTAAGTGCCTCAACCGTTCTTCCATATTTGCTTTGTTTCGTTAATTAGACCCAATATTATTAAGTCCTGGCTGTATAGAAAGCTGTATACAGAAAAAGTACAATAGGTGCATACCTGAAGAGGAGATTTGTGATGGCATCGTGTGGTCACTGGGTTGGACTATGGCTGAATCCTGGTGATAAAAACAGGAGCGAAAAACCCCCAGAACAGGCAGCTCTGGGAGCTTGCAGGGCTGGGGTCGGGGGAAGTCTGCCGCCAGCCTCCAAACCACGTCGGGAGACAGCGGGATGGCGCGCTGCGCCTCCCCGCTGTCCCCAGAGCTTGTGGGGCTGGTGGCGGGGAGAAGGGGGCTTCTCCCCACCGCCAGCCTCCAAACCAGGTCGGGGGACAGCAGGATGGTGGCGTTCCGCCTCCCCGCTGTCCCCCAGCTTGTGGGGCTCTCCTGAAGCCTGGAGAGTGAGAGCGGTCGGTGCGCAGCGAAAGCCTGCATTCGCCCCATAGGACGCACACACATTTCCCCTTCATTTTTGGAGGGGGAAAAGTGCGTCCTATAGGGCGAAAAATACGGTATTTCCCAAAGAGCTTTTCACTCCTGCCTTCGTCACCAAGATGGAATTGAAACCAGTGACTACATGATGCCAGTGACTACATGATGCCAGTAATAAATCTGCACCAGTAACAGTAAACATTTGTCAGAAAATCCTTGCATCATTAAGTAAACTGTCAAATGAATTAAAAGCCCATATTAAATTAGGAGACTTGTTTGAGAAATGAAGTACAACTGGAGAGTTTATATTTAACAAAGCACAATATATTTAAAAAACCCCTCATGTTTCCACCTAAGGATTAAGATAGAAATATACAACATCTATTCATCTGGAATAGATTTTAGTATCCTGTTTTTTTAAAAAAAACCAACACCACCTCAGGTATAAAATTAAGTTTCAGAAATGCCAGTAACTTTTAATTCATAATTTAGTTGCCAACTTAAAGAACATGTTACATATTTTTAAAAGTACTTTTCATTGAGATAACAATCAGAAAGTGGATGAAAACTGATCTAATATTGCAACTGTACAGAGGTGAAGGCCCTCGGCCTGCATTAGATAAAAATGCCATAACAGATCTGAATGTTGGGGGGTGGAAATGCTACACTGCAGGGGTAGCCAACGTGGTTCCCTCCTGATGTTTGGATTACGACCTCCACACTCCCACACCCCACGATCACTGGCCATGCTGGATGGGGCAGATGGCAGCACAACATCTGAAAAGCACTGTGTAGGTAACCCCTGCTATGGTGAAATACATTTAAGAACCAAATATATTTCATTCAGGCTGCCTGCTACTAAAATAACATTGTTCCTGGAAAGGATTAATATGCAACACTACAGTCACAACTTGGAAGTCGAACAGAATCCGTTCCAAAATGTTCAGAAACCAAAGCGTGGCTTCTGATTGGCTGCAGGAAGTCAGACGTTCGGCTTCCAAAAATAGTTTGCAAACCGGAACACTCACTTCTGGGTCTGCGGCATTCAGGAGCCAAAACGTTCGAGAACTAAGCTGTTCGAAAACCAAGGTATGACTGTACTAGAATGGAAGTAGTGAAACCAGTATGTTCTTGCACAACACGAAAATGTTTCTATTTAAACTGAGAAGAGTTCAGCAATTATCATGTTGCCTAAAGTGCTGAGGTATAAAAAGTTCGCTCGCCAAAATGTCCCCATCTATCTTTTAAAACACATTCGGTCCAATGTTAACCTGGCAACCCTATAGCCAAAAGGACAAAAATAGAGAGAGAGGAACATATTTATCCCCCACCCCGGAACATAATAAAATGTAGAACTCTGTGGCTTGGATTCAAAGAACCATGAGTGGAAGCAGAAAATGAATCAGGGCTGATCCTTGAACTTTCACCCAAGCAGTAGTGGAAGTACTGTGCCACAATGTATCTGAAGTGAATGAAATTTAGGCTATGACATAGAAACTCTGATGGGCCATAAGAAGGTATTGAGAAGTTTCTGCAGAGGCTTCTGCAGATGGAAAAAGCTGCTCCGGATTTGGAATCACTTCCCTTTTGGAACAATGGAATCGGCTCAAGACATTTTGCTGCCCGACGTGAAAGACAAGAGGGCACCCAGCCCCACATTCCTGTTAGCCATTCTACATATACAAGTCAATTTGATTTCCTTTAACTTTGGCAACAGCGCAAGCAGCCTCTACTGCACCTGATGGCAGCAGGCTAGCTTAGGGGGTGCAGGAGAGGCCCTCTGGCACACAGATCATGGCATCTCCTGAGCAGCAGCCTAACTCAACCTAATTATAGTGGTCATAGAATCATAGAATCATAGAGTTGGAAGAGACCACAAGGGCCATCGAGTCCAACCCCCTGCCAAGCAGGAAACACCATCAGAGCACTCCTGACATATGGTTGTCAAGCCTCTGCTTAAAGACCTCCAAAGGAGACTCCACCACACTCCTTGGCAGGAAATTCCACTGTCGAACAGCTCTTACTGTCAGGAAGTTCTTCCTAATGTTTAGGTGGAATCTTCTTTCTTGTAGTTTGGATCCATTGCTCCGTGTCCGCTTCTCTGGAGCAGCAGAAAACAACCTTTCTCCCTCCTCTATGTGACATCCTTTTATATATTTGAACATGGCTATCATATCACCCCTTAACCTCCTCTTCTCCAGGCTAAACATGCCCAGCTCCCTTAGCCGTTCCTCATAAGGCATCGTTTCCAGGCCTTTGACCATTTTGGTTGCCCTCCTCTGGACACGTTCCAGTTTGTCAGTGTCCTTCTTGAACTGTGGTGCCCAGAACTGGACACAGTACTCCAGGTGAGGTCTGACCAGAGCAGAATACAGTGGTACTATTACTTCCCTTGATCTAGATGCTATACTCCTATTGATGAGGCCCAGAATTGCATTGGCTTTTTTAGCTGCTGCGTCACACTGTTGGCTCATGTCAAGTTTGTGGTCAACCAAGACTCCTAGATCCTTTTCACATGTACTGCTCTCAAGCCAGGTGTCACCCATCTTGTATTTGTGCCTCTCATTTTTTTTGCCCAAGTGCAATACTTTACATTTCTCCCTGTTAAAATTCATCTGTTTGTTTTTGCCCAGTGGTAGCACTCAATTCTGTGAATGGAACAGGCTTTTTGTTAGTGGAAAAGCAACTCTCTCTCTATGTATTTGTGTGTGTGTGTGCATAAATTTTTAGATATATACCCACACCAATATATCTAGCATACATTTTCAAAACAGTGGTGGCAGTCATTTGAAGTCATTTCTTTCTGCACATACAATTTTCATAAGTGTCCAGTTGGTTAGTAACAATAATGGCTGAATTGATTAACCAAACACTGAAGAAAGATACACTGAAAGCATAACCAAGAAATACTTTTAATTTCCTGGTGATTTCTCATATTCGGGGAGGAAACTATTAACAAGAAACAGACTAACTGTCAATGGTCTATCGTATTTGGTTTTACCAAAACAGTAAATGTACAATTCCCTCACAAAAAAATCAAGGATGGGAGGAAATATTTTAATTGCAAAATAGGAAAACTGATATCTAACATTAACTTACAATGTTTTACATTCTTAAATAGTCTGGATCCAGCCCATTAAGGAAAAGTTAGTTATACCTAGCTCCCATTGAAATCAATGGAGTTAAGTTAATAATGTCTTAACCTAAGTGCAACTAACTTAATCTGGATAAAACTCATTTTTTAAACAGTTCTCATAAGAATATCTGCAAATGAAATGTTGTGAAACAATCTAACAGGTATTTTCTAACAAAAATCTGAAAAATAAAACTGGCAAAATGTACAGGAGACCTATACAGCTACCTTATCTTTAATATATCCAATATTGTTCCAGTGCTGGGTTCCTCTGCTGGAAACCTTTGGTAATGGCTGGTAAATTGCCCTTACAAACGTGTGCCGCAAAAGGATTCCATAAAAATAAAATGTCCGTATCTATTATATTTACAGTCCTCCTTTAGACAATGGCATATTGTTCATATAAAAGGCCTCTAATTTTATAGAAATCTTCACAGAGACAGCCCTCCAATCCAATGCGTCCAGTTTCAGTCTGCAAGAAAACATGTTACATCCAATTACTTAGAGACTGTACAGAGATTTGCTATGATTGGCACATAAAAGCAAGCAAACACACACACATAGAGAGAGCGCTTACCCTGCGAACAGCCACCAAGTTGTTACATACGAGAACCCCTCCTACAAATTCAGCTTGAATTCCTTCTCGCAAGAGAACTTGCTTAAAATCAGACAGTCGTGGCTCATTCATGAAGACAGACTGATGTCCAAGAACCTTTTTGAAGATGCAAAACAGAAGTTAATTGACAGATTTAGAAGGGGGAGAAGAGTGAAAGATGAAAATACAAGCATCAAAATCATTTCATATTATAAGTGGTAAGATTCAACCACAAGTAAATGAGATCATGTGCAATCTACCCATTTAACAATTATGTCCTGTGTTGGATTCACAGGACAAAACCCACTAGGAATCTGTACCCCCCAAAGACCTCAGTGCAATGCATGGAACTCCCATAAGACCATAAGCACCACAGAAGTGCCCAGTGCTTTGTACGAACAGCATAGCTGTCAGCTTTTCCCTTTTCTTGCAAGGAATCCTATTCAGAATAAGGGAATTTCCCTTAAAAAAAGGGAAAAGCTGACAGCTATGCAACAGTCCTTTCCACACTTCATGGCACAATTAGAAGACTAAAGTTCTGCTTTCAGACTTGCAACTGTGTGCAGGAGAAGATGATCATTATTATTCTCATCAGTTTATTAATCGCCTTCTTAAAAACTGTGTGATTTACACATAATATAATTAAAAACAGTCAAAAACACAAAAACAGCAAATGCATTTAAAACCAGACAGAACAAGCTGGCCATTCCTGGTTTTGATAAATAGCAAGGTAGCTTATACACAATCATGCTGTTTATCATATGTTCATGAAGTAAACTGATTCTGTACTGTTTTGTGTAATTTATTTGACTTTGCAATATGAGAATTTTTTTAAAAGTCACTTCATAGTCACAAAAGAATCAAAGCTGAGTGCAAAACAGAAATCAATATATAATACAATGTATTAATAAGCAAATAAAAGCCTATTAAATTAAATTAAAAACAAGAGCATTATTGTGTTCCAAAATCAACAGTAACCAGACAAGGATTATCCTTCTGGGAGGCCTGGTGGAATAAAAAATTATTGAAAAGCTGCTGAAATCCCAAAAGTGTCAGCTTCTGTCTGATGTCAAATAGAAGTGTGTTTCATAACACTGAGGCTGCTATGCTAAAAGTCCTGCTGCACCATGTCGCCAGAGCAGAACTCAGGGCTATATAAGAATACAAGTGCCTCTCCCAATTACTGTAGTGATTGCACTGATATATAAGGGCAAGGCCATTTATCAAGTACCCAGGCTCCATACATAAGAGCTCAATAAATAAATAAATAAATCCCTGAATTCTAACACTGAAGAACATGAGTCACTTGGTAAAGGTAAAGGGACCCCTGACAATTGCGAACGACTCTGGGGTTGTGGCGCTCATCTTGCTTTACAGGCCGAAGGAGCTGGTGTTTGTCCGCTTCCGCACACAGTTTTTCCGGGTCATGTGGCCAGCATGACTAAGCCGCTTCTGGCAAAACCAGAGAAGCACACAAAACCACCGTTTACCTTCCTGCTGGAGCGGTACCTATTTATCTACTTGAACTTTGATGTGCTTTCGAACTCGTAGGTTGGCAGGAGCTGGGACCAAACAACGGGAGCTCACCCTGTCACAGGATTTGAACCGCCGACCTTCTGATCGGCAAGTCCTAGGCTCAGTGGTTTAACCCACAGCGCCACCCACGTCCCTTAACCATACTTGGTAGTCCCACTGAAATAGATATATCTCAGTTGGTTAACTCTTAAGTGTATCTTATTTGGATATCAAGAATCTCCTCTGCATACAAGGTAACAATGCAAAGCAATATTTATGTGGGCTGTTTATATCCCACCCAACTTGCAGAGAAGTAAATAAAAGCTTTGCTTTTAGAATGGGAGGTGAAAGATGAGGAGGTGAAAGAAGTAATGATTAAGTGAGCAAAATATCTGGGTAAAATTATCCAACTTTCAGCATGGGAAAGATTATGGAATAAGGAATGGAAATTTATGGCCTGTTATACATTAAAGGAAAATCTTTTGAAGACATTCTACAGGTGGTATATAACTCCCAGCAAACTATCCAAAATGTACAAAACGTGATCTAATACTGGCTGGAGGTGTAAACAGGCAGAAGGGACACTTCCACATGTGGTGGGGTTGCAAAAAAATAAATAAGACCTTTTGGGATATGAGGAATTGAAAAAAAAGTTTATGCAAACCTTCATAAAGAAACCAGAAGCTTTCCTTTTGGGTATTGTAGATTCAGATATCCCAAACGAAATATTCTTATGAATATTCTTATATGCTACAACTGCAGCAATAATATTAATAGCTAGAAATTGGAAAAGTGAATTAATACCAACAAAAAAAGGAATGGCAGGATAAATTATTTGAATATCTCAAATTGGCAAAAATGACAGAGAAAATTAGGAGACAGCCTAACCAAAAGTTCCAAAAGGAATTGGAAATTCATAGAGATTACTTAAAAAAACTATTAGTATGTTGAAAACAATAGAAATGATGAAATGATAAAAGAAGCAGTTTAACAAACAGACAAAACGGACCTGCTTTGAGGAAGACGGAAGTCTGTCAGAGAAGAAAAGGAATTGGGAATAAAGAATATGGTGACATAAGACAGTGTAAGAACTTATGGATTTATGGTTGTATGTATGCTTCTTGTTGTTGTTTTTTGTCATTTTATTATTTTGGTTACTTTATTGTATGTGTTCATCAAGTAAGAAAACTAATAAAAAGCATTAAAAAAAAAAAGCTTAGCTGAGGAACTAGTTTTTCTACCTCATTCGGTGGCAGGGGTTCCAAAGTAGGAATGATCTCACTTTCCTCGCATATTTCTTTGTCATCATCTCCAAAAAGACTCTTGATGGCCTTCTGCTGTGCAACAGCACTAGAATCCGACGAGGGTGCATCCACTTGCATCTCTGTATCTTCTCCATCATCTCTCAGTTCCCCTTCTTCCAAAATCACCCCCGTGTCCACTTTTGATACCCGCATGTCCAGGACTCCATCTACCCATGCCAGTTCAGCGTCTTTGGCTTTACAAAACTGAAGGGAACTGACCAGCGAGTCCTTTAACCTGACCTAATCACAAATAAATATATAAAATATATACTGAAACAGATGAACCACAGAGTCTGTTTTATATACATTAAATTCAGTATCATTACATGCTTGGAGTCAACAGGAAGCCACGCTGTTAAGAAGAGAACTTTATGGTCAGCGTATCATAGCACTTTTATAATCATGGTACTAGTGTGGGGGACAAAACAGCTCAGGGAGGAAATAAGTAAGACTTTCCAAGAACGTGGAAATAAATGGTGAAATTTGGACAAGTAGACTAGCAGTAAATCACATAACGAAACCAAAAGTTTTTGTTCCTAGTGTTATGGGCATAAGACTTTTATGCAATTTTGGGCATGTATACTTTAATTATCATTTCCACCACCAAGTTATCTTGATGATTTACAAGTTGTGTTTCTTGTTGCATATAGGCAAGATTTTTCCCCAGTCTTTGCAACTCATTTTCTTCTGTATAATGGAGTCAGGTACACAGCTGTGTACCAACAGCAACCAGCTACTTAGAGGCTCCCAAAGAAAATACCATATAGGGGACTTTGAGAAGGGGGAAAACGGCTTGAGGTGAAAAGCTTGTGTTAGCTTTGTTCTCACCAAAGGAAATGCAGCTACACAGACACACAGACACAGACACAGACACACACACACACACACACACACTTCCTTATTCTTGAATAGAATACAGCAGCCTTGCAGGTTTATGCAAAACCCTTTTCTAGCCCACAAAGTGTTAACTATCGTCTCTCAATAAACCAGCACGTCACAGGCAAGCATAAACAGTATTTCTGATTAGGTACTTGATTAGAAGGAATTAGTACTTCCACTGCAGGTTGGCTAGTTGTTATTCTTATTTTTATTTATTTGATTTATATACCACCCTTCCTCAAAAGATCTCAGGGAAGTTCATAATATTAAATTAAATACAAGCTAGGAATACAACAATAAATACAAGTTTTTATGAGGATAGTTGCCAATTATTATTATTTTTACCCAATTCTACAATCTTACCTGGTATATGTGAGTCTCACTGGTTGCATCTATGGTTTCATGCAATTTAGGCATGTATACTTTAATGTCCTTTCCACCAAAAGCTCTACAGGATTCTGCAAGATCTTGGCTGGCCTCAGGGGGCCCATGGACAATGATCAATTGCCGCGGCTTCATCTGATTAATTATTTTCTTAATGGAGTCCCCATCTGAGCGCCCTTCATAGTCTATGTATGTAACACGAGCTCTAAAATGCAACGTAAGGAGAAAAACAAGTTGTTTTTTGTAGCTGCAAAATAATATGCAAGCAAATAATGCAAATAATATGCAAGCAAAGCATTCCCTTGAGAAAAAGTTTGGAAATGTTCACAATTCATTCTGCTAAACAGGGTTAGGTTGGCACCATTACTGAACTTTAACAGAATGATTCAACATTTCACTTCAAAGGGGGCTTTGTTTTCTTAATATGTACATTATGTTGTTAAACATATAGAATAAGCCATCAACACAATTTCTTTCATATATCTTTGAGCGTGAAAATCTAGATGGTGTGATCTGATAAGATTAGGAATGGGGAATTTTTTCCAGCCCAAGTTATCAGGCAGTCTCAGTTGGTAAAAGGTGACAGATTGCAATGAACTAACCATCACTACTCATCTGCCAATAGCGCCCTCCAGCTGCAACTAACAATAAGACACTCACTTTATTTCCATTGATTCTGTTGCTGAAATGCATTTGGTCGGAACATCTGATAAATCCTGGTCCATAGGTTCCTCTCCATTTGTAAGTCCAGATTCTAATTTGTTCTTTTCTTCTTCTGTTGCCTGAAGTTCTGGAACGAGGAAATCCTCTGGTCTAAACAAAGGATTGTTGTCAATTCTTAATTAGGGGAATGCTAAGGAAACATCTATGGTGAAGGAAGACAATATACGTAATAGCTATTCTCTAAATGAAGAGAAACAGATTTAACAACATCAAAGCTCAAGAACGGACCACTGATACGCATCCAGAAATCTAAGGAAGAGGCTCAACAAATGTCCTTTTAAAGAAAGTTTTGCCGATTTTGGAATTATATTGAAAAATATGCATTCTTTGCGGCATATTTTAAAAGGAAGATAAGACATCTGGAGGTTCGTGGGTTTCACATCCCTGGTTGAATGCGAATGAGCAATGTACTAGTGCCTGCTGCTCCAAAGTCCTGACTTAGCCATGCCAGGGAGGAAACAAATCAGATAACTTAGCTTTATACACAAACCAGCACTCATTGTTTGTTTCTCTCCAAACAAGCTATGAACGGAAGCTAGGGTGGTTTGTTCTTGGCTTACTGCTTCAGTGTAGTTTTTGTGTGATTATAGTACTAGCACTTGGGAATAAAGGCAACTGGTGTATACTAGGTCAGAGCACTGGCACTGGCACATCCGGTGCCTGGGGTAAAATCCTAAGAAAACCTCAACAACTTCAATCAATCCTTAAAAAAGCTCAACAACTTTGGGGTAAAATCCTAAAAAAAGTAATCAACTATAATCCTAAAAAAAGTAAACAACTTCGGTTGGCCCTTTGGTCAGCCCTCACTTCATTAAATCTGGCCCTCTCTGAAAAAAGTTTGGACACCCCTGCTCTAGGGTTTCAGACAGGAATATTGCCCAACCCTACCTGGAAATACTAGGGAATGAACCTGATTGCAAGGCAGATGCTCTGCCAATGAGCTATGGCCCTCTGTTTGGGGGAAGCAAACCACAAGCGCTGGTTTGGACATAACATTAAGCCAGCCTCTGATTTGCTCCCCCCGCCCCCAGCCCAGCCCGGCAAGTCAGGAGTGGAGTGGTGAATTCTGACTAGAGTAGACAGTAATGTAGAACCTATGGACCTTCAGATGTTGTTAAGACTCCAACTTCCATCAGCCCCAGCCAGAATAGCCAACAGCCAGGGATGATGGGAGTTATAGTTCAGCAACATCTGGAGAACCACAGGCATGGCATCCCTGGATTAAACCATATTAACTATGGTTTGCCATCCCTGGTTTAATGTTAAGTGTGAACCAGGCAAACGTTCAATTCTCTTACTTTTAGCACAAGGAAATAATAAAGAACTTAAAGAACCCAGACAATAAAAGATCAATTAGAGTAAAGCAAAGCAGTACACAGCTTGATATACTCTCTTTAGATATAACAAACATTAAATATCTAAAGAGATGACCTCTCAACTTAATGACCATAATTCAGTGTTGTACATTCTTAAATACTATTAGATGCCCCTCAAACCAGTGTGTGTGTGTGTGTGTGTGTGTGTACACACAGATAATTGCAACCTAAACAGAAAAACTGGAATCATCCAGACAATTATCAATGTCGAGAATCTAGTCAGGGATATCTGGAATTTCAACTCTGCACATAATCTTTGTTTTTCCTCTTGGTATGCCTCAGTGAGGCTCCCACCTGAAAGGCTCCCCTAAATTTAAAATGGCCACCTATTACCTTGGCGCACATTTAATTTTAAACACTAATTATTATTAACACTTATTATAATATTATCTCTTCTCTCCCACGTACTTGATAATCTCTCCATATTCATCCCATTTAATTCTCTCTTCTGGAGCTGGAAACATAGGGTAGGACTTTTTGGCCTGTTTGAAGAAGCTTCCTTTGCGGTTGCCTTCACCTTTCATCATAAGGTCATGCTTAGTTTTATGAACAGATGGTTGATCAACGTCCTCTTCAGCATCACTGTCATCGCTGGAATCAATATCTGCTCTAGAATGTGAGCCGAAAATAGAGTTTCATATAAACACAAGGCAAACAACACCAAAATATTATACTTCTATTCCAATCTTACAAAGTTTGGAGTGGTTCCAGGACTCTTGTCATCTGAAGACACCAGCTTAACAACCACTTAGTTCTAACAACACTACAGTACTGGGTGCTCATAGGCCCATATAGATCTATACCATTAAAAGAAGAGTATTGTGGAACATAATGGTTGAAGTTAACTGTTACGAGGAGTTGCTACTTATCTTGGGAAGCGTCAGTTTCAAGACGACTTATGATACTGCCGGAAGGCATTTATGACTGTAAGTTTCACTGAGGTTACATCAAATAAGCTTAGAATTGTTTAAAGTGTTTTTTCCTTGGTGCTGTAGAAATGGCAAAGTAGCAGTATTTGAGTATTTGCTCAAAAGGCCATTTGCAACCACCACAGGTACTCACTCTTTGGACTGTTCTAACTTTTTGGCCGCCTCTTTCTTCAGTTTTTCTTTCTCCAGGTATTCCTCAAGTTCCTTCCCTTCCAGTTTCACTCTTTTCCTCAGCTAAAAGAAAAGCATGTGCAAATAAGGGGCATGTTTGCTGACATAAGTGGCAACCTTTTATCAGGAGTTCTCAACACATTTCCTAAAGAGTGATAAACATTATAGATTCGAGTAGAAACATCAGAACACCAGAAGGCATCCTATTTGCAATGTCACATATTTGAAAAACGCAAAGTTTAATCTAATAGTTGGTCTTCAAGATGAATCTTCCACATCCACTGGCATTCATCTGTCTTGGGAGACAATGAAAAAGTGTGCCTTCTTTGTAATAAAAAAATAGCTGAACAATTAATGGAAAATCATGCACATTTCCAAACATATGTCTGGTGCATGCAAACATTACTGTCTTAAGTATCCACATGGAAAAAAATAATGCTCAAAACAGGCCTAAAAGTTCCCAAGTGTTGTCACATATTTTTATAATCTTACTAAAACACTATTTTACCATACATGATTTTACTCGTTTTCTTTAAAGAAGTGAGGGGGAAAGAGTATTTCCTTCTCATCAAATGAATAAAGATGGGTATTCTTTTCATCAGTATTTTCCCTTGGTAATATAAGCAAGGGAACATAAGTTGGTCAACATAAGCAAGCAAAATTCCCGCGACGGTTAGTATGACTGCAGTCTCCTCGAACAAATTTTCTTACCTCTATATCTGTAACTTTTTCAGAGGGATGATCTATTAGGAAACGTGCTAGTGTGCCAGGAGTAGTTCTATATGTTAAAATTATAGAGTTTTTAGGATCCTGGCACCATTGTATGAAGAGATCTCTTGAAAACCCACATTCCAGATCTGGTTGGCTGGCAAGGACAACTTTGGGACTAGGAACCCGCGCCAAATCTGCAAGCCCGTGACAGAGAGAGAGATGACGAAACTGAAAAGGATTGTTCCTCTTATCCTCAAAGCATCTCATCAGTTTGTCGCTCATCCATTCAACCTGTAGGTAGGAAGGGGGGGAAAGCAAGTTGTACTGAGTTGCAACACCTATGTAGCAAAGAGTGCTTAAATGGTGCTTAAATAGTACTTGCAAACATATGAAACTACCTAATATGGCATCAGACTACAGTTGTACCTTGGTTTTTGAACAGCTTAGTTCTCAAACGTTTTGCCTCCTGAATGCCACAAACCCGAAAGTGACTGTTTCGGTATGCAAATTATTTTTGGAAGCAAATGTCCAACGGGGCTTCTGATTGGCTGCAGGAGTTTCCTGCAGCCAATGAGAAGCCACGCTTTGGTTTCTGAACGTTTTAGAAGTCGAATGGACTTACGGGACGGATTCCGTTCCACTTCCAGGGTACGACTGTACTAGTCTACATGCCTTAAGCACTTTCTACTCCAACTGGCTACCCCAAGTCACAGTGTTAGAAGGACTTTCCATTTATACTATCAGCTTTTCTCCTTGATCTTAAGTTATCCAATGTGGGATAATATAAATACCTGTTCTGTATTTGCACGATTCAGGTGGTTAGCAACACAGTGTTGCTGTAAAATACTATGGACATGGGCAAAGGCTTGATATAATTACAGAAGTCAGTCTAATATTCTGCTATCAAAACCAACCTGAGATTTTGAGAATTCTACAACATTGTAGCTGACATTATTTAAAAGTGCTAAAGAGTAGACTCCTAAACCGGCATCTTTTGTCCTCCATATTTGATCAAGCAGTTGGGCAAGTTCCAAAACTCTGCCTGCAGTGTCCACAGCTATTAGGACATTTCCATCACCTCTCAGTGTTTCCAAGACATTTGCTGGAGAAAAGAAAACAATGTATTAGTTTTGTGGCAGCATTTGAATCCTAATTCATATGTATATAAATCATTTCCTTTTAATAGTCAGAGGAAAACCCTATTAGCATAAGGGTTATATTTTTATCTACACGTGGCTTCCAAATCAGATTCTAATTAAATAATGGTAACTGCTTTCTCAAAAACAATATAATTTCACATCACATTACATTAAAATTGGATAAGTTTTTAAAAAATCATATTCACAACTCCATATTCAGGAAATAGTTAAATACTCCAAATTAAATTATTTTCCGCAATCATTTTTTTTTAAAGAAAAGAAATGTTTTTACACACTTCCTAGAACTCTGTAGGGAGTCTTAGAGTTCACCAGTGGCGTAACGTGGGTTGTCAGCACCTGGGGCAAGGCAAGTAATTTGCGCCCCCTAACCCGTGGATTTGCGCACCCTAACCCTAACCCCCAGACGTTGCGCCCGGTGCGGCCGGCCCCCCCTGCACCCCCCACACTACGCCACTGGGCTTCACCATATGATTTATTTATTGAATGCATTTATTTAACATATATATCTATTTATTTAAAATATAACACTTGACCCACAATAGAGAACTCCCTAGAATGTCTCCAGATTAATCTTAATTCCTGAAAAAGAGGGAATTTACAAGCAGTTGATTTTAATGTAGTGCATTAAAGGCTTTCTTTGAACACACACACAAAATATGCAATTTCAAATTAAAGTTATAATCCTCTTAAGCTGTTAATTTTCTAGAAATCTATTCAACTGGGGTGTGTGCATGGGTGTGTCTGAAACTCACAATTTTATCCAAAGAACAAGACTATTTTTTCTCCTTTTTCTTATAATATTTATGAACACCACATGGAAGCTAGGTTTTAAAATTCTATTAGAAACTGAATTTTCCCAGCTGCTATGGAAAAATACATACTTAGTAGCTGTTCGTCTCTTTGTTTCCGTCGTGGCTGTACATAAGTAGCATTAAAGGAATCAGTGATAAGCAAGGAAGGCCTGCTTAGCATTTCCAGGGAACATCCATTCAAATGGCTAAAAGAGAAGTTACATCAAACAATTGCAGTGCTTTAGTTAAAGAAAGGTGATGATATAATTATAATTGTAGCAGAAATTTTCTATGACGTTAGCTTACGTAACAACCAAATTTGCTATCAGTTTAATCACAAGTACAGTGGTACCTTGATTGTCGAACGGCTTGGCTCCTGAACAAATCAGCTCCCGAACGCCGCAAACCCGGAAGTGAGTGTTTTGGTTTGCAAATGTTTTTCAGAAGCCAAACGTCCGACACGACTTCTGATTGAGTGCAGGAAGCTCATGCAGCCAACTGGAAGCCGTGCCTTGGTTTTCGAACAGTTCCGGGAGTCAAAAAGACACCTGGAACAGATTAAGTTCAACAACCAAGGTCCCACTGTGCATGTCATACAGCATGATTTATGTAGCGTACATTAAAACCTAGTTTTGCAGGCAGAATCAGTAAATTGTTACCGCAAGGCATCTAAAATAGACATTTGGTGATATCCAACCTTGCACAAGTAATTTTCTGCTTGTGCAATGGGACTTCACCTGCCCTCTCCTTCCTTCTGCAGCCCCTCCCACCCTTGCATCAATCTGCTCTGGAGGGTCCCTCAACACTGGAGAAAATTTCAAGGATGAACATGGGAGGAGAGCAAGTCCTGTTGCACAAATGGAAGTCCATTGCGCTAGCGGACAGACACCACTGGATGACACCTAATGAAAATATGGGCAGAAAAGCCAAGCAGAGAACAGGATATGGAAGGATCGGTGTAACTGACACACCGAAGTGTTTTAATCTATTTGCTTAGGGTAGAATCCAAGGAAACGCTAAATTAACATTCTGCCTCTGGAACAGAATTGAGAGCACAGGCACAGAGGCAGGGAGCAGGGTGAGGTGGGCTGTCATGTTGTGCAAGCAGAAATCCTTGTGCTAACAGGATGGGTTAACTGAGTACTGTCCTTAAAAATGAACAAAACTACTATAATCAGACTGCAAATCATAGAATCATATAACTGTAGAATTGGAAGGACTTCTCCTTTCTGCACTTCTTCTTGTTTCTCATCAGCCTTCAGTGACAACAAGCAAGATGGCAATTTGAACTGAGCAAAAGTCTATGTTCCATAATTTTTAAAAGTAAGAATATATATTGAGGGATTTGCACTCATTCTCATTTAAGGATCTCAGCACTTATGAATGTACAGTGGTACCTCGGGTTAAGAACTTAATTTGTTCTGGAGGTCCGTTCTTAACCTGAAACTGTTCTTAATCTGAGATACCACTTTAGCTAATGGGGCCTCCTGCCGCCGCCGCGCCGCCACCACGCAATTTCTGTTCTCATCCTGTTCTCATTCTTAACCTGAGGTACTATTTCTGGGTTAGTGGAGTCTGTAACCTGAAGCGTCTGTAACCTGAAGCTTCTGTAACCCGAGGTACCACTGTACTTCTTAAGCTATAATTTTATAATTTACTGGTCGCCCATTTCCTCATTTTCACTCAGAAAAAAATAATTCTGTTCCATATGCCTTATTCTTAGTTTCTTTTTTTAAAATCAGCTGTGAACATTCCTAAGTGTAAAAATAGCATTGTAATAAAACCCACAAAGAGTATTTAGAACATAGCAGCTTCCTATAAATAAAACCCAATCTACGACTCTCCATGTGAATCATACAAACTTGCATACGCAAATTTTGGGATTTACATCTGTACTTAGAACATGGGTAACACTATAACAGTACTATTGATAGATGTACCAACTCATTTCAAGAAATTCAATATAAGAGACTGCTCCTCTCTCATGCAGTAGGGCAGTTTATTTTTAAATGGGATTTAAGGAAAGTGGTTTTGATTGTTTAGGATTTGTCTTAAAACAGATAGCTAAAAATGGCATTTGCCGCTATCTAGAGAATCTTCAAGCTTTTCCCAGCCATGTTACATTTCAAAATATTTTTAAAGCTTTGAGTCTTGAAATTAAAAGGGGGTTGTTTATTTCTCCAGTGAACTTTGATATTATAACCCATGTCCACCCAATCCTTGCCACAAACTAGGAGACACTAAAAATTCTTGTTAATGATTCAGACCTGTAAATAATCACTTATCTACAGGGACAGGAATATTTTGCAAAATAAAGATGAGCTGGTTCTTCTTTCAGGTCACCGATATTCCACATATAATGAACCCGGGCTTAATGTGTTTGCAGGCTAATAATTTCTGTAGCCTTACTTGCAATGCTCCATTAAAAAGAAGGCTGTATGGGCAAAATTATATAATGTTCATCCACTTGTGCATCAGAACTACCCATTTATTTTCTCACCCTGGCAGCCCATCACCCCCCAAAATCAGCTCCATAAAGTCCCTCAATATTTTGGGAGTGGGGGGTTGCAAGAGGGAGAACAAGAAGCCCCGTTGCACAAGTGGATGCCCACTCACACTGCACTGGATCTCTCTCATCGTCTTTAAAAATCAGAACCATTCAAGCAACAAAATTAACCAGCAGCAGGCAATATCAATATTGTGTACATACATCTCCCTCTTGTGGTTGAAGTCAACTGCATAAACAATTTCTTCTTCCCCGTCTTTAACTATCTTCCAAATTGTTCCTCCTATCATGTGGCCTGCTGGTAATGGTGTGATGGACAAGCCATGACCTTTCCCTAAGAGAATAAAGGGCAGCATATCAGACACAGACGAATAAGGTTTGTTGTAGAACATCGTAATCTCAGGTGAAAAGTATGGCATTAATATTTGAGTTATAGTCAAATTATAGTCACATTATTGTCAAGTTAGTCACATTAAAATGGCATTTCACAAGCAACTTTACTCTGCAGTATTTCCCAAGGCCCTAATGAACTTTACAAAGCTGTCCTACATCTATGACAAAGAAAATGATTTGTGAACTATACTTTTATGGCAACTAAGCCCATGAAATGCTCTAGACCTCCTAACCTTGGAGAAGTGTACAAAGATTTTTTAAAAAGAAGTATGCAAGCAGAACGTTAAATCTGCTAAAACGGAGTATTCACTTTGACTAAAGTTATTCATTTGACATACGTACAACCATTTTCAAGGTTTATTTTTCTAAATACAAAAACATCTGGGTTTGAGCAAAATGAACAGCAAATTACAGACAGTACAATGATCATTACTTTAAAATTTTATTTCTTCACCTTTCAAATTGACAATCTGAGAAAATTTTAGTTGTTGTATTTTATCAAAAGCTGCATCCACATCATCCAAGGTAAACAAAGTGAAGTCCTCTGTATTGTGACGTGACTACCAAACAAAAGAACATGAAATTATTCTTAAGATATAACAATCATATTCAGTGAAAGTTTCAGTTTTGTTTGTAAGAATATTAAAAAGGAAGGATAAATAAGTTTCAAGGGAACTATACCTGGTAGAGATCATACATGAACATTTGGCCCATTTTGTAGACAGGAATAGTGGCATAAATAGCACAATTCAACCCCATCTTTCCGACTGCATATGGGAGTGCGCCCAAGTGTAAAGGATCAGGATGTGAAAGAAGTACTGCATCAACCTGGTGAACATATCTATAAAAGAAAAACAGGAAGGGAGAAAATCGCATGCCACTCCATCATTTGAGAAATTGCAGTTTTAGTGACATCAATGAAATATTGCACCTGCCAGAGTCTAAATCTAAACAATGGGCAGGAACACCCTGTGAACAGTGTTTTGCCAATTTCTCCCTTTGCCCCCTGAAAATCTTTACTGCAGAATTGGAGGATCTTCTGAAAAGCGGGAAAGGGTATTGAAATCAGCAAAAAATGACCTTCCCCTTTCTGCCACTATGATTCTCCACTGGATCAAAAGCCTCCCACACCATTGTTTTCATACATTAGAATGTTTCATTAAAAAAAGGCTGTGTGGCAAAAATTAAGATACAGTGGTGCCCCGCAAGACGAAAAACTCGCTAGACGAAAGAGTTTTCCGTTTTTTGAGTCGTTCCGCAAGACGAATTTCCCTATGGGCTTGCTTCGCAAGACGAAACGTCTTGTGAGTTCTTGCGAGTTTGTTTCCTTTTTCTTTAAGCCGCTAAGCCGTTAATAGCCGCTAAGCCGTTAATAGCCGTTAATAGCCGCTAATAGCCGTGCTTCGCAAGACGAAAAAACCACAAGACGAAGAGACTCGCGGAACGGATTAATTTCGTCTTGCGAGGCACCACTGTAAGGCCTTGGAACCAAATCTGTACAAATGGGCAAGTTAACAGAGGCAAAAAGCACCTTCTTTGACCAGGCAAACACAGGTCCTACAATCTGGCCTGCAGTTGCTGTTAATGCAGAGCAATGATAATGCAAACATAAACATAAACAAGGTGGGCATTTATTATAATATACCGGTAAATTGAGCAAGTTAGATTGCAGCTGATGAAAATCTACTCTGCACTCTACTGATCCACACAGGATTATTTGTGCACTGAAGTGCTGCACATGTGCCCCAATCCAATGAGTAGAGCTCTGCATGGAGACTTTTCACATGCAGAACTCTGAGCAGAGGATTTGCTTTTGCTTTCACATCCATGGGGCCCCATAGTACAGGTGATGGCAAGGCTTACCGGCCGTGGGCTGGATCACTCCCGCAAAGATCATCCGTGGGCCGGGCCGGCGCAGCGCGACGCTGGAAATCGCATCTGGCCATGTCTGCAGCGCCGGAAATCGCTTCTGCGCATGCCCAGACACCAAAAATCGCACCTGCACAGAAGCAATTTTTGGCTTCTAGGCATGAGCAGAAGCAATTTTCGGTATCTGCACGTGCGCAGATGCGATTTCTTGCGCCACTTGGCGAGTCCCTGCGCTGTGCTGGTTTAACACAGTGCACGGGGGACTCACCAAGTGGGCAGCTCGTGGGCCGGTAAAACAGTCTTTGTGGGCCGGATCCGGCCTATAGGCCGCATGTTGCCAACCCCTGCCATAGTAGGTCACAAGCATTGAATAGTTGTTCCATGCCCACAGATTAGTTGGTGGAGAATTTTCTCTCTCTCTAATCTTCTTTTTGTTACTGGGCTCTATCCTTCTAAACACGTTAACTACTGATGTCTCCTTATATCAGGATATAAAGCATGCAATAACTACATCTGGTTTTTAGCTTACTTGCAAAGGAATAACAGTTTAATTAAAGTCAGGTTCTAGCTTACTTCCGTAGGGAATCAATGATGTCCATAGAAAAATTCTCATCCCAGCCACAATCCAACAGAAAGCGAAATTCATCTACTTGAAGTAAATAACACAGAGCAGATTCTTCCTGCACCCCTGAAAGGGTGGTTAGCTTGATAATTGAAGTCATTTTTTCCTTCCCAAAAGAGAATAAAATGTATTATAAAGCTGAAAAGACTTTGCCATTGCCTACTTTCACACATAATGATAATTTGAACTTTATAACTGATCATGGTTTACTGTGAATAAACAGCATGCCAGTTGCATGCTGCCCAATTTCTCCTGTTTCATTCCTTTCATGGCACAAACAAGATAAACAAACCTGATATTGGTTTCCCATTACGCCCAGATCAGGGGTTGTGGCTTCTTTCCAACAAGCCATGATCTCAAGCCTAGCTTAAGCCATGGTTTGTTGCTGGCTTGGTGATTAACTTGGCCAGCTTTAAAAGAGGATTAGACAAATTCATGGAGGATAAGACAATCAATGTCTACTAGTCATGATGCCCGTGTTATACCTCCAATGTCAGAGGCAGCAAGTCTCCAAATACCAGCTGCTGTGGAGTGCAAGTGGGGAGAATGCTGCTGTGTTCAGGTCTTGCTTGTGGCTGTGAGAAGAGAATACTAGATAGGCCTCTGGTCTGATCCAGCATTGCTCTTCTTATAATAATTGTAGATTAGGGGATAAATCACACTCCCTAGGTTGGGTGTTATGGCAAGTCAAGGCTTCCTGGTCTGTTTATATTGCTTACACCAGGGGAGGTGTGAAGCATCAATGAAGAAGCTTATTCACAGTAAGTTCACATTAAGAAAGTCTGGTTTTTCCTTACATGTGAACATGGCATAGAGTTCTTAGCTGTATCAAATCCTACAAATAGGAAAGATTAGAAATGTACAACTGAAGAACCCAAATTATTATGGCTAGTGGAAAAGGATGATGGAAGTTGTAGTGCAACAACAAATGGAGAGCTACAGGTTCCACACCCTGTTTAGAGAAACATGCCATCTTCAAACTGTAGTTTATGACATTGGCATGTTTTGCAAAACCATAATTCAGATTTATCAGTTTGGGATTCAGACGTAATGATAAGCTGCAACCAACTGAAAATGAACCCAGAAGGGGAACTGCAATATACAAGTCCTCCCTCCATGCACACTTCACTTGCCCTATTATCATTTTTAAATTATTATTATTATTATTTGTTAGCCACCTCTAATCCAATAAAAATCAAATATGCCTTAAGTTATAAGAATACAAGGAAGTCAAACAGATGCTCAAGTTCTACAAAAGCTAAACTGAGAAGACAGGCAATACAAAGGAACCATCTAGTTCAGTCAGCCTTCCCCAACCTGGTGCTCTCCAGGTGTTTTGGACTTCTAATAAATCTTTGTGAACTGCTTTGAGGCTCCTTTTGGTTATACTGTATAAGGTGATTTAAAAATACAATCAACTAAAAACTGATTACAACTCCCATCAGTCCCACTTGACGTACAATTCTTTTACTGTGAATGCTACCAGTTAAACTGCTCCCCAACCGTTGTCATGAAAATAAGGCCACTCTCCCAGTAGTATTTCTGACAAATACAAGGTTAGACGGAGCTTATTCTCTTCTCTGCCCTGGGCTCCTTTGGAAGGAAGAATAAGATACATATGTAATCAATTAAGGAAATAGCCCAGCTAAGGGTCTCCTTGGATTTGTCAGCTAGAGGATTTTTAACTGATATGGTGATGCCACCTTTTGATAATTAATTTGTTTTTACATACCAAGTCACTTATGCATTCTGATCCTTCATATACCGTATGTGTGTATAGTAAGATCGTGTCTCTCAGAGACTTGGCTCAGACACCCAGCAAAGGGTCTGGATGCGAAAGGAGAAAGGTAACGTAGGAATCACCCCCCAAACTGCACAGAAGCGAGACCTTCATCCCACCACCTGCCCTGCAGTGGTAGCCCTTTCCAATCCTCCACCAGGAGACGGGGTCGGGAACTGATCATGCATGTTTCATCCTAAGAGTGTATGCGAAGCCACCTTTGGGGGAAGCGGAGGGAAGCCTCTTTGCTCCCTTCCCCAGACTCATTTGCAACCTTACCTGCACGGCGGCCCCTTGTTAACTCCCGGCCCCCCTAAAACCTAATGGAAGCCTGGAGGAGGAAGGGTGAAAAGCGAGGGACTCTTTACTCAGCCACACTCAGCCCCTTCAGCGGCCGCCGCCATTTTGGCCCGAGAGGAAACAACCGGCGAGCGCGCCGAAAGAGGCTGAGGAGCCGCTTCCGCCGCTTCTGAAAGCGAACCAAGGAGCGGGCTGTACTATCAGAGGCGTTTACGAGGGGGGGTAAACCAGAGGGGGAGCACTTGGATTAATGAAGATGCCCCCCTCCCGCCATTGATGTTCATTTGGAGTTCTAAGCAGAGTCTCGAAAAGACTCAAAGCCATAGCGAAGGAATCCCTCTGCGAGCGGCGGAGAAACTTTCGCCCGCCTACCCCTCTCGGCTCGGCGAATGGTTCATTCCGGCTTTGGTCATCGGAGGGCTCAGTGCGCGGCTCTCTAAGCGTCCTTGGTCGGTTGAGGCCCTAAGGTCGGTAGCTCGCTTGTAGGCCTTCAGGCCAGGTAAGGTTTGGGCGTATTAAGAGCGGGGTGATTCCGTGTTTTTGTTACGAAGAGACTGACTGCCATTTACACCAAGTTATGGGGGAGCCCTGGCTTGAAATGCCGTGTCCAGTCCTGGTTGCCTCACTTCTGAATAATACCCCGTTGCTGGAAGCAGTGCCGTAGCTATAGGGGCTTTGTTTATTTCCTGACCCGGGTGAAGCCTCCAGAGGGACGCCATTGAGGCTGCCAGCCTGTGTGTGTGTACCGAACTGGGCCTTTGACCTGGGTGAAATAAAGCCTAATTTCTTTCGCTTCTGTCTGGAAGCCACAAGGAGGGCGAGTAAGTGCATGTGCAAGTGGCACGTAGGTCCTGCTTGCAGGTTTCCCGTAAAGCAGCTGGTTGGCCGCTGAGAGCAAGATTATTCAATTGGCCTTGGGTATCAAGCGAGGCTTTTCTTCAGCTGTAACAGAAATGTTTAAAATTATGCATGATAGAATGCAGTGCATAAAGAGAAGCTTTGCTCCCTTTCCATTAAAACGCTAGAATTTGTGAACATTCAGTTAAAACTGATTTGCAGTAGGAGATTAAAGCAGACTACTTAGAAGTAAGTCCCATTGTGTTAAATGAGGCTAACTCCCAGGTAAATTGGAATAGGACTGCAACCTTAATTTTTTTTATTCTAGGATGTTTTTGTTTAACTGTTTACAAGTGGCTTAAATGTTTCAGGCATCCATAAGTTATCTGTTGATTTTATTTGATTTTTGGTTCTCTTTCTTATTAGTAAATATGGTGAATATTTTGCATCTTGTGCGAGAACATTGGGCCTTAAGTTTGGTCCCCATAGGATTTGTGTTGGGATGTTACTTTGACAGGAAGAATGATGAGAAAATGGCACTCTTCAGAAACAAAAGCAAGTTATTTCAAAGGTCAGTATTTCACTTAACTAACATGTTATTTGATAGTATATTAACACTATTTTGAAACAACAGGCCTGCTTCTTCAGCAAAGCAGCAGGAGGCGCTGCGCAGAGAGGGGGAGAAATTTTTTTCTTGTTCTCCCCCTCTAAAACAAGGTGCGTTCAAGGTGCATTCAGTCGCCTTCAGTGAAGGCAACCCGAAGCCTCCGGAGCGCAGCGGGAGTTCCCGCTTCGCTCCGGAGGCTTCAGGTTCCTTTCGACCTGCTCTTTGGGGCTGGCGGGAGGAAGCGCTGCTTTCCCCCACCGCCAGCATCAAAGAGCAGGTCGAGGAGCAGCCGAAAGGCTGCGCGCAGCCTTCCCGCTGCTCCCCGAGGTTGTGGGGCTGGCAGTGGGGGAAGCGCTGCTTTCCCGCACCACCAGCCCCAGAGAGCAGGTCAGGGAGCAGCCGAAAGGCTGCACCCAGCCTTCCCGCTGTTCCTTGAGGTTGTGCAATTTGGTGCATATGCGCAAAGCACGATTTAGTGCTTCTGTGCATGCGTGACCGCCGAAATCTGGAAGTAACCCGTTCTGGGTACTTCCGGGTTTTAGCGGTCCGCAACCTGAAGCGGCTGTAACCCGAGGTATGACTGTATTTTTGTTAACTGTTTAGACACTTAGTTTACAATTGATATACAAATTTTATTAAATAAATAAATCGAAGCACCAGGCAAAGGCCTTTGGCAGTAAAGCAATTATTAGTTTGCTTTAAGTTTTTAACTGCTTCTTTTATCTTTTTAATCTTTTGTAGTATTATTTATCGATGTTTGTACTTAATCTTTAAAGTAATATTATGAAAGGAAATATATAAACATATTAAATCATATAAATAAGATTGTACACCCATGTAAAGAAAATAGGGGTTTGGATCTTAAGTGAAAGCTACACCATTATTATTATTACTACTTTTTTATTATTATATTTTGCAAGCAAATGGAGGGGATGGAGGAAAGGTTGCAGCATTTGGGACTTTCTAGTTTAGAGAATAGGCTAGTGAGAGGCAACATGATAGATGTTTATAAAATTGCATGGCATGGAGAAAGTTGATAAAGGTTTTTCTCCCTCTCTCGTAACACTAGAATGTGGAACCCATAGTAGGCTGTGAGAGCAACCAACTTGGATGGTTTTAAAAGAAGATTAGACAAATCCATAGAGGATAGTACTATCAGTGGCTACTAACCCTGATGGCAGTGTTCAGCCTCCATGGTCAGATGCAGTAATGCTTCTGAATACCTGTTGGTGAAAACTGCAGGAGGGCAGAATGCTCTTGTTCTGGGATCATTTGCAGGTTTCTCACAGGGATCTGTGAGAACAGGAAGCTGGGCTAGATGGGCAATTGGCCTGATCCAGCCAGCTCTTCTTAGGTTCAGTAGAACATAGAAGTGGCCGACACTTCTATTGCCAACCCCCAGAAATAGGTACAAATTGTACAAATGGGTGACCTGTGCTTGTGAAAAATGTTGCCCAACCACTGTTACTGAAGTTATACTTTGTGACCAGCTTGTGTGCAACCATTTGCACAATATCAACTCGTAGGTTGCTTGTGCTACATTGCAGTGGATCTCCCCTATTTCAGTTAGCTAGGGTTCAGCCCCCAATCAGCTGTAAAGCTCACTGGGTAACCTTTTGCCAATCTCTGTCTCCCAGCCTAATTATTTCATAGGTTTCATACAAAGATAAAATGGGATAGTCAGTTTTGTATAAAGTGCTTAGGGGGATGAGTCATGAACACAATTTGAGGAGATGTGAGGGGTAATGACAACTACCTAAATGCCTTTGATTAAATAAAAGGCAAAAGGGAAATCATTTACACAAATTTGATTTGAAGGTTGTTGTGGTTTTTAATGATGTTTTTATTCATGACTTTGTGAGAAGTAGTGGACATAACAGTACAGAAATTAGGTTTTGCTTTCCAAATCAGTTACAAAGCATCTAATTACTTAACAGAACGTATTTTACATTTATAAGCTATGTTCTGGAATAATTCATTCCTAATTCTGTGGTCTTCTATTTCCTTTCCACAGGGAATTGAAACCTGGAGAAGAAGTCACATGGCGATAATGTATTAAATGAGAAATGCTTCCAGATAATTAAACTTGTATCTATAAGTGTGTGATTGTGTTATCAAATGAAATGAGGAAATGAAGAAATATATGGGCACTTTCCAGCCAGTTAAAGTGCAATCCTGAAGGACTATCTCTCTGTATATGAACAAGCTTGTACCCTACTCTCAGGCACACTTCCGTTGGCCATACAATGTTGGTAGATGCTAGATACGGGCCCTTTTTGGTGGTGATGCTGCAATTGTGGAATTCCTTCTCTGGGGAGATCAGACAGGGCCCTTTTCATTCCATTAAAACAAAAAATGTCTTAACATTCCACTCAAAGAGACATTTGGCGTTTTAAAAAATGGGTGATAACCAACAAAGTCATGTTCAGAGTATTATTATTTGACTTGTTAGTTGTTTGTTTCACAGAAATTTCAAAATGACTTGCAGCATAAATAAAAATACATTGTAATGTTGATACGTTCATACAAAAACATGTGCAGTCCATTAAAAATACAGGAAATAATACCCTCTCTCCTGTGCCTCTCCCAAGAGCAGCAGAAAGCTAACAGCAAAACATCATCATCATAGTCTATCAAAAGCCTGGAAAAAGAGAAGTTTTTGCCTGACACTGAAAATAGCTGGTTAGGCCTGGGCGATGTATCAATACATTGCCTGGACCAGTATGAGGGCCAGACCGCAATGGTGGCTTCACCCAGTGGTATATCATGAATGAACCTGTCACTGCTCCTGAGTCCCTGCCACCAGTGCTCTGCGCACCAAAGGAAAAACAAACAGCAGCCGGCACTGGTGGCAGAGAGACTCTGGAGCAGTGGCGGTTTCACTCAATATACCGCTGGATGAAACAGATCGTACCCTGGCCATCATACAACTGAGGAAGGAACTGCCAAAGGAAAGCACCTGGTCATGTGTCTGTGACCATTGGTTCAGCACAAAAACCCACACTCTACTAACAGAACGCTGCTTCCCTGTTTCATTGCAAAGAGTTGGGCAATTCATGTACTGTGATAGCTCCATGGGGACCCAAGCTGGCACCATAATGGCGGTGCCCTTGAAGCCCTACGGGACTGCAGCAAAAATAACGTAACTTCTTCTCGCAACATGTGCAAAGATGGCAGCAGTTTTTGAAGGATAAAAATACCTAAAATGCTCGGACTCTGTTGCAATAACACACAAGCTTTAAAATAAAGACAGGCCTAATCTATACTGGTGAGTTATAATGTGTAATAAAAATGTGACACCAGGGGGCGCTGTACAGCAGTCAATGGAAAATTGCTCTGGGAGCTATACAGTATACGTAACTTTTTCTTAGCGTTTTTTAGATCAGTGTAGACCCAGCATGAAGCAATAAAGAAAATTTGTAACTGAACAATAAAGTGCATAACTATTCAATGAGGCTAACATGTACAGTTAATAACAATGTAACCATATGCCATAAAGTGCCCACCCCATCCTGCAAATCACTTCTCATCAATCCTCACAAGGATCCTGACTTCTATGGATGAATGCAGAATTCATTAATATTTGCAGAGAGCTCCAATTTTTTTTGATAGGCCCTTGAAAAACCTGTGATGTAGCAGTGGCAGGTACAACTATGAAACACGCATCTAAGGCTGCAACCTGTTATTTTTCTCTCAGACATCTCTGCAATAGAGCCCTTATTTTAAGGATATGTACTATTCCCTTCTTTTCCAGCCTGTCTACTGAAGGTGTGGGGAACCTGTCGCCTCCTAGGTTTTGCTGTACTACAATTCTCATCACTGGGACTGATGGGAGTTGTGGTTCAGCAACTTCTGGAGGGCAACTGTTGCAGTCTTATACAGTGCAATCCTGTTTGTGTCCACTCAGGAGTAAACCATATTAAGCCCATTAGTACTCGCTCCCAGTGCGGCCCTGACATTCCAGTGAATATATATACATTGAAGTAGGGATCAAAATGTTGCTACAAATGCCCTTTCGGAGTAGAACACACTGGGCTTTTGTTTTTGAAAAGCTGAAAAGGAGCTGTGCAGCTGTCAAGGAAGGAGGGAAATAGTGGATAGATATGAAAAGGGCAGCAGCTGGTGTGAGTCTAATTAGGGTTAAGAAAAAAAATTATATAAAGGATAAGACTGTTGGGAACTCAAGGCTCTCCCCACCCCCAACTCGAACTGTTACTCTACTATGATCGAAATAAATTAAAAAATTGTCCAGTAGCACCTTAGAGACCAGCTACAGTAAGATTGTTCTGGGTATAAGCTTTCATCGAAGAATTGATGCTTTTGATTTATGGTGCTGGAGGAGACTCTTGAGAGTCCCGTGGACTGCAAGAAGATCAAACCTATCCATTCTTAAGGAAATCAGCTCTGAGTGCTCACTGGAAGGACAGATCCTGAAGCTGAGGCTCCAATACTTTGGCCACTTCATGAGAAGAGAAGACTCCCTGGAAAAGACCCTGATGTTGGGAAAGATGGAGGGCACAAGGAGAAGGGGACGACAGAGGACGAGATGGCTGGACAGTGTTCTCGAAGCTACCAGCATGAGTTTGACCAAATGGGGTCACGAAGAGTCGGACACTACTAAACGACTAAACAACAACAACAAGTGCATGCACACTTCTACTATGATGGCGCTGACCCATCGACTGAGCAAGATCAATTTCCTGAGGGGCACGTCAGGGTTATCTCAAAGCACGGCGTCGAAAGGGAACCTCTCGTCTATACGCTTCTCTCCCACCGCACTTTTCTGTTTCCCCCCTCCCCTTTCAATCGGAACCGGAAGTGAAGGCTGCCCGGGGTAGCCGCGAGCGTTCTGTGCCCCTCGCGTACCTCTTTGGGGCGATTGTTGCGTTCATAGAGATAGGTGGCGGCGTGGGGGAGAGCGAAGCCCAGCCTATCCGAGGGGTGGGGGGGGAGCGGTAGCCACAGCGATTGGCTGCAGCGGGTCACGGGGCGGAGCTTGGATTGGCTGGGCGGAGGTCATGTGGTGTGGAGGCTGCCTCTGGCGGCGGCCGTGGTGGTGGTGGTGGGAGACAAATAAACATGGAGGCCATCTTCCACGAGAGGGTAAGCGGAGCGAGAGTGGCGGCGCCGGGGGGGCCTGTGGGGGAAGCGGGAGAGGCTTTCCTGAGGGAGCGGCCTGCCTGCGAAGAGAGGGGAGGCTCGAGGGGGAAGCCGCGTGGCTTCGGCTCTTGCCGTCCGCCTGGCCGCTCCAGGGGCTGCATTGGAAGCCGCCTGGGGAAGCCTCTCCCCCTGGACACAAGTTTATGGACCTTCGGTTGTGTGAGGGGCGAAGGGGGCCCTCGTTTTGGGACGCTTCAGTGGCACTTGGTGGGGGGGGCAGGTTAAGCAGTTGTTTAGTCGCGTCCGACTCTTCCTGACCCCGTGGACCAGAGCACGCCAGGCACTCCTGTCTTCCACTGCCTCCCGGAGTTTTGTCAAATTGATGTTGGTAGTTTCAAGAACACTGTCCAGCCATCTCGTCCTCTGTCGTCCCCTTCTCCTTGTGCCCCCAATCTTTCCCAACATCAGGGTATTTTCCAGGGAGTCTTCTCTTCTCATGAGGTGGCCAAAGTATTGGAGCCTCAGCTTCACGATCTGTCCTTCCAGTGAGCACTCAGGGCTGATTTCCTTAAGAATGGATAGGTTTGATCTTCTTGCAGTCCAACAAAAGTAGTGCCCGTCGAAATGAATGGAAGTTGCACAGCAACAAGGCTCATGGGACTCTCAAGAGTCTCCTCCAGCACCATAATTCAAAAGCATCAATTCTTCGGCTATCAGCCTTCTTTATGGTCCAGCTCTCACTTCCATACATCACTACTGGGAAAACCATAGCTTTAACTATACGGACCTTTGTTGGCAAGGTGATGTCTCTGCTTTTTAAGATGCTGTCTAGGTTTGCCATCGCTTTTCTCCCAAGGAGTTCCCTAATCCGCAGACCCTCCAAGGGTCCCTGTTTCCCAGGGACACCCAGTCCCGGATTTACAGAAGCCGTTGCGGTTTCTGATTTGATCCCTGAATGTCCTGCTTTTCCTTAGGGCATCCCTATTTTCATCAGAGAAATGTTGGAGGGTATGGCGGAATGTCCCTATTTTCTTTGGAGAAATTTTGGAGTTATGGAGTTATACGACCCTCCGAGCCATCTGAAGGCAATCTTGTATAGGGAAGTGGGGTTGTTTTTTTTAAAAAAAGTTTAATTATGTTTTTCTATATGTTGGAAGCTGCCCAGAGTGGCTGGGGCAACCCAGTCAGATGTGTGGGGTATAAATAGTGAAACTGTCATCATGGAATGGGACGTCTCTATTTTCATCGGGAAAATGTTGGAGGGTATGAATCCATCCTAATTGCTTTTATGATCTCTGCTCTTAGTAATAGTAATAATAATAATTTTATTTATACCCCACCCATCTGGCTGGGTTGCCTCAGCCACTCTATATTTCTATACTATCGTTGTGTCCTATCGCTTGAAAGGTGGGGATGTTTAGAGAGAGAGAGAGAGAGATTTTCGAGATCACCCTTGTATTTGTTAGAGGAAGGGTGATCTCGAAAGTCTGAAAAAAATAACGAAGTAAACTCTTGTCCTCCTCCTTTTTCTACTGACAGGATACTAATGATCATTGGAAATGGCTAATCCCCCATTAAAAGATGTTCATATAAGTGTAAGCTGGGTGGCACAGAGGAGTGTTTTTCTTTTTATTCCTTCCTGGTGGGGCAAGTGCGGGGCAACTAACCCTGCTGCTAGTGGCAAGGAGTACAAAATAGGGAAGTGGTGGTTCAGCTTGAAGGACAAGGGTGAGTCACAATCCTAGTTTGAAGGGCACTGCTTAGTTCAAAACATTGTCCGCTCCACTGACATCTGTATAATGTATCTTTGCTGTGCCTTAGCTACTTTACTTGTACAGTATTAAATAATTTTTTTCTGTCCTAAACATATGACCAGCTTGCTATTTTGAAAACATGTGATTTTAAAAATAATTTGATAATAGTGTTGCACATGACTTTCTTTGCTTTTGGCACAACTTTTTTCATCTTTCATTTTTTCATGTTATCTACTAGTGATAAGGCAAACATGCTTGCCTCCAAGATGCAGTCACCTTATCAACTTATAAGCAAGTGTGATATATCCTGGTCACTCCTGCATTTCACTTCTGGTACAACATAACTTGATTAGCTTGATGAGTATATTGTATTGCTTGTGTTAATTGTCTGGAAATAATTTACCACATTCATATCCTGTCCTTGCTCCAAGGAGCTCATTGTACCATTCATGGGCTAACTAATTTGATCTCTTACAACAACCTTGCAAGGCAGTTCAGACTGAAATGTTGTAACTTTTTTCAGGACTGAGGCAAATTTAAAAGAAATATATTTTTCTAGTCAGACACTCTGTGTGACACCCCATTCAGTGGAAACTGGACTAGATTCATCTTGATATTCCTTCCAGGTCTTAAACTTTATTAATATTCTTATAAATTAACTCCCCCTCCAGGGTTTTGGGTACAGTTTAATAGATTATAGCAAACATATGTGGAAAACACTTCTGTACACAATGAGGTTACTCAGTATCCCCTTCTACAGCTGTTGTCTCTTATGCCTTACAAAAAGCAGCTCCAGAGCATTGGTCCAGCTTGACAGCGTGAGAAGCAAACTTGAGCTCCACTTTAATGATAAACAGTTCTTCAAAAAAGATTCCTCTTCCATGAAAAGAAAAAACTTTCTATGAAATGTTTTCAGAAATTTAAATGCAGAGCTCATGTTCTATTTTCTGAAGTAAGAAGACATAGGGATATAGAAGCCTTTTAGCTAAATCAGTTGTGATTGCATAAAGGCACAAATATAATTATATGTCTCAAAGATACATCATCCTACACACATTCTTTCTGACAAAACATTGTGCACACCCTATTTCCTCAACTTCTAAGCTGGAATGTGATATTGTCATTGTTGTTTTGCAAAGCAGCCCTATATACAGGCTGAATGAAAATGTTCTGTCATCAACACTTTTCTTGAAGTTGGGAAGTGTTTGCTACTTCATTCTGAACTCAATAGTATAATTGAACAATTGATGCCCAAAAGATTCAGTCAAGTCACCACTGGCTTCCTATTTGTCCCTTAGTATATTCCTGAGCCAAGTACTGTTCTCCCATCCCCAGAATTATGCCTTTTATCCACTTTCTCCCATGCAGGCGAAGAAATGGGGAAAGAGGCTCTTTAATACCTTCTTCAACTGTGAACCACAAGAAGTTCTCTGTCCTCATTATATAAATCCCTCTGTTTGCCTGTGTAGTAGTTTGTGCATGGTGGCGAGCTGCTTGGAACTCTTAGAGAGCCTCTGTTTATGGTCACACTTGCAGTGCAATCCGATACATGTTTATCCTGAAGTAAGCCCAACCATGGTTAGTCTTGCTTGTTCTCAGGTAGATGTGCATATGATTGCAGTCTTAGTACGGGAGGTGATGATGATGATTACAGTGGTACCTCGGTTTACGAACTTAACCCATTCCGGAAGTCTGTTCTTAAACCAAAGCCATTCTTAAACCGAGGCGCTCTTTCCCTAATGAGGCCTCCCACCACCAGTACCCTTCCACGGTTCGGCTTCCGTTCGTAGACCGAGGTAAAGTTGGCTAACAAGAACACTATTTCCAGCTTTGCGGAGTTCATATACCTAATAGTTCGTAAACAGGGCTGTTCTTAAACCGAGGTGAAAAGGTAAAGGACTGCTGACAGTTAAGTCCAGTTGCAAACGACTCTGGGGTTGCGGCGCTCATCTCGCTTTACTGTCCGAGGGAGCCGATGTTTTTCCAGGTCATGTGGCCAGCATGACTAAGCTAATTCTTGCGAAACCAGAGAAGCGCACAGAAACGCTGTTTACTTTCCCGCCGGAGCGGTACCTATTTATCTACTTGCACTTTGATGTGCTTTTGAACTGCTAGGTTCAAAACTGCTAGGTTGGCAGGAGCAGGGACTGAGCAACGGGAGCTCACCCCGTTATGGGGTTTTGAACCGCCGACCTGATTGGCAAGCCCTAGGCTCAGTGGTTTAGACCACAGCACCACCCGCATCCCTTAAACCGAGGCACCACTGTATTTCTTTTTTTCAGTTTTCTGTTGTGAGCAACAAAAGTGATTGAAGCATGGCAATCCCTGGAATATTTGAGTGATTGTGTTAAAGCTTCTGTTGCTTTTCCTGCTGAGGAGGATTGGGTTAGAAAGCAAGCAACTAATTTAACTATAGCCCACTATTTAGTCAAAGTAGCTTGCAACAGTTGCAAGCCATTAAAAAGATGTGGCAAAAGATGGTGGAAGGATACTTGAGTATAGTCATACCTCAGGTTACAGACGCTTCAGGTTGTGTTTTTTTGGGTTATGGACCGCCGAAACCTGGAAGTACTGGAACGGGTTTCTTCCGGGTTTTGGCGGTCACGCATGCGCAGAAGCGCCAAATTGCAACCCGCGCATGCGCAGATGCACCACTGCGGGTTACAAACGTGCATCCCGCACGGATCATGTTCGCAACCCAAACGTCCACTGTATAGCAGTCCCTTCTGGCACCTGATGGTCCACATGGCAGGTTTTTCCCTACAGAGGCAGGGACAAGAAGGAGCTGCAAATGGATTTGGGCTGGCTGAAAGTATTGCTTGTGTGGATAGAGGTAATGTTGCTGACCCTTCAATCTTTGATTGTAAATATGACTCAAAAGATTGCTGACCCAAAGACTTAAATATTTTTGTATCCTGTGACCATTGGCATATTTGGCATTGGGAAGTTCAATCAAGTATGACAACCACATTGAAGAAGAGAGAAAATTCCAATGCCATATATTTATGAATAGATGTGTGCCTGACAATGTTAACTGCTATTCACGTGCCTGCTGACATTAGGCAGTAGTCCTTGATGGAGTTGTACCTCAGTCTGCCTAATAGGAGACCAAATTATTAAAAATACTTTTTTCAATAGCAGTGGTAAACTTTATTATATAATACAGTTGATGTGCATATTTTGACACAGAATCCAATATGTGCAACACTGTTATGCATGGCCTAGTTTGCTAGCAGCTGCACAGTAAATATGTGGGATTGATTGGCCAAGAGAAGAAAGGCCTAAAGAGGCAATTCAGAAAAGCTCAAGTGATTGGGACTGGGCTTCTGCTGTTGCACAATTTTTGTGACATGTACCTTTGCATGGACTTTGCTGGATAATGCTTCTATAATAAAAATGGAAGTGACTTAAAAGCTCTTGAAGAAACAGTCTGTTCAGCTTCGTGTCTTTAGACCTGTCCATTTCACTGTCAAGAGAGGGAGAGCATTTCTCAAAGTGACAAAACACAGAAGTCTTTTAAAAACACAACATTCCAGCTAAAGCAGTTGATGCTGATTATTAATGGAGAATTCTTAATTCCTTAGGTGTAACTTGAGTTAATACCTCTTGGTACCTTCCAACGTAAAGCATAGTTAGTTTAAGATAACCCAAATTAGATCTTTCATGAGGTCTGTACTGTACAGGGGGGAAGGCATTCAGGCCCAAACCTCATTTGAATACATGTGTTTACTGTCCTCAGGGCAATTTAAAGGGTCAGTGTGCTTATTGGCAGACCATATTCACTGATCTTTCTTCAATAAAAAAAAAACAGTCTCTAATCCTGGAACCAACATTAGCTCTCCTGGCCATTGGAAGGAGTTAGCAAAGCTAGCAGCTAGACTCAAAATCACCAAACATTGGAAGTCTGCATCAGGTCGGGTCCCTCAAGAAATGAATGGTTTAAGAGGATGTGAGGCATGGCCTTGTGTGAGCATTAACCCGTCGCAGGTGTTCTAAAAGGGGTCACAAAGCAATACCATTTTGATGTTGTATAGTCTCTGTTCATACACTATATAAATAAAAATAGCACGTTCATAGACCCTTCCGCCCATGACATATGCCTCTGTGTGGTGAGATTACCTTATTGATATGTGACTCTTACTTTCCAAATGCCCTTTCTTAGAATCTATCTTATTATGATGTCTGCAAAAGTGTACGGAGCCTTCTGTTACTTTTATTCCCACTGCAATAGCATACTCCACACAACCATAGTTCTTTGTGTCTTTATTATTTATCTTGTTTGAATGTTGTTTTTGAAAGCTCAGTAAAGACGTCCTTTAAAAAACCCCAGCATTTGAACAATGAAACCATGGCAAGACATTGTAATGTTCATTGTGGCGTACTTTTCTTTTCTTACATTTTCATTCGTTAGCAAGAAGGCTCCCTGTGTGCCCAGCATTGCTTGAATAACTTACTACAAGGGGAATATTTCAGTCCTGTAGAACTGTCTTCTATTGCACAGCAACTGGATGAAGAAGAGCGAATAAGGATGGCAGAAGGAGGACTTTCTAGTGAAGAGTATCAAACATTTTTACAGGTAACAGCCTTTAAAACTTTTCAGATGACCTGGCATTATTTCACCAGCTTGTTCTATGCAAATTTAATATGCTTAAAATGGGATTGGTCTACCAAATATATTTCCTGGGTACCTATTTTATTTGCCTGGGGTGGTTTGTGGTTTACTAAAAATATATTTAAGCATGAATAAATTGTGAAGAATGGGCATAACTCATTCTCAGCTTCTGTCCCCCCCCCCCCCCAAGCCTTTCTAGTAATATGGATTAATCACCTTCCCCTTTTCCATTTGTTTTTGAACAGCAGCCTTCTGGAAACATGGATGACAGTGGCTTCTTCTCTATTCAAGTAAGCATTCTCCTTGTAGTCTCCCTTCTTAAAAAAAGTAAAATGTTTACATTTTTAAAATGCAGTGTGTTTTACTGAGAGTTCAATCTATGTTCACATTTTTGAGCCTGTTTAGGAGACAGTTCAGATCCCTGTGGCTGCAACCCTACAGATAATTTTGATCTTTATATGCCACTAATTTTTCAGTAACATTTAGGCAGCCTTATAGTTATTATAGACGTTTCCTTTAAATCAGAAGTCTTCTACATACTTGGGGTTTGTGGTTTACATGTATCTTCCAAAGTGGCAAAAGCATTAAAGTGGTGAATGATTCTTTTATTACACAATTGAAATATGCAGTTATACAATTTCATTTTGTTTGGTCACGTGAGATAATTCCCTTCAATTTGTGCTCTCGGGAAATAGATCAGCCCATGGGTCCTCTAAGGCTTATATTTAATGGAAATATTTCTCGTTTTTCTGAATGGTGCAGCAAGAAAGTGATAATTGCAGCTCCATGTTGTGCTAGGCCTTCTGTAACAATTTTAGTGTTTACACTGATGTTTCCTGAATCAGGCATGCAAAATGTGAAAGGTGTGTTGATACACACACACGTTGAAGAAACACTTCTCTTGTTTGCATTGTAAGCTGTTTCATGGGTATCTCAGACTAAAAGATGGACTATATATTTAGTAACTAACTAGTGCCAAGAAAATATTGAGTGAATAACTAGGGCCAGGAGCTTCAGATCCGTGTACATGACTGTGTGAGAGCTCCACACTTCACATGTATGCTACAGAAAACACCAGTGTTAAAAAGAAGAAGAAAGAAATCCTTGAAACTGGCAGACTTACAAATGCAACTTGCCACTTGCCACTTACAATTCCACTTTGCTTTAAATGGTATTCTATTTCTTGTACAGGGTGTCTGAGGTGAATTGTCTCTGTGATTTCCCAACTGCCTTTTTCCTAAACAGCTTTAAAAAGTGTGTGCCAAAAACTGTATTTTGAACTGAAAATGTAAAATCAGATGTATTTGACATTCTTCAAAAACGTGCAGAAAGTATTTTGGGAAGGTCTCAATAGTAATTCTGGATAGTATACCTCTTGTGCAAATATCCTGACCTGCTTAGAACATGGGTGGTTTTTGTTTTGTATCTTAGAGCATGCTAGGACAAAGTGAAATCTTTTGTAGTTATGGAGCTTGCTGAATTAGGCAAATTGCCTCTCAATAGCTTGCCAACATCCAGTTCAGGCATTCGGCATAAATGAAGTGCAAAACAAAACAAAGTGACAATTGTATAGCTGTTTATAACACCAGTTCAGGAGTGTTATGCCTTTTGAGAATTTCCTCGTCAAATTGTGTATTCGTTATTCACCCTTAAATGTGTTATATATGTGGTCTGCTGAATGTAGATTCATGAAGGTTGACTTTTGAATTTTCTCACCCCAGTGGTTTCCTTTTAATAAATCTTACATTTTTTCCAGTCCCAGCTTTGTGAAAACAATATATTTGTTTTTATAGTGGCTAAAATGGTTGCATTGCTTAGATTTTATAACTGACTGGTTTGTCTCATGAAAAGTGCTGTTTTTTGACAGGTTATAAGCAATGCCTTGAAAGTTTGGGGTTTAGAACTAATCCTCTTCAACAGCCCAGAGTATCAGAGGCTCGGGATCGACCCTATGTAAGAATTTCTTTTTAGCTCCCTGCTTCCATTATACAAAAAAAAAAAAATGCAAGAAAAAGAAACCCTATCATTTTCCTCAGAGTTCCTTTTGAAAATTAGTATATCAAGTTCTGGTTTTATCCCCTCAGCATTTTCTTTTTCATATTATTGAGGCCTTACATGTCCATTTGTCCTCTGAGCCTTCATGACATCTCAGTATCTGTGGCATCACAGAATGCTGACTTTGAATGGTACGTGGCATCATATCTGCTTTATGACATCATGGTGTGTGTCTATTAATATATATGCTTTATATATACAAAAATATCATCAAAAGAGTGCTATCTCAATTCTCTGAACCATCAAAATATTTAAATGATCAAATATCTGATTGAAATTGTAGCTGAATTTAATAAAATGCTTAAAATGATAGCAAAATGACACCAATGATAGCAAAAAAAACCCAACCCCTTTAAAATACGAGCTCTATTAATTCTTTGCATACATTGTGTTTTTCTTCTTTTAGAAATGAAAGATCTTTTATTTGTAACTATAAGGAACACTGGTTTACAGTTCGAAAATTAGGAAAACAGGTGACATTCTATTTTTTTCTTGTTTAAAAATTAGCGTCAAGCTTGGGTGTCAGAAGAATGTTGCTTTTAGGGCCAAGTATTATAATTGCGTATTTGACAGCCTAAGACTGTAGTTGAATAACATTCACAGCTGTTTACTTGCATCACAGAACAACCATGTAGTTTGGCATAAATGTGCATAATATGAAGGGCAGCATCCCAGCAATGTTCCAGCCTTTGGGCCACAGTTCTTTAAGTCTCCTTTCAAATCAATTGCATGACGGCATCTTCCAATACTGGGAGGAGTGGGGAGATGATTGTATTGTTGATTTCTTTAAGAAAGCATGCAAAGAACTAAATGAAATGAGATAGAGTTTTAAAATAAATAAATTAAGCGACCTACATTTTTTTTAAAACAAACACCTTATCCTGTGAGGAGATGGGGCTAGTATTTGCCACTTAAAAATAAGAGAGAATAAAAATAAGATAATCTGGCATGTTGAAGAGCTGTTGCTCATGCTCCACATCACGAGTTATATAAAATAAGATGCTCCAAATAGTTGTGGCAGCTACATTCCACGAGGCAGTTACAGTCATAATGTGTTCTCTGTGGTGAGAACATCAATTTTTTTTAGGGGGGGTTACAAATTTTTATACCTTGAGTGTTCATGAACACAGGTCCTTCTCAGCAGAAGCATGAGATATTTGGACTGCCTTCAATAAATGAACAAAGCCTGCACGTTTAGTTGGGCATTTATGTAAAACTGTATCCTGCTTTTCATAAAATGGTTTCCCATCAGTTAAAAATTTGATGGCAGGTGCTGTACACCAACAAACGCCCTGTCTTCAGTCTGTCAGACAAAAAAGGCAAGATGAACAAATGAGGGGAGCAATCAGTTCAAAAGTGCCAGAACACAGTGTTGGGGTTGCTAAAAATGAACTACAACACATTTAGTCACCTGTTGACATCTCCTACTCTAGTTGGTAGGTGCCTGTTGTGCTGCTCATTTCTTCTGAGGTCTAGGTGAACAGCCAAATCATGCTACATAGAATCAGAATTGCAGAGTTGGAAGACACGCCAAAGTGTCATCTAGTTGTAACCCCTGCAGTGCAGGAATCTCAGCTAAAGCATTCTTGACAGATCGCATGAGCGCTTTGGCTGACGTAATCAAAACTCGAAAATGTATGGTGAACTGTGCCCAAGCTAGGAGATGGAGCATTTCAAAGAATGAGGCATGACAGTTTCCGGAACATTAAGAGTATTGGAGATGTAAAAATGCACCCTGTATCAGTTCAGTCAAAGGATGTTCTAGGTTGAACGTTTAGTTGTGGCAATGAAATTTAATGTTAAATTAATTGCTAATAGGTTATACCTTGGAAATACACAAATTCCACAGCTTTCGTAGATGCTATTTTGTGACTGGTGTCCAGTTTTCTCTGCCTTTTTATAGGCTGTTAAGAAATTATGTATATAACACACAAGGCAATATTAGCCCCTATAAATAACAACACTTCAAACCTTCTTTTCTCACACTGCTCTAAGCCAAAATATTTGAATAAGATATGCAGAGAGGACTATTACCAGGAAAACATCTTGATATGGTGCTTTAGAAGTAAAGCAAAGTCGTGGTTTGATGTTAAGAGAAGAAGCAGGACCAAGCCTCAGGCTCTCATGCTTCGTCTTTGCTTGCATATCAGGTTTAGCAATATTTGATTCGGATTTCTGACTGACCAAAGATTTGCTAATGGTTTGATGGGTTCAAACAAAATGGCACGCCGTGATTGACAGGTTCTGATCTCTGTGCTTCTACCTGCTCATTCTTCCAATTCAAAACCAGTTTTTGGCACTAAGGCTGAATGCCCCCAAAATCTATTCAGTAAAGCTGACACCTCTGTGATATTAAAGCATTGCAGCTGATTTCTCTGTGGGTTGTCTATTCAGTACATTAGTCCCCTAACCTACAGATTGATCAGTGTTCCTAGACAGAAGCAACCAGAGTTGTTGTATGGTACAGTGGTACCTCTGATTACAAACTTAATTTGTTTTGGAGGTCTGCTCTTAACCTGAAACCGTTCTTAACCCGAGGTACTACTTCCAGGTTAGCGGAGTCTATAACCTGAATTGTTTGTAACCCAAGGTGCTTGTAACCCGAGTTACCACTGTAATTCTGATGCAGTGGTTGCTAATTGTTAACGTAGTTTCTCTCTGGCCTTAGAAACTTCTGCACCAGAAACAGCATTGTGCACAGTTCTCTCCCATGCATGGCTGGCACTTCCTTTGAGCCCAGCCTAGATCTGCCCCCCGACTAAATGCTCCCACTAAATGCTCTCACTGCAGGTCACCCATAAACTTTGGAGGCGACTGGAGCTTTGACCAATTCAGAAGTTATTTGCAAGCATCAGTTTAGCTTTATTCAGATAATTAATTTTCAGCTTCTTTATTAGGCTATAGTGGCAGCCCTACTGAAATTTCAGATGAAGCAGGCAATAAGCAGTACTCAGTTCATTCACTCATGCTTGAAAGTTATGTGTACTCATAGCAATTACATATAGAGCAGGTAGGCGTTTGCCATGTACAAAAATAAATGAACTAAATCACATGTTAACTACTTTTATTTGAAATCTTTTTTCTAAAATTACAGTGGTTCAACTTGAATTCTCTCTTGACGGGTCCAGAACTAATATCTGATACTTATCTTGCACTTTTCCTGGCCCAGTTACAACAGGAAGGTAATGCTAACTTTGAAATATTGAGCCCTGTTATTTGAAAGCAAGAGTAAAATTCAAAGGCCAACCAATGATGTTCATGCAAGAAGTCTGTCTTCCTCAATTTTATGAATAAAACAATGACATCCACTAAGTGTACTAGTTATAATGAAGGGAAGACAGAATGCAAAATACTGGCAAATGACAGTTTTATTCTCTTCCCTATTCCCCCTCCTCTTTTTTTTTCCTTTGTAATGTTTCTTGATAAGTTACGGTCTCTCATATTTTGGCTACTTGCTTTTACTTTCTTCAGGCTATTCAATATTTGTGGTAAAGGGTGACCTTCCAGATTGTGAGGCTGACCAGTTACTGCAAATGGTTCGGGTGCAGCAGATGCAGCGGCCAAAATTGATTGGGGAAGAGACACTGCAATCAAGAGATCAGAGGTAAGGTAAATAAAAACTTGTATTTTAATCAGTGTTGAGCGTTGGCTGTGAGTAACATTGAACTCTGAAAGTAAGCAAGGAAATACAGTAAGAGATAACAACTACCCTTTTGTAGCAGGAGTGAGAGTAATTCGAAACATCTTTCTCTCTGCCTGCTTTTATCTGCAAAACTCCTTTGTGTAGGCTAGAGATGAACTCTTAGCTTCCTTGTCCCTGAGTGTTCACTTGCCACTTCTTCCAACTTCATGGCTGTTGTCCTCCACAATACTAAATAGGACGTATATTTCCCTATGCCACCTTATCAGTGGGAAGGTTGTATAAGAACAAGAAAAGGTACAGGCAGCCCCCCATTGAAGTGTGTTCAATATGTGTCTGACCATGTATATGTGCATCGCACCAAACCCAGAAGTAACCCAGAAACGTAATAAAAGATGCCCCTAAGAAGGCGGAATGGGGGCAGAGTAGGTAGTGGGGGCAGAATGGGTGTTTGCAGGCTTTTTGAATTACATGGAAGTGTGCTATGACACAGAACACAAGCCCCACGCAAATCAGGGGTTGCCTATATATCAAATTTGGAATTACAAGTTTTACATTATGTCTGTATAGTGCATTGCTGGGGGTGAGGGAAACTTCATTTATATAGAAACCCTAAAGAGCATGCTTCCCTAGGTTTATAGCTATCCATTTGAATGCAAATCTACCAAGGATTCCAAGCAAAGAGAGCTGTTCCAAAGAGCCCACCCATGATAATATTCACCACCTTTCCTCCTGCCACACCTCTGTTGAAAGGCATCCTCAATTATTAGATTCATACTAACCATATTCCGTATCTTAAGTCAGCAAAGCATTTTGAGCTCCGCTTACCTGTTTAGCAGGTTTCCAGAATGGCAAAACAACACTTATCTTTGACTACATAAATGCCGTCAGTTGTGACTCATAAAGAAATGAATGCTGTCACTATGATGGAGAAAACCTAACTCAGTTAACCAAAGTGTAGTGCAGTTTAATAGGTGTGTGGCAACACTGCCTAACTTGGTGGAGGGAGTGCCTGCCTCTTCCAGAATTATTGACGTGAAGAAAACCCCATTCCCTGTTATCCTCAATTGTTATGTTAGAGCGGGCTAGAGCTGGGAATGCAGTTTGAGAGTTATTTTGATACTTAGCATGCTTTTATTCAAAATAGCTCCATCAGATTCTTCATGTTGTTTTCTACTCTTCCTACTGTTGTATGTGCTATTGGGGGGGGGGGGAATAGATAAGTTTGAATCTTTTTTTAAAAAAGATCTTAAATGTTTTCCCCACTGCTTTGAAAATGTGGTAGAACTTGAAATCATTGACGTTAGAGTGAAGCCATTTTTAACTTTGTAATCCTTGCAGGGTACAAAAAACAGACCTCGAACCAGCTGTAGATGTTAATCCTCCCTTTGATGGTACAGGCATGTTAGATGAAGATGAAGAGAATTTCCAAAAAGCACTTGCTCTCAGCAGACAGGAAATAGATATGGAGGATGAAGAAGCAGATCTCCGTAGGGCCATTCAACTTAGTATGCAAGGTAAAATGCTCTTTTAGATTGCCGCCCCTGGAATGCCCCCTCCCTGTAGACCCAGCTGTCACCATCCTTTTTAAAATAATTTAATCAACAAGCAAGACTTTTTTATTCTCTGAAGACTTTCAGTGGGTGATTGGTGGTGGTTTTTATTTTTTTATACTGCTAATTTTTTTAGGAGGAATTTGGATGATAAACCACTGAAAAACTGTAAATAGAAGAGTAGAAAATTAAAATCATTTTAAATTTAATCTGCTGTATCCCAGTAATGGTGTATGTGCATGTTTTAATTTTAGGAGGTGGCCTTAGAAGTGGTTTCCCAGATTCTTGCACACAAAACGTGCCACATTCATCTGCTACAAGCCACTCTGAATCTCTTACATCAGAAGAGCTGCGGCGGAGAAGACAGGCCTATTTTGAAAAGTAATGTAGACACTGCAAAGTGGGATTTGTTCGTAGCAGTCCCAGAAGTATTTCATTACTTGGCCATTGCATTAAGTAATACCAGTGTTTTACTGGTATCTCTAACTCCCTCTCCTGGGCCTCATCACATTTGATTGATTTATGATCAGTTAATTTATTCAAGACTATTTTCACATCAGTGGTTGTCTAGTAAATGCTTCCTCAATTCTGTAGATGTCTCGATTACTTTGTAAAAACATTCGGGTGGGTAGCTGTGTTCGTCTGCTGCAGCAAAAATAACAGTGTGTTGCTTTTGATTCATTTTATTCTTGGTTGTGGCACAGGATTGGGCTAGGTTTTTCCATCCTGCCTAATAAATATTTTAGAATTGGGTAGATATTTCTTTTTAAAATGTATATAATTGACTATCAAAAAAAAGCACTGCTACAGCTCATCACTCTTTGTTAGGTCAGTACTTTACAATCTTAACACAAATACTGTTCCATTACTGAAAAGGAAAATGAAGCAAACTAAGGGTTTGCATCTGATGTCACACAAGCAGAATTCTGTTCCAAAAGGTCCCCCAAAGCCCTGGGGCAGATTTGGAGGGGGGGAAGCAGGGGGAGGATGGGAAGAAGATGTCCTGTTGCACAAGCAGAGGTCTGCGAATGGGAAATCTGTTCCACTCAGGCAACAGCAGCATTGAATGAAACTCTTAAAGCCAAGATGGGAAGGCAATGACCAACGCGGGTAGCAGACCTTTATAACATTGCCAAGGGCAGATCTTGCTGTGAGTGTTATTTAAACTGGTATGTATGTGAATGAATATTTACCCTTACTTTACAACATCACAGAACTTGTTTAGTCAAAATTAGAACTGCATATTTAGATTCCACTTTTAAAACTATTATTGACTGTTCTAGACAGCAGCAGTTGCATCAGCAAGTTCAGAACCCAGGTTTCCATGATGCACCAGTTACAAATTCAAATACACTGGTCACCGATCCAGGTATTACTTTCCGTCTATCATATTACCATATATGTGTTACCTTACTGTTCTGCCTACTGTTTTCTACATGATGTTTTCAGATGTCAAGGAAAAAACAATTATCTGACTTTTAGAAGACATCTGAAGGCAGCCCTGTTTAGGGAAGTTTTTAATGTTTGATGTTTTATCGTGTTTTTACTATTCTGCTGGGAAGCGCCCAGAGTGGCCAGATGGGTGGGGTATAATAATAATAATAATAATAATAATAATAATAATAATAAAATAATAAAATAATAATAATCCTTTCTAACTTGGTGGGTCATCATTTCAGTCTTGACTTGGGAAGATTTGGTATAGCTATCTGTATAGTTTAGCAAGTGAATGAATGATACGGTGCATGTTTGTGTATTTTCTACTAACTGCCTAGCCTCGTGTTTTAGTCAATCAAGAGGCAATCTAGAGCAATGACTAACTCATCATTAGCTGTGACTGCAGGTGCATCTATAAAGAATGCAAAAAGGAGAAACTAGTTATCAGAAGTGCCAACTGTGAATATTTGCTGTAGCTCAACACATTTCAGAACTGAAGTTCTTCAGGAACAATCTAGAGAGAATCAAAACTGTAAAAGACAACTATTGATGTGTAAACAAAATACTATTCAAACTGTTTGAAATCTTAGAGATATATACAGTTGTACCACGGATGTCGAAGGGAATCCGTCCCGGGAGTCCGTTCAACTTCCGAAACGTTCGGCGACCAAGGCGCGGCTTCCGATTCGGAACCCGCATAACCCGCCTTCGTAAACTGGAACACTCACTTCCGGGTTTGCGGCGTTCTGGAGCCAAAACGTTCGACTCGCAAGGGGTATGACTGTAGTTACCGAAAAAAGCCATCATTTAAGAGCAGTGTAACAAAACAATACAAATTGTTAGAACTACATTAACAGGCTCTTCAGTTCTGACATGCATTGATTACTAGTTGGCACTTTGGATAACTAGTTTCTCCTCTTACTTTTTTTTGGGGGGGGGGGTTTGCAGCCATAAAACATAATGGGGTTGCTGACAGTATACTAACACCAGTGAGGGCCCAGAGTACCCCAGCCATACATGCTGTTTAATCTCCAGAGCAAGCAAGTCTGATTTCTTTCTTCATGCCACATTATAGGGAAGAAACTGATATGGAGCACTATTTCTTGGAATTCTCCATATTCTATTTGTTGGATCAAGACAAGTGCAAGTCGTTATTGATCTTCTTGTTACATGCTCAGTAGCCAGGATAACTCTTCCACCCCCACCCTCTAGCAGATGGGTGCATGCTGAAATTTTTTTTAAAAAACTACACTGCTATTAAGAACTGAGCATTTTATCAGGGAAAAGGTATAATGAAGTCAGTAAAATCTAAAAAGAGAAACGACATATACATTTCCCCTTTTCATAGCTGTATTTTAGAACCTAATGCATTTTATCTTCTATTTTGCCAGGAGGTGATATGAGTGAAGAGGATATGCTTCAGGCAGCTATGAATATGTCCTTGGAAACTGTTAGAAACAGCTTGAACACAGAAGAAAAGAAATGACAAAAATTCCTAGTTTTATTTTATCGAAACACTAAATCCTGTATTGATCCTATGCGGGTGGTATAAAGGTAGGGTTCATTTCACTGATGTACCAAAGCAGGATATAGCCCTAAAGCCTATGGGGCTGAGGATCAGAATTAAAAGTCAATTGCATATAATAAAAATAAAGTCTTCTCACCTCAAGGTTTTAGTTCCCCATGCCACTAGTTCTAATCAAGATTGTAGATTTGCTGCACGTGAGCAAAAGGATTATCAGTTTGTTCTAAAATCTCAACTCACCTTCCTGATCCATAGATGTTCAGGGTAAGTTAGTGATTCCTTCAAATAGTTGTATGGGGTAGCAGCCCTGTTCAGTTGTGATGGCGTATTCATGCGGGTTTCTGCACAGCAAAATCAACTGTACCCAGTTACACAGAGGTCCAGTCCTGAGGCTTTTCTGTTGGGATGCTAGCCAGCATTGGGTGACACCTGCAGCTTCATCGGCTCACGTACATGCCTTAAGGCATTCCAAACACCTCTGTATTTTGGATATTTTAAGCCTATATAAATATAATTTGCCTTTCACTTCTGAAAGATATTTCTGTTACACAGTTTTTTAAAAGGGGAAAGTTGGCTTGTATTCTCAGTCCTTCTTACGCAAACTATTTTAATAGACGAAATTAAATAAAGTTATTTTACCAGTATAAGAAAAGATGCAAAAAAAAAGGTCTGGTTCCAGAACTGAATTTTGATTGTTTTAAGGACTGCAAGAGATACAAACTAACAAGCCCATCTTGCATCTTTTTCAACTGTAAATACTTTTCCTTTTTTTTGGAGGAGGAAAGGGAACGTTTTCATTTATTATACTCTTTCTGCTAAATTTTGGGCAGTTCTGCCCTCAATGCACTGTTTTAGCACTCTGATTCCCTGAACATTGGTTGAATAGCTGAAGTAACAAGTTGTGGAGCATATTTCAGAACCGGTTACTTTAATTCCTATTCTGTTACATGGGAATTGTTTTCTGATCCCTCGTTTTATCCTTTCTCCCCGTTCCTGTGCTTCTATACAAGTGTTAGACTGGATAAGCAAAAGAAACTGCCTTACATTGAGTTAAACCATCGGTCTATTTAGTCCAGTTACCATCCCCTCTGACTGGCAGTGGGTTCTTCAAGGACTCAAGCAGAGGTCTTTTCCATCCCTGCTACCTGAGTTTCTTTTAACTGGAAAAACCTGGGGTTAAACCTGGGACTTTCTGCATGCAAAGCATGTACTCTGCCACTAAGCTAAGGCCTTCCCAGAATTCCAGGCTTCTTTTTTAGGAGTAAAGAAGATGAGGAAACATTTTAATGCCATGACTTCAGTGCCACCTGTATACCTGCTTTCTGAAATGAACCCTGCATGGTTACCTATGTGTTAAGAATGGATATTCATAAATGAATGTGTGTGGGTGTGTGCTCTATCAGATGTTAATGAATGTCCTCTACCTGTAAGATTTTTGCCGCTTTTCATGAATGGCCTTTGTTCATGCACCTTACAGTTTTTTTTCTATCGTCGTGTCTGTTACTGAGGAAAATGGGGGAGCAAACTTAGAGCTTTTTTTTTTATTCTGTTAGTTGAGGTATACAAGAGTACTACGGGAGGATGACCACATTTGGCATTCTGTATTACAAAAAAACAGTTTTAACATTTTTATTTTTATTTTGTAAATGGTGCTTTAAGCATATATTATGTTTACATATGTATCTTATGGCTATGGTCTTGGGATGTTTACAGTGTTCAGACTGTATACTCTGCTTAAACCATAGGCATTTGCCAGGTATACCAAGAAAAATATTGCAAAACCTATTGTTAATTTCTTTTGATAATGTTTTCAAAATTAATTATATTATTGCACCATCTTGAAGTGTCATCCTTAGCTACTGAATGATAGATAACTGTATGCAAATATATGGTACGACAAAGGAATACATTACAAAGAAGAACACTTGGATTTTGATAATGTTTGTTTACAACAGTGAGCTTTAGATGCTTGGCTAGTTATAGAAGCTGAATCCCATTTATCTTACTTGCATGCTTCATGTTTTGTTGATCTCTCTAAAAACCATTGCATAAGTATGGATAATGGGATTTGGCCCTGAGGGTAAGCATTGCTTTTAAGAATGCATCTAGCTTTACCATTTCCATAAAATTAAGGCAACACTGTTTTGCGCTACACAATTTACTTGATTTATTAACAGGAGGAAATTAGCTTGCCAAACTTAATGCACAGTCATTGTTTTTAAAACTTCTGCACCATTAGTTACATAAAGCTGTCTGCATTGATTTTTTGTTTTTGCTTTTAAGGTATTACTTGAAAACAAATATGCGAATGGATTCATATAAAACATGAAATCATACCAGTCTGTAAAAATGATGATTTTTTTTCCTTTGTACTTTTCCAATAAATCGTGTTCTTTTGAACAAGTTGAATCTGTTGGAATTTAGGGCCACTTTTTTTCAAGATACTTTTACTTGAGTGCATATATCCCAAGAACAAAATATACATGGACCACATCAATTATGGAAGGTGTGCAGAGGTTTCTAAATCTACCTTTCCATTTAGAATACACCAAAGATGGAGGTCTGTTGTTGCATAATTTATAGAGTACAGCTGTGGTTCAAACTTACACACACCTTAAAAATGGATGCTGTACATGTATTTGTGTAGCCTTTAGTTATTTTGAAACACAAGACTTCTTTATATGGAAACAAGACTCCCAAAAACTAGCTTTAAAATGCTTTTGAAAGGCATGGTAGCAGCCCCTGACCTTGATATGCTGCTCCTAAGGGTTATATTAATGGAAAGCTTTGAGCCTTGTTCATTTTAGTTTAAAAATCTTACATGAACTCTCTCCATGAGTTTGGACTGCAGTTTATGAACAAAACCTGTTGTCCAGTAATGTCAGTGTCAGAACTACCTGAAGCATGGGAAACATTGAATGTATCTTCTGTTCATTTCATAGCCTAATTTCCATATTAGGGGAATGCAGAATCCAGTTCTGGCAGGAAGGTAAACAAATTTCTTTCAAAGCTTCTAATGTTAAGCTGATATGTATTGGATACTTGTCTTCACATTCCAGCCAGGTTCTGCATTAACTTTACTAGGCTTTTTGATTCAGCCATCTTTTCTCTTAATCCTGCTGAGCACCACCAGCACATTCATTATCTTCAAAACCAGAATTAAGTCAGCAGAGTGTGTGTTGGGGTGTGCGTATGCAACTTCTGTAACTAAATAAGTTGATAATGTGTGCAGCGTTCCTCGACAACCCTGTTGAAGACAGTCTCATTTTGAGAGAGGGAGCAGGTGGCACTGTGATCTAAAGCACAGAGCCTCTTGGGCTTGCCAGTCAGATCAGAAGGTCCGCAGTTTGAATCCTTGCGACAGTGGTGAGCTGCTGTTGCTCTGTCTCAGCTTCTGCCAACCTAGCACAGTGGTACCTCAGGTTAAGAACTTAATTCGTTCTGGAGGTCCGTTCTTAACCTGAAACTGTTCTTAACCTGAAGCACCACTTTAGCTAATGGGGCCTCCTGCTGCCACCGCTGCACGATTTCTGATCTTATCCTGAAGCAAAGTTCTTAAGCCAAGGTACTATTTCTGGGTTAGCGGAGTCTGTAACCTGAAGCGCCTGCAACCCAAGATACCACTATAGTTTGAAAGCACACCAGTGCAAGTAGATAAATAGGTACCGCTGTGGTGGGAAGGTAAACAGCGTTTCTGTGCGCTTTGACTTCCGTCACAGTGTTCTGTTGCGCCAGAAGTGGTTTAGTCATGCTGGCTACATGACCCGGAAAGCTGTCTATGGACAAACGCTGGCTCCCTTGACCTGAAGCAAGATGAAGCTCCACATCCCAAAGTCGCCTTTCACTGGACTTATCCGTCCAGGGGTCCTTTACCTTTACCTCCTTTGAGATGACCCAGCTGATGGTCCTGGTTGGAAAAATACTAAATATTGGATGCTGAGCCCGCGACTGGGAAAGAAATCTTGCTTTAACATTGTCTGAATAAGATTAGGGCACAGAATGTTGGAGTGAAATAAACTTCATTTGACACTGAATCAGTACACCTTTCGGAGTAAACGTGCTCCGGATCGTTTACCCCGCCTCCCGCCCTTGCCTTGCCACCCTCCGAACCGACTGGAGCTCGGCGAAATCCGGGCTGCCTGCGCTTCTCCCGCTCGCGGCTTGAGGGCGCCGCCGCTTTATCCTCCCGTATCCCGGCTGACCTTGCTCTCCAGGCCACGTCCCTGGGCGTCCGGAGGGGCGCGCTAGCGGCTGCCGCTCTATGGTGCAGCTGGGAGGTGTCATGGCGGCCGTCGAGGTGGCAGCCCAAGCTGGAGGCCCCACGGCTGACTGAAGAAAGGAGCCCGGGCTGGAGGGGAAGCGCGAGGTGCTTCATGGCGGCCCCGGAGCTCTGAGGGAGGCCCAGCAGCTGGCTTCCCTTCTCTGGGCTGCTCCCCGAGGCAGGCGGGCGTGGGGAAGCGGCGCTGAGGGGAACCGGCGGCGGCAGCTGCTCTTGGCGGCGGCGCCTTGTTTTTCGCCTTGGACAGCTGAGCGGCAGCGGTGATGGCGTCGTGGCTGGGCGGCCTGGGAGCGGGACTGGGGCAGTCCCTGGTGGGCCAGGTGGGAGGCAGCCTGTCCACCCTGACCGGTCAGATCTCCAGCTTCACCAAGGATATGCTGCTGGAAGGCGGCGCGGAGGAGATGGGAGGTAAGGAAGGTGGGTGGGTGGGAGGGAGGGAGGGGAAGGTGGCAGCACTCAGGGGTCCCCAGCATAGAGAAGACAAAAGGAAAGACACGGGGGGGGGGGGAATCAAAAGTGTCCTGAATACCGGAGGGGAGTAGCTCTGATGCTGGGAGTTGTCTATAAATGCCAAATGTGCTCTTGGGATGGGGAAGGGTGGAGTTAAAATCCTAGAATCGTAGAGTTGGAAAGGGCCCCCCGAAAGTCATCTCGTGCGACCCACTGCAATGCAGGAATCTCAGTTAAAGCATCCACGGCAGAATGACAGAGTTAAGGGTATCAATATGTACTTTATTTTTATTTTTTGGCAAAGGGTGTTTAAGGAGAAATCACTGGGTTAAAGCTGACCAAAAGTCCACAGGTAGTATTGTCAATTGATTTAGCATGGGGCGGAAGGTTCGCAGGCCAGGAAGGACTTGCTCACGAATTTGTTGACAGCTGCCCCAGTTATTGTCGATAGGAAGGGGGCAAGGTGAGTGTAAAATGGAAGAATGGTATAAAGAGGTGTGGGATATAGCTATTAATGGTAAATTGACATGTGCTATTAAGGTAAGATGGGGAATGTGCAGGAGAAATGATTTCGAGGAGATGTGGAAGGTGTTTGTAGGTTTTGTACTGTTAAAACGGAAAGGGGTCAGACCATCACAAGTGGTGCTGAAATTTTGGGAGGTTGGGTGGTTACAGTGGAATGGTCTCAGGGTGGAGTGCACATCTTTATTTTTATTTTATTTATTAGTATTGCTTTGTCAAAAATTTTTATTTTTTTAAAAAATGACAGTTAAGGTTAGATGACAGTTCCTGGGATTCACATTTAGGGAAGAGTGCTGCCATGCTCAGTTCCCACTTTCGGGTTTCCCACGGGTATCTGGTTGGCCTGTGTGAGAACAGGATGCTAGACTAGATGGGCCTTTGGTCTGATTCATCAGGGCTTTTCTCATGTGGAGGCAAGGTAGCAGAGTCAGATCGAGAGCTTATGAAAGGGCAGGGAGGATTGTTTTGAGTTGGAGCTACAAATGTTGAAATAAAATATCTTGCCCATCCCATCCAAAAATACACAAGGCCACAAACAATGTAAACAAATTGTAACAATAACAAATACAAAACAAGCAAACTGTTAAAAGTGCCTTTTCTTGAAAAAAAAAGGATGCTTTGGACAAAAAGTAGCAGAAGAATCAATTTTCATAAAACAGTATATTGAAAGGAAAAGTCTTGACTGCTCACCAGAAAGCACACAGGAATGGGACCTGGTGAAGTTCTTTTGGTATGATGTTGCACTGTTTTGGCACCTCCACAGAAACACGAACTTGCACCCAACAGGTTAGATATTGGGGGTTGGGGGAAATGGCATTATTGTGATAGGGGAGGACAGTATTGGTCAAAAATACAATGAGGATATTTCAGAAAACTTTTAAAACTGGGACTGTTCATGAAGAACATCACAAAACAGCAGTCAACCATGGAGATCATAAAGGAAGGAACAGTGTGGGACACCTGGCAGAAAACAATAAGAAATGCCTTGGATATTGTGCTGTTTGCTGGTGTAATGACAACTGCCTAAGGCAAATTACATTTTTAATGACAGGTGGAATTTGTGGATCAAGTGAGGATAATGTATAGGTCACTGGCAAAAAAAATTCTGTATTTCTGACAGAGCTTTGTCCCTTTTAGCATTTGGTTTTCAATTGTTCGTTCTGTATATATTGCTATACCTGGGCAATCTTAGAAAGCACACCACTAATATAAACTTCATAGGAAGGTATATTATGAATTACAAACATGTAATACAAACATGCTTTCCATAAAAGGTTTGTACCAATTTTTAATATTGTGATGGTTAGTAACATGCAACTTGAGTGTAGTTTTCTTTTTTGGTTGATTTAATCTCCAGTTGGCTTTGTTTCATTTAGAATAGTGTGTTTTAGAAAATTTTAGCAACTTTTTTCATTTCACTACTAAGCAATTTAAATTGTCAAGAGCTTTGGAGAACAGGTGGCATATGAGAAAGGAGGACAGCAAAAATAATTTTGGTCTCATAACTATTGCACATCATTATTTTTATGTCTATCTTTCTCTTGTTAGAAATGCATATACACTCAATTGCAAAAGAAAGATGATGTCACATAAGACATTTTTCACTGTGTACACTCAGAAGGCAAAGTTCAGCCGTCGTGTTAAAGGTCTATATACTGTGACTGTTCTATCAAGTATCCAATAATAGTGGGATTCCGGAGATTATCCATTATTCCAACAGGGTGTTGTGAAAAAAGCAAAGTATTTCAGTTGCGTAGAACTTTTAGAACATAATATTTGTAGGCAGTTTCTGGAAGATACATTTGAATTTAAAACATGTAGTGACTTCATTGAATATCAAGTTTTTAAGTAAGTTTTCAAGCATCTGTATCTATGTCCTTTTTACCTGCCAGTGACATAGGAGTTTAAAGGTTGAGAACGTATTTACTAAATGCACCAATAAAATATTCCAGCACTATCCCTACTTGCATTATGTTTTATTATACACAAACAGTCACTATATTATAAGGGAAGCAAAATCTTTTCTAAGGATCAGAATTTCATATTCCGAGGAGAATATGGTTTACACATAATCTCTGAGATTTATGTAGGTAAGAAACAATTATAGTGGAGTCAACCTTCCTGTGTTGTTGTTTTTTGAAAAAGTGGTTAAATATCAAAAATATGGTCAGTCCATTATATGTTTGTTTCCATTTTAAATCCAACACACATGAATTCTAAAATGTTGTGTTGTTATTTTTAATTGACTCTCAGGCACTAATACAGTACTGATGTAGTAGTAGTTCAGTCTAAGAAATCCTTTTAAATAATCTACCTTCAATTGACACTTTTTAATATATTGCCACTAAACCTATCCACATACATATACTGTTGTGATAACTGATTTCATTTGTATTCCCTTCTTCATTCCTTTCAGGTTCTGCAGCAGACTTTCCTGTATCCAGCTCCAGTCTGCGGGATGTAGAAAATATTCATGGAACACTGAGATCAGAGGTAAAAAATTAATCTGTAAAATCACACTGAAAAAAATAAGACCTGTTCTTAAGCTTGGGCTTCTTGGCATATTTTCTGTACAGTAGAATGTTGGTTTAATTGAATTTAGCATTCTTTTCTTTGACGATTCAGTTTACTTGTTTTCCCCTCTAGAATGAGAGGCTGAAGAAGGCTTATAATGATCTGGAAGAAAAGCATGAAGCAGCAGAGCTTCAAATAAAGCAACAGTCCATAGAATACCGGAATCAGCTACAGCAGAAAGAGGTATAAAGTGACACAGAAATTGTTGTTCAGCAAGGGTGTGTACATTGATTGATTGATTGATTGATTGATTGATTAGATTTATAAGTTTTCACCCTAAGGGTTGGTGACATGATTCAAGGATTTTGTGTGTATGTGTGCATTACTGTTTCTTTTATTGAAATATAATATTAATGGCTTTTTGTCTGAGTTTAGCTGCACTGGCTACCCGCAATTTGCTTACCCAGTCAAATTTTTGTCACTAAACAAATAGGGATAATTGTATCAGCTCTTCATATACTTCTTGAATTGTTTCAGTGCGGTTGGTGGAATTTCAATGAAGGACTAAAACACAGAAATACGTTATGAATGTCATTTTATGTTTGCCCAAATCCCAGAGTGGTTTTCCTTCTCCAGGAGACAGTAGCATAGCATAAACCCTTATCTTAATCCAGAATGCTGTTCCCACGATAGCAGATATATATGTAAACACACATTCTCTCTTTTAAGGCGGAAGAATTACCCTTCATTCTACAGCCATCCACATGGATGCATTGTCTTATGAGCATGATGGATGGGGATGAATCCTTCTGTTCCTCCCCCACAGATACAAGATTGCTGTCCAGATAAGCATATGAACAGGATCTGTGTGAAAAATGTGCTTGTGCAATACCTGTAGTATATCAAGTAGAAAATTCCAGAATTAATTACAGTCATACCTTGGGTTGCGAACGTGATCCATGCCGGAGGCACATTCGCAACCCGCAGCGCCCCGTCTACGCACACACGTGACGTGATTCGGTGCTTCTGCGCATGCGCATGGCGTCATTTTGTGTTTTTGCGTGAGCACCGAAACCTGTAAGTAACCCATTCCAGTACGCAATCTGAAACGTGCAACCCGCAGCGTTCGTAACCCAAGGTATGACTGTACTTGAAAGCCGCAGTGTAGAGCTGCTGGTCAAGAAATACTTTGTATGACCAATTTGATACCACTTGTAACCACTGAGTTACATGAGAAAGTTCTTTCCTACTTTATTACATGTACAGTCTCTGAAGTCTTCTGCTCAGATGGGAATACTTTTATCAGGTGATAGGTAAATTCTGAGTTTATTTGTTCCTTCGTGCTGAATCTTACTTGTAACTGTGTCCTGTCTTTTTAGGTGGAGATCAGCCATCTTAAAGCCAGGCAGAATACACTACAGGAGCAACTGCGGAAGGTGCAGTCAGCTGCTCAGTCAGCACAGTTAGGAGCTGCTGCCTCTCCATCAACCACTCCATCAGCTTCCTTTGTCCCTATGGTTAGACATAGTTCTTCTGGTTTTCAAGGAGATGACATGGACTTTGGAGATGTAATCTGGTCCCAACAAGAAATAAACAGACTATCAAATGAAGTTTCTAGACTCGAATCAGAAGTGGACCATTGGAAACAGATTGCACAGGTGGATCGCTTTCCTGTGTTACAAGTGTTCTGAATTTATAACACTTTTTGAGTTAACTGCTAATAAAGCCCATGCTACAGTCTCTACTGGGGTGGAAGATTTGTCAGGAATTAGATAACTATTCTGGGCTTTTCCGTTAAATGAGATATTGGTGACTTCCTTATTTCTAAAACTGGGTAATCCTTATTAATATATATTATTACATGAATGGCACAAGCATGGTGACAGTGTCCAACTTTCTCTTACAAACCATGGAGTGCAAAGCTCTGCAAGATTGTGGTGGAGCTACGTTTACCCTTGAATGCTTGGGTTGTAAAGCTTTGAAAAGCACACACTTGCTTCATTCAAGCTCTCAGGTGTTGTGGTTTGATGTTTGTGACATGTCAAAGTGGATAGAGATGTACTGTATGTCAACTTTGAATCCTACGTATGCATCTTTGTTCTTTTGACAAAAGGGATCCAAAGCAGATCATTTATATGTATTTATTGGAGACATTTTTTTAAAGAAATATAATTCTTAGTCTTATATAAATATAATTCTTAATCTTATGGTTGGGTTTAATTCAGCTCAGTCATACTCTGATTATCATAGAATGGTAGAGTTGGAAGGGACCCCAAAGGTCACCTGGTTCAACCCCTTGCAATGCAGGAATCTCAGCTAAAGCATCCGTGACAGATGGCCACCCAGCATTAGACCCATTTAAATCAATGGGCGGCTAACTTAAAGACAACTCTAAAATTTTAAAATCTAATAAACTTATGACTGATTTCTGTGTTGCTTCTACTACACACAATTTTTCAAACATTTTGTAGGTGGTATCCGTTGGTAACATTCTTCTTGCACAATGGGCTCCCTCTTGTACAAATGACACTTTCCTTCCCTCCCCTACTCCATGGAGCCCTCCATGTGCCTGGTGGGATTTCTAATAATAATAATAATAATAATAATAATAATGATAATGATAATAATAATATATTTATACCCTTCCAGCCACTCTGGGTGGCTTCCAACAAAATATTAAAAATACAATAAGACATTAAAACATTAAAAACTTCCCTAAACAGGGCTGCCTTCAGATGTCTTCTAAAAGTGAGGTAGTTGTTTATTTCCCTGACATCTGAGGGCATTCCACAGGGTGGGCTTACGCAAATGGGATTTCCCATTTCAAACATTTAGTGGGTCCCCATTCTCCATCTGCAGCCTCCCACATTCTCCCAAAATCTGCTGCAGATCCCATACGTTTTAGCTGAACATCTTTCAGCATTTTCAAAACTAAAAGTTTTCTCCCTGTTATTTAGTTTTCCAAACCAGAAGGAGCAAATAATACAGATCAGAATGAAATCGGCAAGCTGCAAAATATTATCAAGGTAAGACTATATTTTAATAAATTAGTTCTCCTCTTGCTTTACATTTTCTGTTAATCCTCTTTCAGTTTGTAAATATTCACATAAAACAAGATATTCACATCCTTAACTATAGACAAACTACGATTAAAGATGAGGATGACTATAAATACTGATAGGTTTGTGGTGGAGAAATTATCTGAGTGAATTAAAACAAGATGTTGTGTTGTTTTTTACAAGTAAACTGTGTTGTTATATTGTATATATAGATAACAATATAGATATAAAATGTGTACCATGCCCAAGTCTTCAGAAGTCTTGCATGAACTATTGCTCACATTAAAAATACAAGACATAATCTGCATCCTATATCTTAGACAGATGATATAACTTTCTTTAAAATGCACATTTTAGGAGCTAAAACAGAACTTGAGTCAAGAAATAGATGAGCATCAACATGAGCTTTCAGTATTACAGGATGCACATCGTCATAAATTAGCAGAAATAAGCCGACGTCATCGAGAAGAACTGGGTGAATACGAGGAACGAATAGAAGAACTTGAGGATCAATTACAGAAAGGTCTTGTTTATTGGTTTGATGGGAGTTTTAAAATGAATTGTTGGTTACTGTCATTGATTCTAGCTCTTGAGAGAACCAGATATGTATGGCATTCAAGAATACTCTTTATGGTTGCACTGTGTATGACAATTTGCACAGTTATTGGCCTTGGTGCATTTAAATAGGTTGTAAGAACCAATCAAAAGTTCAGAAGAAATTATAATGATGGCTTCCTGGGTATCCTACACTGACTTTTCTGTCTAGATACCTAACCAAGTCTGTGATGGTTTAAGGATCAGTTTTGCCGAGAGGTGGAAAACTTGTTCTCACACACTCCTTATTCAATGTGACATTTAACTCTGGATGCAGCGGGGCGTGATGCTGGCCATAGAGAATGTAAGATAAAATAATAATGTGCAGCCTGATTCTATTCATGTTTACTTGGAAGTAAGTCCCACAAAGTTTAGTGTGGTTTACTCCTCCATCAGCATGCCTTGGCTTACTGTCTTAGATTCCAACCATACAGTAATATACGCATGACAGGATGGAATAAGTTCATCATCTGTACTAGCTAAATACCATTTTTATACACACATGCTTTTTAGCATCTGTATTAGGAAAAAGTCATTTTTAAAGTTACCTACATCCAAATCTGTACATTCAGCAGCCACAGAATTCACATAATGACTAGTTTCACCGACACAGTGCAGTTCATCTATAAACACACCCTTTGAACAATCACACCCTTTCTACCTAGCAGGCTCCAAAAGCGTTGGAAGTAGATCCTGGAAATTCCTGTTTCAGCCATCTTTAGGGACTTGATCTAACATGTTGGTAAAGCACAAGCTTCTCAGTCTCTTTAAAAGTGATTTAATAAGAACCTTGTCATTGTCTTATGCTTTGCCTGTCAGCGTCAGCGCCAATTTTTACTATTCATACGTAAAACCAACAGCTTGGGACTAACTCGACTGCTTCCATATGTAGAGCTGGTACTTCTATAGGTGCCACATAATATTAATTCTGCACTTGTGAGAAATAGATCTTTTAGGAATCAGAATAACTGCTCAATTGTAATTGAGCTATGAATGCCAAACAGCGTTAATTAAACCTTTGATTTTTATAATTTATTTTTGACAACATATCTGCTGGAGAAAAAACTGATTTTTCACAGGTTGAAAATACCTGCTATTCCAAAATTATTGTGTTGGATCCAGAGTTACATATATATATAATGGGGCTCATGGAAGGAGTCTTCCCTGCCCCCCCCCCACAGCAGCCCCCTGAAATTGTTCCACTGATGGTCAGTGGGCTATTGGGTTTCCCCGAGCCCCCTAGACCACAGCTTACCTCTTTCTGCATGGCCCCTCCAGCCCCTGATGAAGCATTTTCTGGTGCCTGGTGGTGTGGGAAGGAAAGGCAGACAAGTTTCGTGTTTTCATTTACACTGATCTCCTCTCCGATACCTTTACTTGATATTTCTTGCTGCTTTCCTTATAGAATCTATATAAAAAATTTAATCTCTTAAATCCTACACCAATCTTTAACAATTTCAATTAATCGCTTCACCTCCCTCCCCCACAGCCCAGTACTTCCCTCCACCCGTGTGCGACCTTCTTTACCTACTATTATTTTTGTTATTGTTGCGTTATTCACTTTATTTGTTATTCCATCTATTATCCTATCTCCTTGCGCCTTTTAAACTTTTGCATATAAATTTTTAAGCTCCAGCACCGACTTTTTTCATGTATTCCTTAACGCATTCCCACTCTTTATTAATTTTTAATTAATTGGTTTTGCTACATATGCTTTTATTTTGGAGTTGACTGTTTATTTTGGAATTGTTTGTTGTAAAGAATGTATATTATGTGAATAAAATAATAAAGGATGTGCAAAAGAAAAAGAAAATAAAAGATAGGCAGACAAGTTGACTTTTGTCAGCCCCATTATGCATGTTTTGACTCTGGACCCAACCCATTATTACATTTCTTTGGCACTTAGATCTTGTGACTGCTATGAGAAAATGCCCATAGAAAAAAGAAATATCTGGGAAAATGCCCATAGAAAAAAGAAATATCTGGGAGATGTTACAGTTGCATTTTTTTTCTACTTTATAGTTGATGCAGCTGCTGACACTTCTTCTGACTGTGACCCACAGAACATTGTGGCTGAATCGACAGCATCGCAGCTGAAGGACTTGCAGGATAAAGTCAAAAGTTTAAGTCAACAACTGTCAGCAGCAGCAGAAGAGAAAAATAGTCTCTTGAAAGAACTTGAATTGGTGAAAATGGAGAAGAGTCAACTAATGCAGGAATATGAAAGACTCAAATCTGATTCCCATAAATTCCAGGCATCTCTTCTTGAAGAACAGACTGATTTAAAAACACAGGTGGAAGTCCCTAAGTCTGCAGTAGAATCGCTACAAGCAGAAGTGCTCCGACTACAGCAAGCACTTCTTGGTATGAAGCCACTGTAATGTTGTCTCTAATTTTATCATGTGCATATAGTTTTAGGACAATCTTGAAATGCATTTCAAAGAGACATATGAAGAAAGCGCTTCTTTATGTGAGGATGGGGGTGGGATTTGGCCATTTTCTCTTCCAGTAGTGTCCTCTCATTTAATGCTACCCCAAAATTCCCCTTGACCTTCAGGAATAAGGCTGCTGCTTGGGAAGGAAAGCTGAGGAGTCTGGTTCCTGGCCTAAGTGTATGAAAATGAATGCTTCTAAGAATATACATATTAGAGATGTGTATGTTGTTATACTGAAATTCATTTGGCTGCCTTGGTTTCTAGCTTATTTCTGAGTGGCTGTCATGAATGATAGAAAATAAATAAACAGTAATTACGCAATTATTTTTAATGCTAGCTTTTTTTTATTTAACTTGGTAGTATGTAAAATTCCAAAATTGTATCTTTGTGATTATAACCTTAGGTGTTGCCTTTGTATTCTTGTATACTTTCCTCTTAAAATGATAGCTGTTATTTTTTATTGTTTTTACAGATGCGGAAAATGAAATAACAAGACTAAAAAAATCAGATCAGGTAAACAAATTACTAAATTCTCCTGCTTTTACAAATAACCTTGCATAGTATGAATGTGCTCCAACAGCCACACATGCCCCATGTTGCTCAGTTCTGTGTTAATGCCACTGAGAAACAGGTAAATGTGAATCCAAATTTATGTGAATACCAGGAGGTTGCTGCAGTTTCTCCCATCTCTGTCAGCACATAGTAGTATACTATGACCTCAATGGTACACTGAAGGAGAGAGTATAATAGCACAGTATCTTCAGACCTTACCAAACAATAAATTGACGGGACAAGGCAAGTTAGTAAGCATTTATGTTCATGCTTTCCCTGATTTAAGGTTTGCATCCCCTTAAAAGGGGGCATCTCAGGCTTCCAGAATGTTTTAATTTTTGTAATTCCATAAATTCAGAAATATGTTTATTTCCTACAGCTGTGCATGAATTGCAAATACACTTAAATCTTTTAATGTAATAAAAGTGGTTTATGCAATATGAAATTTGTGCCCAGGCATGGGTTTGTTTCCTAAGTTTCTGTTACAAACTGGACAGGAATAACAGAAATGGTGCCCTCTCTTTTCAGTTGAATAGCTTTGTCTTCCCATTTGGCTAATTTAGTACTTTCAGTCATTAATGTGAATTTTGTGTTTTCAATAAATAATTTCAAACCCTCTTTAAAAAGACAAAAAAACCCAACTGATTGATACTCATGAATATTCTCAAATTAATTTTATCCTATTAAATGTAGGGTCTTTTTTCTGTCTAAATTAAGGAAGGGCTTCAAACAAAACTGGAAAGCTTACAACCAACGTGTGAAAGTGATGCATATGTATCGACTCAAGGACAGAACTTAGAGTTAAATCAGTTAAGACAAGACTTGGAAAGGAAAGAACATGAATTTAATGAAAGTATTGCTGAAAAAGAAACATTAATAGCAGAACTAGAAGAATTGGACAAGCAGAACCAAGAAGCTACCCAGGTAATATATTGAATAAACTAAAGAGGTTGGGTGGGTAAGGATATTTATTGTCTGTACTGAAATCTAAAACTATTGGCTGAATCACTTTTATCAGTATTACTCGTCAGTGAATTTGCTTTGTTGTGAAGAGAAATAATGCAGGTTTTCAGAGAATGTTGGATGGAATATATTCGAAATGTTAACATTTCCTGTTAACATGATCAGAGTAGGCCCATAAAAATTAATGGTCATGACTAACTTAGGTTCATTCATTTCAGTGGATCTACTCTTGAGTAAAAGTTAGTTGAATAGAACCCTAACTGGTGTTGACATTAATGCTTAATTCAATAACATAGTTTCTCTAGTATTTTGAAAAACTAATGATGAAGTGATGGTGATTTTTCCACTCTTCAGGGTGCTTTACGGGTCTGTTTATTTACCATGTATGGGCTTTCTCTACTTTTTAAACATTTGTTTGTGTTTTTATTTTAGCATATGATTATTTTAAAAGAGCAGCTAGCCAAGCAGAATGCAGAAACCGCTAATACTGTCAACCAGCTAAAAATGGACACAGAGTCTGAAAAAAGAAAAACATCGAAGCTAGAAGCTGAGAAGCTGGAAATGAGCAAGGAGCTAGAAGGCCAGAGAGAGAAATTGGATCAGTGTACATTTGCACTTAATGATTTGCACATGACTAAACAACACCTGGAAAACAAAGTAAAAGAGCTAAAAGAACAGCTAAAAACATCCCAGCACTGTAGCTCCAAAAATAAGCAGGAAATAGTAGAATTAAAGAAAAATCTAACACAAAGAGAAGAAGAAATTTCTGTACTCCAAAATAAGTTAAGCAAGATAAGTCCAGAATCTAGCGGGGGAAGTCAAGACTCTAACAGTGGTTTTCACGTTCAATCAGCCAAAGAAAGGGAAGCGGAGATTTCAAAGCTGAATGAGCAAATTTCAGAAAATAAACGAATAAATACAGACTTGGAGAAATGTATTTCAAAGCTTCAGATGGAAAAGGAAAAGCTTCAGATGGCTTGTGAAGAACTGAAACAGCAGTTACAGGAAGCTAGTAGTGAGAAGAGTAAGATCGCTTTTGAAAAAGATACCACGGTGGAAGCTTTGAAACTAGAAAAAAGGCGGCTAGAAAATGAACTAAGCCAAACTGAAAGCCAGTTGTTGGAACAGGCTCATAAATATGAGCAAACCATTGAGGAGCTGTCTAACGCACGTAACATGAATACCACGGTGTTACAGTTTGAACACGAGCGCTTAGTTAAACTCAACCAAGAGAGAGACTTTGAGATAGCAGAACTCAAGAGGAGCATTGAACAGATGGAAGCTGACCATGAGGAAACCAAAGAGATGTTAACGACTAGCTTAGCCGGGCAAAAACAACTGACAGAGCTCATAAAAGAGAAAGAAGTGTTTGTTGAAAAATTTAAAACCAGGGCTTCTGAACTAGAGCAGAAGCATGAAGATTATATTAAGGACTCCAAAAGATTTGACATTTTAAAACAAAGTTTAGAAGAAAAGGAGAAAAGCCTTTCAACCATGAAAGAAGAGAACAATCATTTGAAAGAAGAAATTGAACGAGTGAAAGACCAGCAGAGTAGGTCGTCCTCTTTGGCTGAGCCCAAAACCCTAGATATTATCACTGAACTTGAAGCAGAAGTAACACAATTAACTGTGCATAAAAATAATCTTGAAGACGAGGTAAAAATTAACAAAAGAACGGTTGAGGATCAGAATCAGAAAATGGCCCAACTTCAGCATTCCCTGCAGGAGTACAAAAAGGAGACTGAGGAGTCCAAATTTCAGTGTGAACAAATGAGCATCACACACAAACAGGTGTGCTTGGAAAAGGATGAGGAAATCAAAAGCTTGCAGCGGACAATAGAACAAATTAAAAACCAGTTGCATAATCAGAGAACAGTCATTCAGCCAGATCCTCCTGATCTCTTTCAAGAAACCAAAGTGCAGACACTTAATGGTGAAAATGGAAATGAGAAGCATGACTTATCTAAAGCTGAAATTGAAAGGCTGGTGAAAGGCATCAAGGAGAGAGAAATGGAGATCAAACTTCTGAATGAAAAGAATGTCTTGCTAAGTAGACAAATTGATCAGCTATCCAAAGATGAAGTTGGCAAGCTCACGCAAATCATCCAAGAGAAAAACTTAGAGATACAAGCTCTCCATGCAAGGGTTTCATCTCCATCTTATGGGCAGGATATTATTTACCTTCAGCAGCAATTACAGGCCTATGCCATGGAAAGGGAGCAAGTGCTGGCAGTTCTTAGTGAAAAGACTAGGGAAAACAGTCAGTTAAGAACAGAATATCACAAGATGATGGACATTGTAGCAGCTAAGGAAGCAGCTCTGAAAAAGCTTCAGGAAGAAAATCAAAAACTAGCCAATGAATTTGAAAACAGCAGCCAAGATATGTCCCGAGAAACTATTAAGAACTTGTCCCGGATAATTCGAGAGAAAGATATTGAGATTGATGCTTTAAGTCAAAAATGCCAAACTTTATTGACCGTCCTCCAGACATCCAGCATGGATGGAGGCAATGAGTTAGGAGGGATTAACAGCAATCAGTTTGAGGAGCTTTTACAGGAACGTGATAATTTGAAACAGCAAGTGAAGAAAATGGAAGAGTGGAAGAAACAAGTAATGACCACTGTCCAAAATATGCAACATGAGTCTGCTCATCTCCAAGAGGAACTGCAAAGGCTTCAAACACAGATCTCCATGGATAGTGAGAACAATTCTCAGCTGCAGATAGAGTATAATGGCTTGATTCAAGGCTATGAACAAAATGAGAGAAAGCTGAAAACATTTAGTCAAGAATTAGCACAAGTTCAGCATAGCATAGGAGAGCTGAACAACACCAGGGATTTTATTCTGGGGAAACTTGATATGGTAACACCTCCTCTGCCAGTAAAGTCTACCACCGCTTCACAGTCATTGGAGACTTCCAGCAGTGCTGCTTCTCAGATGTTTACTAGTGACTCCAAACCACTAAATGAGGAACTGGAGCGCATGAGTAAAGCACTGGAAGAAAAAGATTCAACTATCCGAATTCTGCAGGAGAATAATCAGAGGCTGTCGGATGCTATGGCTGCATCATCGGAGATGGAAAGAAAGGGTCAAGAGGGGTCTGAATTTGAGATAAAGCACTTGAAGGAGAAGTGTGATGTCCTTCAGAAGTCACTTAGGGAAAAAGACCTGCTAATAAAATCAAAAAGTGATCAGTTGCTTTCTCTCAGTGAAAACCTTAGTAATAAAGAGAACGAAAATGAACTGCTGAAGCAAGGTATAACTAACCTAAAGGAGAGAACTCTGATTTTAGAAATGGACATCCATAAATTGAAAGAAGAAAATGATAGAATAGTGGCAAAATGCAAGGAGAAAGAAACCGAGTTCAGAGCGCTACAGGAGACTAACCTGCAGTTCTCAATGATGTTGAAGGAAAAGGAATTTGAGTCTAGTTCCATGAAGGAGAAGGCTTTTACGTTTGAAAAACTGTTGAAAGAGAAAGAGCAGGTACGTGATGAGTTGAATTTTTGCTTATTTTGTTCAAGGTCAAAGGGAGAAAGGTGTGATTGCTATTAAGTCATGCAATGCTTATTTTTGTTATCTGGCACAGGGTCCCAATTGCATATGCAGAATTCCAGGAAGGATGTCAATAAGTTTCTAGACATTCTTGCTTAAGAAATGTCTATACTTTTGCAGAGGCTGAAAACTAAGGAACATATTCAGGTCTCCTGAGGAAAAGACCAGTATCAGTTTTTAAATGTCCATATATTTTAGAATGTAAAGTTTGTAAATGAGGAAGATGCAAATTCTAGTGAACATCTGATTTGCAATGCAATCTTATGCAAGTGTACTCAGATGTAAGTCAGCAGTGTTCAGTAGGGGCTTGTGCATAGATAAGTATTTGTGGGGTTCCCAGTCTTAGTTTAATTCTCAAATTTATTACTGTACATCCACATTTATATCCTTTCAAGTCCCCTGGCACAGTGCTGCACATTTAACATAAAAAGAAGATAGATCTTTAAAATGCAATAGCCTCTCTTTATTTTTATTTTTGGAAGGGGAAAGCAGGAGAGCTGAACCAGCTGTTAAATGAAGCAAAATCAATGCAGGAGAAGGCTGTTGCTTTTCAGCAAGAGAGAGATAAAGTCATGTTAGCACTGAAGCAGAAACAAATGGAGACTACTGCCCTACAGAATGAGGTATGCAAGAGTTACCAGTCTTTGGGGGCTTGTGGGCATATTTGCAAACTAAACAAACTCTCAGGGATGTCACACCCACCCCTAATCCAAGTACACACAGCAACCTGGTCTGTAGGTTGCAATATAATGCTCCTTGCAGGTTTATTTGAGGGTGGGGAGGCAGGGGACTCTGGGCACCAGGGAAAGTCTCTGTAGAAACATGTGGCACCATCGAAGGATGAAAATTGAGTGAATGAAAGAGTGGGTAGCTGAGGGTGAATAAGAAAAGCTGAAGCAATGTGCCCTCAATTAATTACACAGATACAGCATTTACGTGATAAGGAGCAGCGTCTGAATCAAGAATTGGAGAGATTGCGCAATCACCTTTTAGAAAGGGAAGACACTTCCACACGGGAAGCTTTAGCAGCTGAGGATCGGGAATCTAAGCTTAAAAAGAAAGTCCAGGTTTTGGAAGAAAAGCTGCAGTTTTCATCAACTGCAGTGGAGAATGCCAGGTAATAACTTTGCTTCCTTTAGCCTTATCGGTACCCAGAATCCTAGTCAGCAGCTAGTTTTGTTGAAATGTTTTGTCCAGACATCCTATTGAGATGGGCGATGATGTGAGAGCACCCTTGTATGGTTTTGTCCAGAAGTCCTGATGGCACTTGTGTCTCTTCCTTTGCTCTCTTTCAGAAAGTAATTAAAGTGTCAGTATACTACAGCCATCACGCTCAGACTTTTAACTGCAACACAGCTCATACATTTTTATCATTCTTATTGTTCCCTCCTTTCTGCCTGCCTGCCTGCCTTCCCTCCTTCTCTAAAGGCAAAAGGGAATGCTGGTGGTTTCACTTGTTTTACCTGCCCAGAGTAAGTTATAATTAGGTTAATTGCCTGAAAAGGGGAGGGGGGGGGGAGAAATGGTTTGCAAGGGAATTTGAACCAGGGTTGGGTGAAAGTCCTGAAATTTTCAACTAGATGAGGGGTAGTCAACCTTTTTATACCTACCGCCCACTAATGCATCTTTCTTGATGGTAATATTTCCTTACCGCCCACCAGTGCTCGATGGAAGGAGGATTCAGCTTGTGCCCTAGAACCCCCTACCACCCACCTAGAATCCTAAAACGGCCACTAGTGGGCGGTAGGGACCAGGTTGACAACCCCTGAACTAGATGGTGCATCAATAATAGGATAATTCATTCCTTAACGCATGTGGTAGAGAGAGGTGTTTTATTCTTTAGGGTGGGAGCTGAAGGGCCTTGTTTGATCTATACATGCGGTAAAGCACAAGAAAGGCTTTAAGTGCAGGAGGCTTCGGATTAGACAGAGAACATGAAAGAGGTTTTATAAAATGGTGTCAAGAAAATAGAGAGCAAAAGGGGATTTTCCTTCCTAACACTGGAACTTGCGGCCTGACAATGAAAGTGATTGGCTGATGGATCAGGATGGATCAAAGAAAGCAACAGATCTCATTTATGGAATACAGTGGTGCCTCGCAAGACGAAATTAATTCGTTCCACGAGTGTTTTTGTCTAGCGAATTTTTCGTCTTGCGAATCACGAATTCCTATAGGAATGCATTGAAAATCATTTAATGCGTTCCTATGGCCAAAAAAAGTCCAAACAAAGCCAAATTTGGTACAACCACCTCCCCAACTGTTGCAAACCCCTCCCCAACTGTTGCAAACCCCTCCCCAACTGTTCCCCCAGTCACCCAGCACACAGAAATTCAAATCCAGAATTTTTTTAAAAAAAACAGCAGAGTGGCCCAGTGGTCACAGAAAATCACAAAAATGCAGAAAAAAACACACAAGCTTCCAGATTCCTGCAAACCCCTCCCCAACTGTTCCCCCAGCCACCCAGCACACAGAAATTCAAATCCAGAATTTTTTTAAAAAAACAGCAGAGTGGCCCAATGGTCACAGAAAATCATAAAAATGCAGAAAAAAACCACACAAGCTTCCAGATTCTTGCAAACCCCTCCCCAACTGTTCCCCCAGCCACCCAGCACACAGAAATTCAAATCCAGAATTTTTTAAAAAAACAGCAGAGTGGCCCAATGGTCACAGAAAATCATAAAAATGCAGAAAAAACACACACAAGCTTCCAGATTCTTGCAAACCCCTCCCCAACACCAAGTCCTTGAATTCCAAACACCCCAACCCAAAACCCCCCCAAAAAGTTTTAAAACCTTAACTTGGCTGCAAAAGAAGTTTTGTAACAGCTTCAAAAATCACCAAAGTCTTTAAAAACCTCAAAAAGGCTACTATGTACACTGCGTTCTATGAGTTGCTCCTTGAAGTCAAGTCGCAACTGTATTAACGGTGTTAAGAAAAGGAAACAAACTTGCAAGACGTTTTCGTCTTGCGAAGCAAGCCCATAGGGAAATTCGTCTTGCGAAGCAGCTCAAAAACGGAAAACCCTTTCGTCTAGCGAGTTTTCCGTCTTGCGAGGCATTCGTCTTGCGGGGCACCACTGTACTTGCAGATGGTTACTGGCTAGATGATTTGAAAAGCAGCTAAGTGGAACCTCTGTCTTAAGAGGTGAATTGCATCTGACTGCCGGTTGTTGAGGAGCAATAGGAAGAGAGGACCGTTGTCCCCATACCTGGAAGTTCTCAGTTGGCCACTGAAAGAGGCAGGATGCTAGCCTTTAATGTCCCTCTTGGTTTGATGCAGCTGAGCTGTTACGGACTTCTCAACTTCCTCATTCAAATGGCAGAAACATACAAGTGGGGAAGCACTTGCATTCTCACTGGCCCTTTAAAATTTTTGTACCTTTATTTGTATTTTCCATAAAGTATGCCATCAAATCAATCCAAGAAAAGAAAAACACTTTCTTCTTTAGAACCCAACTTAGTATCTCGTATAATTTATTTAATATCTGACTATAAAAACTGGCATTTCTGTTGAGTGATGTCACTTTAATCCCTCTTTTCCCCTGGGTTATATTAAATCTGAGGAGAATGAAATACCTATATATAACTAGAATTGCTTCCAGAAGAGAGTAGTTTGTTTTTCTAACAACAGTCTAACAACAAAATTTGCTAACAAGTCTAACAACAAAATTTGATTAACTTTTTAAAACCTTTTTTGAAAGAAAGAAGAAAAGTATAAACTCTTCTTCCTGCAAAGAATATCTGCAGGAACTGATTTCATGTTTATATTTTGAAGCCGAGGTGACAACTGCCAAATATCCAGACCCCTGAAAGATCCAGGGGCAGCAGAAATTAAGGTTTTTTGGTGTGTGTTTTTAAAATAACCTGGTTGATTTTACATATTTTACTTCAAGCCACGAGGCTAGCATGCAGGTGGAATCCTTGCAAGAACAGTTGAACTTTGTTACCAGGCAGAGAGATGAAACTGTCATGCAGCTAACAATTTCTCAGGACCAAGTGAAACAGTATGCTGTGTCCCTGGCCAACCTGCAGATGGTGCTAGAGCAGTTTCAGCAGGGTAAGTTAACTCCTCCAGAAATAAGAGTGCATTCATACTAGCTTATTTAAAAAATATACTTAATAGTATTTTGGTGATAAAGCTGAGCTATTCTCCCAGATATCTGCTCTTCATAATTAGGTTTCTGTTTTTTAAAACACACACACATATATATCTAAAAGTAAAAGTGTACCGTACATATTTTATTTTTAGAAGAGAAAGCTATGTATTCAGCTGAGCTACAGAAACACCAAAGGCAGACTGAAGAATGGAAGAAAAAAGTAGAGCAACTAGACGATAAAGTAGTTTCGTTGCAGGTAATGTTGAAATGGTTCTATAATGCAGCCTCGTTTCTTTTAACTGGCATGGCAAACAACCACAGCAGCAGCGGACAGATGCGAAAAGGCAGCAGAAATAAGATACTAGATTATTGCTGTAGAAAGGTATGAGGAAATATTGGGGGAAAGGATTTGAGAGAGGAATAGAATCTGCCTGATCATGTCGTTGAATATTTTCTGCAAGCCAAGACCAACCAAAATTCTTCCCATAGGTGAGGAACATGATTTTTGGAAAGGTGTATGCCTTGAGAGTTTGCAAATAGGTGGTAGACCTGCAGTAAATCAAACTGCAGTCACAATTTTATATAAATCAAGGGTCATGCAGTGAGGTGAAGTGAACTATTTAAGGCCATCCCAGCAGGTGTAGAATACAAGACCCAGAGTCCTTAGTAAGATGCCAGAAATTACGTTCCGCTCTATTAATCACATATGGTAAGAATTCACCCATTTTGGTGGCATCGCTCAAGGAATATAATGCTTAAAGGAAACTTTAAAAAGTTTGACCTAAGTTATACTGGTATGTATGTGTTTAATCCATTTGGCTAGCCTGATTTTAAACTCTGTTGTGCTGTATTGATGGCATAGTTATCGCAGTATATGGTTGCTATGGATGATCTACCTCATCTTACAGGAAAACCTGGAGGAAGCAAATGCAGCATTAGAATCTGCATCAAGGCTAGCAGAGCAGCTGGATCTTAAAGAGGATCAAATTGAGGACCTTAAAAAACAAGGTAACAGAACTTGGTCGCAATGCACCAAAACCGGAAGATATCTGTGTTGGCCGATAAGAAAAAATTATAAAATCCATTTTGGTGGCAGTGCCTTTTACTAAGCTGACAAAAATGTCACAAAACAGTGTGCAAGCTTTCGAGACCTCCAAAATTCTTCATCAGACTAGATTGTAAACAGGAGGCCTTGGTGAAAACTGAAGCCTGCATAACACCAACAGAGCCTCATTTGAATGTCTGCTTCCTTCTCTCACATTCCATTAACACTGCAGCTCCACTGGTGCATTGGACTGTGCAGCATGCAATGGAGCTTCTTCATCTTTTGTCCCCTTCAACCTCCCTTGCATTCTCAAAATCAACTCTAGAGGGTTAGGAGACCCTCTGGAGCAGATTCGGGGTGGGGGGAAAGGAAATGTCAATCTTCTTGTACCAGTGGAACCCCACTGGTACAGCACTGGATGCAGCCCTTAGACTTTTGCCAAATGCAGACAAGTGGTTTCACCCCCCTCCTCACCAGTTTTTATTCTGCATCTCTGGAGATACTAAAGCCAGCTGCTTACTGGGTCTCTCTCCGTCGTAAGGTAAAACACACAGGTTCCTGGGCAAGTGGGAGAAAGAACAAATACAAGCTAGGCAAAAGTAGATCAATTTTTGGTGGTGTACTAGATGGTGGGGGACTGGGGGACAACAGAAGCCAGACTGAGTAGGTTTACCCAGCAGTTGGAGTTCCAAATGCAGCTCTATATCATATAGATATACATATACATAATAAAAAAATTCCTTCCAGTAGCACCTTAGAGACCAACTAAGTTTGTCATTGGTGTGAGCTTTCATGTGCATGCACACTTATCTGAAGAAGTGTGCGTGCATATGAAAGCTCATACCAATAACAAACTTAGTTGGTCTCTAAGGTGCTACTGGAAGGAATTTTTTTATTTTGTTTCGACTACGGCAGACCAACACGGCTACTTACCTGTAATTATATACATATACATACACAAACACTTATACATATAAATATACATATACGTATGTAGCCATTTTTGTGTGCACCTGAACATAAATGTTACTCTTAACTACTCAACAGAAAAGTTTGCCAGAAATTCAACGATATTGCAAGGGTGAACTTGCATTAGCTATTTGGTGATTCAATCTAGGAAAACACCAGTGGAGTTTTCCACTGCAGCCTCCTGTGCCCCCTAGACATCTGCTTTTGCAGGCCAAGGGTGCCTTTGAAATGACATGGGATTGAGACCCCAGGAGTTGGAATGGTAGGCAGCATGGAGATCACTGCACAAGTGCCTTTCCAATCACACAAGGTTTTGGATCTATATTATCCTATATTCCTCATGTTAAGAGATTTCAAAGTTCCCACTTTTAAATCAGTCATTTAACTAAATTGCAAGTGGTTCAACTAATACCTGCCTAGAAGGTGGAAGGTTCCCCAATGGGACCAACATTCCCAGAGAGAAAAAAGTGCCATTGTCAGAATGAGCATACTGGAGCAATGTGTAATTGTAGAGAAGGGATGGTGAACTGCTGCCTTGGGGTATTCACATGCTGTGTTGTGTGTTCGAACAGGGAAGAGAGACTGACAGCCTGCCATGGCTTCACCTGATTTGCGGTCTCTGGTTTGGCTCTCATTTTTCCAGTTTCCCTGGATGGGCGGGGTATAAATAATAAATTATTATTATTACATTTTTTCTTAGCTATATTCACTTGAACATGTGCAGTCCTTGATAACAACAGTGGATTATATTCCAGAGATGTTATAGTTGTATTGGCTGTAGCCCCCCTCCACAGCTAAACAGCAGTGGAATACCATGGGCCTTTTTTTGAATGAACTATGAGCAGAATCGAAATAGGAGATATATGGGGATAATAATAAATGGCCTACCTTACAGAGTTGCAAAGATTACTGAGCTAATATGCACAAAAATGTTTTCAGCATCTTCAAGCCTAATGTAGAAGCCATTTCATGGATGACTGCCTTGCCAAAGAAGGGCAGTGCCAAAGAATGCTCCAACTACCGCACAATTGCACTCATTTCACACGCTAGTAAGGTTATGCTTAAAATTCTACAAGGCAGGCTTAAGCAGTATGTGGACCGAGAACTCCCAGAAGTGCAAGCTGGATTTCGAAGGGGCAGAGGAACCAGAGACCAAATTGCAAATATGCGCTGGATTATGGAGAAAGCTAGAGAGTTCCAGAAAAACATCTACTTCTGCTTCATTGACTATGCAAAAGCCTTTGACTGTGTCGACCACAGCAAACTATGGCAAGTTCTTAAAGAAATGGGAGTGCCTGATCACCTCATCTGTCTCCTGAGAAATCTCTATGTGGGACAAGAAGCTACAGTTAGAACTGGATATGGAACAACTGATTGGTTCAAAATTGGGAAAGGAGTACGACAAGGCTGTATACTGTCTCCCTGTTTATTTAACGTTTATGCAGAATTCATCATGCAAAAGCCTGGGCTGGATGAATCCCAAGCCGAATTAAGATTGCCGGAAGAAATATCAAAAACCTCACATATGCAGATGACACAACCTTGATGGCAGAAAGTGAGGAGGAATTAAAAAATCTTTTAATGAGGGTGAAAGAGGAGAGCACAAAATATGGTCTGAAGCTCAACATCAAAAAAACGAAGATCATGGCCACTGGTCCCATCACCTTCTGGCAAATAGAAGGGAAAGAAATGGAGGCAGTGAGAGATTTTACTTTCTTGGGCTCCATGATCACTGCAGATGGTGACAGCTGCCACGAAATTAAAAGACGCCTGCTTCTTGGGAGAAAAGCAATGACAAACCTAGACAGCATCTTAAAAAGCAGAGACATCACCTTGCCGACAAAGGTCTGTATAGTTAAAGCTATGGTTTTCCCAATAGTGATGTATGGAAGTGAGAACTGGACCATAAAGAAGGCTGATCGCCAAAAAATTGATGCTTTTGAATTATGGTGCTGGAGGAGACTCTTGAGAGTCTCATGGACTGCAAGAAGATCAAACCTATCCATTCTGAAGGAAAACAACCCTGAGTGCTCACTGGATGGACAGATCCTGAAACTGAGGCTCCAATACTTTGGCCACCTCATGAGAAGAGAAGACTCCCTGGAAAAGACCCTGATGTTGGGAAAGATTGGGGGCACAAGGAGAAGGGGACGACAGAGGACGAGATGGTTCGACAGTGTTCTCGAAGCTACCGGCATGAGTTTGACCAAACTGCAGGAGGCAGTAATAATAATAATAATAATAATAATAATAATAATTTATTATCTGTACCCCACCCATCTGGCTGGGTTTCCCCAGCCACTCTGGGCGGCTTCCATAGAAACCAAAAATACAGTAAATATCACAGATTAAAAACTTCCCTGAACAGGGCTGCCTTAAGATGTCTTCTAAATGTCAGGTAGTTATTTATCGCTTTGACATCTGATGGGAGGGCGTTCCACAGGGCGGGCGCCACTACCGAGAAGGCCCTCTGCCTGGTTCCCTGTAGCTTTGCTTCTCGCAATGAGGGAACCGCCAGAAGGCCCTCGGCGCTGGACCTCAGCGTCCGGGCAGAACGATGGGGGTGGAGACGCTCCTTCAGGTATACTGGGCCGAGGCCGTTTAGGGCTTTAAAGGTCAACACCAGCACTTTGAATTGTGCTCGGAAACGTACTGGGAGCCAATGTAGGTCTTTCAAGCCCGGTGTTATGTGGTCTTGGCGGCCGCCCCAGTCACCAGTCTAGCTGCCGCATTCTGGATTAGTTGTAGTTTCCGAGTCACCTTCAAAGGTAGCCCCACGTAGAGCGCATTGCAGTAGTCCAAGCGGGAGATAACTAGAGCATGCACCACTCTGGCGAGACAGTCCGCGGGCAGGTAGGGTCTCAGCCTGCGTACCAGGTGGAGTTGGTAGACAGCTGCCCTGGATACAGAATTGACCTGCGCCTCCATGGACAGCTGTGAGTCCAAAATGACTCCCAGGCTGCGCACCTGGTCCTTCAGGGGCACAGTTACCCTATTCAGGACCAGGGAGTCCTCCACACCAGCCCGCCCCTGTCCCCCAAAAACAATACTTCTGTCTTGTCAGGATTCAACTTCAATCCATTAGCCGCCATCCATCCTCCAACCGCCTCCAGGCACTCACACAGGACCTTCACCGCCTTCACTGGTTCTGATTTGAAAGAGAGGTAGAGCTGGGTATCATCTGCATATTGATGGACACCCAGTCCAAATCCCCTGATGATCTCTCCCAGCGGCTTCATATAGATGTTAAAAAGCATGGGGAGAGGACGGAACCCTGAGGCACCCCACAAGTGAGGGCCCAGGGGTCTGAACACTCATCCCCCACCACCACTTTCTGAACACGGCCCAGGAGGAAGGAGCGAAACCACTGTATAACAGTGCCCCCAGCTCCCAGCCCTCTAGACGGTCCAGAAGGATGTTATGGTCGATTGTATCAAAGGCCGCTGAGAGATCCAGCAGAACCAGGAAACAACTCTCACCTTTGTCCCTAGCTCGCCGGAGATCATCAACCAGCGCGACCAAGGCAGTTTCAGTCCCATGGTGAGGCCTGAATCCCGATTGGAAGGGATCCAAATGGTCCGCATCCTCCAGGCGTGCCTGGAGTTGTTCAGCAACCACGCGCTCAATCACCTTGCCCAAGAATGGAAGATTTGAGACTGGGCGATAGTTGGCCATACTGGCCGGGTCTAAAGATGGTTTTTTAAGAAGCGGTTTAATGACCGCCTCTTTCAGCGGATCTGGGAATGTTCCCTCACAGAGGGAAGCATTCACCACTCTGCAGAGCCCATCGCCCAGCCCTTCCCGGCTTGCTTTTATTAGCCAGGATGGGCAAGGATCAAGGAGACAGGTGGTTGGTTTCACGCATCCAAGCAGCCTGTCCACATCCTCGGGGGTAACGGATTGAAATTGATTCCATGCAACTTGACCAGACAGAGCTCTAGCACTCTCCCGCCCCGGCCCTGCTCCCACGGTGGTGTCTAGCTCCTTCCGAATATGAGTGATTTTATCTGCAAAAACTTTGCAAAATCGTTGCAGGAGATCTTGGGGTCTTTACAAGGCCCCGGTGGTAAAGGTGGTTCCGTTAAATTGCGAACCACCTGAAAGAGTCTCCTGCTACTATTTTCTGCAGATGCAATAGAGGCGGTGAAGAAAGTCTTCTTCGCCGTCGCTATCGCCACTTGGTAGGCTCGACGTTGAGCTCTAACCTGTGTCCGGTCAGATTCGGAGTGAGTTTTCTGCCACCAACGCTCTAGCCGTCTCAGCGATTGTTTCATCGCCCTCAGCTCCGAAGAAAACCACGGGGCTGTCCGGGCTCCATGCAATCGGAGAGGGCACTTCGGAGCCAGACAGTCGATAGCCCTGGTTAACTCCGCATTCCAGCGGGCCACCAGGGAATCAGCTGAAAGGCCATCAACATGGGCTAAAGCATCCCCTACCACTCTCTGGAAACCATTTGGATCCATTAAGTGGTCCCACCTCCCTGCAGAGGGGAAGGGTCGCGGAGAAGTCCAGTTGCACCAGGAAGTGATCTGACCATGGCACTTCTTTTGTTTCACTTTTACTTAGTGTCAGATCACCCACGTCACTAGAGGTGAACACCAGGTCTAAGGCATGTCCATGACTATGAGTTGGGCCAAACTTATTCAGGGACAGCCCCATGGAGGCAGTGGAAGACAGGAGTGCCTGGCACGCTCTAGTCCATGGGGTCACAAAGAGTCGGACACGACTAAACAACAACAGAAGCCATTTTGGCATATAAGCTATATATGTGTGTTTTGTTGTTGTTTGGTTGTTTAGTCGTGTGTATGTGTGTGCTATGTTACTAAGTATTGTGGAGCCACAGTGAAGTTAAATGCTGTTTTTCCCCGGAGAGGGCTCATGAATTTGCTTTTCCAAAAACAATTAGAGTCTCTGATTTGCTTATAAATTCACTCACGTGCCAACAATAATGTAAATTGTAAAATTAAGGTGCCCTCCTTCCCTGCTGTGCCTTGTACGCATAAATCCAATCTACAGAATCTCATGTTGGGTTTGCTTACAATGTAAGCTTCCTTGGCCGGGGGGGGGGGGGGGACGGTAAGAACGCCAAAGTTTTGATTAAATGTTTTTGTAATGTATTTTCTTTAACACTCAACTTGGCCAGACAGTAGAAGGATTTGCCAGGAGAAACCTTTTTTCTTTCTTTTTTAACAAAGAAAGCGGTAATTGTTTTTGCCTTGTGACAGAATTTGAAATGATATATAAGCCAGTTTAAGATTAATGGTTTCTTGATAGGACAGGCCAATGGTATTAATAGGGACTTCTTTTTTAGCAAAACATAATTAAGGCTCTTTTTGTGGGAAAATTATTTATAACTTAGTCGTGCCTTCTCATAATAGGTGCTGGAGAATATAATCAGCCAATCCAAACATACTGCCAAACCCTATGGATCCTTCATCATGCAAATCTATAATTGTGTCTCCCTTCTGGCCTTTGAGGCTTTCATGTTATGGGGAGTTACTTTTTTATTTTAATGTGATGCTCCATTAACCATTGGATTTGCAAAAATAGTCCTTGGAGTTCTGTCAGGTCCCTGCGGCCTGCTCTTTTGAATGTATCTGAGTAACAAGGCACGACCTAAGGGTAGTAGCACTTGTGCACATTTCTGGAGACTGGTTCACACAAGGTAGTCCCCATGCAAATCACATCAGTCCTGTGAGCAAGGCTGTGCAAAAATGCTGCTGCAGTATCTGTTAAGCTGGCTGAGAGTGTTAAGCAATTGATCTTTGTTTCAGTTTTTAGCCTACCTTATTCTTGATGGTTCAGGGCTGATGGCCTTTACAGATGCTCCAAATTTTGTATTTTTAATCAGTGTTGAGATGGTTGAGATGCTGAATTTGGAATGTCTTCAGGAGAGAATATCCTCCAGGTCACACCAGTCTTCTCTTTGCTGCATTGTCTGGTTGTTTTCTTTGTTCTTCGTTGGGGGGGGGGGCTGGGAGAAAAATGTAACTGTAATTTTTAAAGACTTTTTAAAATCATGCTTCCCAGTTAGGCAAGGAATCTCAAAAGATATAAAAGCTCTTAGAGGATTCCTCTTATGTTTGAAGTTGTTTTTTTTTTTTAACAGACTAAAAGACTTCACCTTCCTCATCTATTGAGGGTGTAAAGAAATTTGGCCATGGCAAATCAGCAGCCACATTGCAATAAAACTATTATATTTACCCCTTGATTATATAAACATTGCCCTAAATTCCAGCTGTGTGACTGCAGTCTGGATTTTTATAGCTGAAGTAGGATAATGTCACGTAAAGCGCACACTGCATCCTGCAACCAAATATCAAAGTGCTACATGTTTATTCCTCCTTTTTACCTTTTGAAATGCCCTGCTGGAATTGGCACACACAACTTCTTGCAGTAATCAGATAGTGAACTAAATTGGCTGGCTGATCAAATATTCAGTAAAATAACTTTGTCGGTAGCAGCTTTTTTTATACCATTATGATGCCGTTTGTTAACAAGGGCAGGATTGAAGATTACCAGTGCCATAGCCCTGCAGCAACTGGGGGCAAATACTGGCAAAACAGTTCCTATGATCCATTTGCTATATACCAGCAGGCATCTTCCAACAGGAACCCAAAGAGTCACCCAGGGTAAAAGTTGCTGCCTAGTACTACACATCACTCCATCTTACTGCAGGGATCTGCAAGGAATAGATTGAGTAGCTTTTGAAAGAACTGAAAGTATCGTTTGAATTAAAATAAACCAAGTCCTTCTCCAAGCAAGTCTTTAAATTATGGAGAGTCGGGGGAAGCCAAAACACATTTTTTGTGCTGATAAACATAAAAGTTTTAAACATACAACTCGATTATCTGCCTGAGCAATGAACCAAATCTTTTGATCAGTCCAATATCCAGGTGCTGTTCTGTACCCATATGGTAGGAGGAGACTACTGTTAATTTAAGTTTAGAATTCAAAAGCCACAAGAAGAGTGTCGCCCATTAACCTTCGAGGCTGAATAACTATGTGTATAATAACTAGTTCCCAACATCTCCTATCTTTATCATTCTTTTGTCAGCACCTTGCATTACCCTATTGTGAATGAGAAATAGGACACTGGGAAGGGTTATGCAGATAAGCACTGAGGATTCTCAGTGGTGCTACTGCGTTCTGTAAGAAAGTAAAAGGTCTTCAGTCTAAAGTGAGGCAAAGAATCTGAGATTATCCAGTGGCATACTTGAGCGTATGCCATGACCTTATACCAGATAAGTAAATGTTTCGTTCTTTGTAAATTTGTTCCTTTCAGAGAAAAGTAAAGCACTGCATTGGGCAGGGGCAAAACTACCCCAATGATGATGGAAGAAAACAGCACAGCAATAGGGGAAGGGGAAATTCTCTTCCTAATCTGCCTGTCAGCAGCTGCCATCTGCCAGAAGGGAAGAGCATTATTTATTTGGACGCTTCTATCCTTCTTAGCATTCTTGGTCAGTTTGAGTTGAAGAGGAGCTAGAACTAGGTTTGACTATGCTTGTAGCAGTGGCTTCAGATGGATGAGAGGGCTGGGGATAGAAGATTTCTGCATCTCTTACTTTTCACTCTAGCATTCTTTCTTTTTTTAACGGCTGTCAATGTAGTAGGTAGAAGAAGTTGCAGATGGAGACCATCTTTACCATTTGTGGAATGAAGGGGGGTAAGGATTGGGGAGGGTTGAAGAATTTTTTTCCGGGTAGCTAGCTTAGCAGTAATAGTCAACATTTTGGGAATTGTGCCACAAGGAGAGTCATACAGACAAGAGAGAATGTCTGCAGAAGGATGGATGGAGAACAAAGTAGATCAGGACCTCTTGGTAGATCTCTGAGTGATTTGATAGATTAGCAAGGATTTCTGACTCTCAGTTGTTTAGCAGTTGGGAACAGCAGGTACATTTCCCTCTTTAAATAACGATGCTGAAATGAAGAAAACTAGGGGTAACCAGGAGCAGACTTTTATGTGAAAGGAAGGACTATGAGCTCAGTTCAGTCTGGGTACCGAAAACAAATTCCTATTCTCAGAATGTTCTTGGGGGCACTCTGTTCTAACTCTGTGTCTCTTGTACCTGGCTTTGCCTGCTAGATCTTGAGTTTCTGTTAAAAAAAAAGAGGATAATTTACAGGCCTAAAGTCTGCCTACCCCTGCTCTAATGCACACTAACAGTATGAATTCAGGGTGGTGGTGCGTATTGAGTTGGGTTGGGGATGGGATTGGAGCTCTCCTTCCCTCCCCCCCAACCATCAGACATGACGAATGCTAGTATAAAAAAAAGGAGACTGAATTCAAAAGATCTTATTTATACAAGAAAACATATAATGTCCTGTTGAACAGTGGCCAGATACATTCCCAGACACAGATTTGTTGGCCCAAGCTGCTGAAGGCTTTTTAAATGGATTGTTTTGGCAGGACAAATTATATTAATGGAAAAACATAAGAAAGACCAGATGCAGGTTTTTGAATTTCCATAAATGGTTAACAGATTACAGGAGAACACTGTAAATATCTCGTCTACAGAAGCCCATGCTGAAAGTTGGCTCTGTTCTGTCCTGCATCATATTATATTCAGAAACAGATATTATGGCAAAATTAGGCAGTAGTGGAGAAAAGGTGCTTGGATTTCACAGCTAAGGCAGGGATTCAGCCTAACCATTAATCGTAGATGTATAATATCAAACTGAATACTGTATTATATCATTATAAAAGCAATAATTTATCAAGAAATCTTTATCTTTCTTTTTTTGTTTCATTTATATTCATTCTTACTTCCAAACAACTTGAGGTACTGGGCATGATTCTCCCGCCTTCTTTTATCGTCGCAGCATCCCTGTGATGTAGGTTGGACTGAAAGAGAGTAGGTGGTCCCAGGTCGTTCAGTGAGATCTTCATAGCCAAATAGAGATTTAAACTTGAATCTCCGCAGTCCTAGTCTGATACACTAGTTTGGTTTTACTTTTGTAGTTGTATTTATATCAAAGAAAAGACAGAGGGGTGATTGAGTACTTCATTTCAATCTGACTATCCTAACATTAGCTAAAATTGGCCTTGCCTATTTTTTTATTCTTTAATTGCACATCCGGTGGGTAGTATCCAAGTAACTCATTCCATCAGCACAAGAATTTCCACTTGTGTAACAGAACTTGCCCTCATGCTCCCTAAAACTGTTCTGGGGTTTCTCACAACCTTCCAGAGCGGGTTTGGGGAGGATACAGTTTGCATGTGAAGGTGGGGGAGTTCCATTGCGCAAGCAGACATTGTTGGGGTGAGTTAGTTGAGACACCAATCAGTTCATTTTAAAGCTTCATTCTTATATAGTGGCCCAAAGAGTTTATTAAATACTGCCAAATGGTTGTTGATCCTTATAATCTTATCTTCTCAAATGGTGAATCTTGAATCATAGGTGTAAATGTAGTTTGTAAAAGAAACTTTCAAAAATAAATATCTTTTTTTAAAAAAGATATGTACAGTGGTGCCTCACAAGACGAAATTAATCCGTTCCGCGAGAGTCTTCGTCTAGCGGTTTTTTCGTCTTGCGAAGCAAGCCCATTGACGGATTAGCGCTATTAGCGCTATTAGCGGTTTAGCGGCTATTAAAGGCTTAAAGGCTTAGGGGATTAGCTGCTAAAAGGCTATTAAAGGCTATTAAAGGCTTAGCAGATTAGATAAAGGGGGAAGCGAAAAAAATCTCAAGACTCGCAAGGTATTTTCGTCTTGCGAAGCAAGCCCATAGGGGAATTCGTCCTGCGAAGCAACTTCAAAACGGAAAACCCTTTCGTCTAGCGGTTTTTCCGTCTTGCGAGGCATTCGTCTTGCGGGGCACCACTGTAGTCCACCAGACCTATTTAAACAAAAATTCAACATGTACTCACAATGACTGTTTGGATTATCAAATCCTAGCTTATTCAACCAGGATATGCAAAATTTCTGTGCACCCACGCACAGTCCCGTTGGGTGAGAGGGAAGCTAGGTAGGAAGCTGCAGTTCTCCACAGCTTCTCATGCAGTCTGATATGGGAGCTATGTTAAACCAATTTGCAGAAGTCAATTTTAAACCATGGTTTTGTACACTAGCTTGTTTGGACGCCATTAGCCATAGTTCCCAGTTTGGACTTAATGTGAAGCTATTGTTCATTGTGGCTTCCTGGCTTATTTCCTGCTTGTATGAATAGAGGAACAAAGGGGCTGTGCGTGGAGCTCAAATATATACTGGTTTATTAAGCCCAGATTTATCTTACTTAACACTCTCTGTAAACTGCTTTGAGGGTTGTTGTTTTTAAAAAACGGAACAGTGTATAAATTTTGTGAAATAAATAAAATAAGGTTGCATGGAATATGTCCTTAGCCATGTGTTTTAGATTTGTCCTGCTGCCCCTGACTTCTTCCACTCAGTGGCTCAGTTCGCATGTTGTATTAAATCACAGTGAGTGTCTAACTGTGGGTTAAAATGGACAAGCATCATGCTGATGTTCAGAACTCCTGCTTCGCTTTTCCCCATTCCTGGCCATGCTGCCCTGTGAGCAACAACTCCCAAACCTTGGTTTGTTGTTAGCATGGACAAGAGCCAGGGAGCAGCAGAGTAGAAGCCTTTGAGTAGTGTGTACCAGCACACCGCTCATTTTGCATTAAGCCATAGTTAAAATCATTTGAAGTGACTTGCATACACAGCCTATGTCAGGGTAATGTGACAGGTATTTTAACACAAATTGAAAAGTAAAGCTTTTTCCACATGTATCGCCCTTCTCTGAAACAACTCTTGCGTAGTATTTGCTCTGTGCCAATTTATAATCCTTTTCATTGGGTAGAAATTTGGACAGGTTGCTTCAAACTGTAAAAAGCAAAAAGGCATCATTATAATCCTTGCCTTGCTTTTATTGTATCAGCAAAAGCCAGGGAACATGATCCATTGTAAAATCCCAGTTTTTGCCATTTTAGGATGGAAAAATAGGACTGGGATAGAGTTTTGACCCATAATTTTTCAGCAGAATGAATAAAAGGGAAGCTAAACTCATATTTGCACAGCACATATTTTTGAGAAACTCTTCCGCTAGGACCTCTAATGAGTACATCAGTTTTGTGTATAAAATTATTATAGCAAAAGTTTTTTTCGCCTGTAGGTGAACTCAAACAAGAAATGTTAGAAGATGCACAGAATAAGCTAATGAACCTCATAAACAGCACAGAAGGAAAAGTGGACAAGTGAGTGATTTTTAAGTGTTTTTAATTTGAAAGTTAAGTTATTTGGAGAAGTACAAGCTTGGCACAGTAAAATAATGGCTGTGGTGGCCTCTGATATGGTTTAAAACAGGCTTGCTGGTTATTCAATTAAGCTCAGTTCATTAAGTTCAATGGGTCTAATGTGAGTAAATGTTAGTTTAATGTTATCCCCCTTTTTATTAAGACTGTGACATTCAATTGACTTATTACTGAATAATTGATTAAAGATCATTCAGATTATTTTTTAAAAGGTCCCCAATTGGCAAGGAGCTGTATCAGTGCTTCCGAAGCCGGGAGAGACCATGAACCAGAAACTCAAAAAGTTTGCTTTTTGTTGCCTCTCACACATTGCCTCAGCAGCTGTTGGAGTCGGGTCTGCTCTGCTCCACCTCCCTTCCTCCTTCCTTCGTCAGTCCCATATTCCTGCCTGCCTCCCTCTGCTCACTGCTTTCCCTTCTGCCTCCTCCCTCCCTCCCTTTTTCTTTCTCCCTGGCTCTCTCCATCTTTCTTCCCTCTGAGCCCTGCTGAACACTCCACTCACACTTCTAATAGCAACACCTGGCTAATTGGGGAGGGGCCCCTGCAGGAGGGCTGTTGCGACGTCCCATGTCAGTGACCAGATTCCTCCACCGGGGCACCCAGAGGAGTCTGCATGCCTTGTCCAGCCACCCAGAGCAGCGGAGGATTGACCTGGGAAGGCACAGATAGTGGGTGGGTGCCTAGCCACTCGGAACCAGAGAGACATGAGCTTTGCACACACACACACCTGGCCTGCATACACACACACACACACACACACACCTGGCCTACACCCTTGGTGGGGGCAAACCTAACCAACCCTAAGTACACCCCTGAGAATAAAGAGAGATATTCAGTTCAGCCTTGTTCCATATGGTCAGCATAGGACTATATATTAGTTTTCACCCCCTTTCCAAAATAAAGGTTTTAATCTAGGTTTCTGGTTGATGTTTACTACAGTCACACAAGGATTCCCTGCCACCGCAGTTTGTGAAAACTGTTTCTACGGAACTATATCCCATAAGGTTCCTGACCTGTAAATTTCCTTGGGATTTAGCTCCTAGCACAAGATGACCTCATTTCAACTTCAGCTGATGATTAATGAATTAAATACCTGGGCAGTACTTACCTTTTCCTCACACGCATGCTTAACTTGACTTACCTTTTCGCACAGGTGTTTAACTTGCCTGTCCGCTTCATGCCTTTACCTTTTCCTTTGTCACTGGGGCTGAGATGGTTCTTCAACTGGGCTCCCCTCATGTTCTTTGTACAGATGAATCATCATGATGATAGTGTGCCATAAGCAAAGCTTTGGAGTGCAAAAGGTGCTCCACCCTCACTTTTCTCTGTTACTAGCAATGCCAAGCGATGTTTTGACTGCTTTTGTGTCCCCTTTGGTAGAGTCTTGATGAGGAATCTCTTCGTTGGACATTTCCACACCCCAAAGAATAAACGTCATGAAGTGCTAAGGCTGATGGGAAGTATCCTGGGAATAAAAAAGGAAGAATTAGAACAGGTAGTTCTGATATGTCTCATTGCTATTTTCCTCCTCTCCTGCAATATCAATACACCAGCATGCTTTCTTCTTTTGCTGGGCTAGGCACAAGGGACAACCAGTCATCTACCATGCTAGAATGGAACAAGCTGTATATTTTCCAAACATGTTACAATGTTTACCATTATTTTAATAATATAAAATCCATCCAGACACGTAAATGTTCACCAAAGGTCTGCATCCGTTGATGTTGATTGTGTGGCTTAAATTCTTACATATGTATCCAGATTGTCTGTTTGAAACGAGCTTTCTCAGTGTATATAATTTTTGTTCTGGCTGAATTTTTTACACAAGTAAATTTTATAAACAAACTTTGGTTGGTTTGTTCTTTAATAAAATTGAAGTAAAGATTCTGTTTGATTCTAAGTGTTAGAAGTAGGTGTGGATTGTAACCTTTTCTTTTTGTTTTAATTTGCTCTCTAGTTGCTGTCAGAAGATCAAAAAGGTGTTACTCGATGGGTGACTGGGTGGTTTGGTGGAGGAGGTGCTGGATCAAAGAGTGTCCCCAACACACCTCTGAGACCAACCCATCACTCAATTTTCAACAGTGTAAGTATTTTCCATTGTCTGCTTTTGTATAGAAAATGCAGGACTTCCATATTATAACTGCTGTCAACCTAGGTCATTGTTACACTTGCAGAATTATTGAAGGTGTTTGCATTTTAAAACCAGTGTCAAATAACTCGATTGTGTTAAAATTAGAATCCTATTCATACTAAGATAGTTGTGCACCATCTTGAACAGATGAGCCAGCTATATATCATTTATTTCCAGAAATGCTGTTTGTATTGAGTTAATTTGTCTCCACCTGTTCAGTCTTTCTCAGAGCTATTTGTGAAGTTCCTTGAGACTGAATCCTGTCCAACTCTTCCCCCACCAAAACTCTCTGTTCATGACATGAAAGCTTTAGCATCAACAGGAATCAGCAAAGCCACTGTTAGTCCTTCTAGCAACATTGCAGGTAGTGTGTTTTTATATTCCTAATACACAAAATGTTACGTTGAATCTGAGTGTTGACTTGTTGATTGTTGTCTTTCCAAGTTTATATTTATTTGGATGCACAGTGTAAGGAGGATGAAAAATAAAATTAGAAGAATTTTCTCCTTGCCAAGGTTCCAGCTGGGGACAGCAAAGCGATAACCATTGTGTGACCTGAAAGCCACTGTTCTACCTATTTTTTTTACTGCAAGGCCATGAATTTTAACCTGGATTTCCAGGTTGCAATGTAGCAACAAATAAATACTGTACAGTGGTGCCTCAGGTTACATACGCTTCAGGTTACAGTCTCTGCTAACCCAGAAATAGTGCTTCAGGTTAAGAACTTTGCTTCAGGATGAGAACAGAAATCGTGCTCTGGCAGCACGGCGGCAGCAGGAGGCCCCATTAGCTAAAGTGCTGCTTCAGGTTAAGAACAGTTTCAGGTTAAGTACGGACCTCCGGAACGAATTAAGTACTTAACCTGAGGTACCACTGTACAATGCTGATGGATGAGTTAAATAGGCCTTGCAGAATATGGTTTTTGATATAACTTTGAAACTAAACTTTAGTCGTTGTGAATGTTTGGTTTCAGATTGCTGCAGTAAAGCTGGAGAATTTCCAGTCTGAAAGCTTATCTTTGAAAGTTTACATTTTTAAATAAATTTATGTTTTATATGCCTTTTGTCCTCGTTGCTTGAAGGTGCCATATTTGGTTTGGCAGTCACCCAGTTTTCTTGTCTGGACGAAATGTTCACAGGGACTTTGTCCACACAGGAACAGGATTATTGTCCTATAGAACCAGACACCCATCCTATATCCCTGAATTGTTTGGGTTTTTAAGATTTCTTTTATATATTAAGAATAGGTTATCAGACATAAATACATTCTTTCAAGGTTTCACTCAGTGAGCAAAAGATTTATCTGTGACCTTGATGTTAACTCCTGACAGACTTTCTTCTTCTTCTTCTTTTAGAAGAAAAACTACATTTCTGTTCACAGGCTTGTAGTTAAATCTTTACAAGGTCTCATTCACACAAAATGGTCTTGCAACTGCGTTGTGAATTCTCCAGGTGGAAATCTTTGTGTGTGCAGAATCTTGCCACACTGATCTGATTATTCACTACACAACTGATAATTTATTTACCTTTTGGTGGGAGTTGCTTTTCCAGAGACCATTGCACTTACGATTTGCGTGATTTTCACGAGGGTGTGTCTGCAGTGTTCAAAGTAACTAATAGCTTGTTGGGTGGCAGCAGTAATCGGCTCCCCCTGGGGAAAGAAGTGGTCCTCCTGGCTTTGAAAGAGGCTGTGGTGAGAGGGCCCTGGAAAGAGGGAAGGGGGAAATAATTCATTAGGTCAGATCTACTTTTGGGATTGGAACACTGCCTTGGTCACCCAGTTGGATGACCTGCACCTGGAGATGGATGGGGGTATGGTCTCATTATGTTAGGGTGTTTTTCTAAGAATGACACTTTTTAGGCCATGACTTTTCTGTAAGAATGATTTTTTAAATACTACTACTAATAATAATAATAATTTTACTACTGCGCTTTCTGTCAGATCCAACAGGCTCAGGAACCACCAGAAGACCAGATGCAAATCCATTCCTTGCACCCCGGTCAGCAGCAGTCCCTCTCATCACCCCAACGAATCTTGGAACTGGCGGATCAGGGCATCTGCTTATGAAACCCATTTCTGATGCTCTGCCTACTTTCACACCTTTGCCAGTAGCACCTGATGCTAGTGCTGGGGCAGTACTAAAAGACCTGCTAAAGCAATAGAGAATTTTGGGTCCAAGGATGGCAATGATAGAAGCACTTTAAGGAGAAAAGAAAAAAAACCTGAGTTTATATAATATACCGCAAAGAGGCCTTTTGTAAAAAGTTGTTTGTTTGTTCATTTTCAATTGCTTGTAAGTTGCTTTGTGTGTCTTTCTCTTTGCCCCTTAAAAAGTGAAGTTTGGAACTAATCCAGCAATATTTGGATGTTGTAACCATCACAGGAAAAACAGCCCTTCCTATATTAGTTTGCCGAGTTAATTTTCAAATTGAAAAAGCTGATCTACATGTGAAATAACAGGTTAGCATTGGAGAACTTAACAAATCAGCTCAAGGCTTTCCAACCATGTATTCTGTTTCTTTCTTTGACAAATGAGGTGTTACATAGAGTGCCTTTATATAAAAAGGACACAACTTCTCTAGAAAGGGCTGCAAGCACATTAGGAATCCAGCTCGGTGTCAGGATGCAGACAGCATCCAGGATGCATCTGGTCCATTTAAGTATCACTTCGCTGATTCCAGCCAACGCCTTCTGGAGCCTGGAATGATGGGGAAACAAATGCAATCTGCTGTTTGTTTTGAGGGAGCCTGGGGCCATATGTTCCCAGTCCTTGAACTGATGAACAGATACTGAGCCCAGTCGTGGCATTTCAGTCTGGAAAAGCCTTCCCTTCATAAAGCGGGAGGAAACTTGCTTTGAAGTATCCAGTGTTGTATTGATCTAGAATGTGTTCATGTGGTCAAGTATCCTCTCTTGAGCCAGAATGGGTTGTACTGCAACACGATCTTCTGAAAGCATAAAGTACAAGTAGGAGGTTTCCAAACTAAATGGCGTCAGCTGACCAAGTCAATTTTTTAGGAATGCTGGAGATAACAGGATCATAATTGTGTTGACCAAAAATTCAGCATAATCCAAAGCCAATTTTTTTGAATATGGAGGATGGGCTGGTATCTGTGAAAGAAGTTGCTTCTCTTAAAGTTCTCTGAGAATTCATAGTTGCGGGTTTTTGTTTTGTGTGCAAGAACATTAACACCCCATAAATGTTATTAATGGGTAACACCTCAGTTGGCATTTCTTAGCTCCTAGTAGCTACTTGGAACAATGAAAACTCAAAACTAACCAGCAATAAGGAGTTTGTGGACATTTTTCCTTTATTTTTTGTTGCATATCAGCATTTAGTGACTGACCACTAATAAGCAACCTGATATTCCCTATGTATATTCATGGTGTGTGTGGTTGAAATATGCAATACTTTAATGGTTCAAAATGTATATTTAAGAAATGCTTGCTTATACTTACAGAATTGATTGAAAATTCCAAGTATGAACGTATGTATAAAGCTTAAAAGGAAGATGCTTATTCCAAATATGTATAAATAGGTCTACGTAAGAACTAGTAGAATTCTGTAAATTTTGCTGCACAGTCTTGCACAGTTTATATTGAGTGTGTCAGTGTATTGACACATGTAATGAAAGGGGTTCCTGCCACCTTGGAAAAATAAGTTGAGACACAACATCTGTTTAAAGTGTCAGGTTTTTTTCTATAAAACTTGAGTTTTCTGCCATTGTTAATAATATAATCGGTATTGAAAGGTATTTTGTGTAAGTTCTATATTAGAACTCACAGCCTTTTCTCCTGTGTATCTTAGTTTTTGCCCTGCAGTTTGAACTGTAAGTATAGGCTGAATCACGGATATTTAGTTGCCTGGAAGCTGCCAAATCAATGAATCACAAAGCCTTTTGTTTATATTTATTGATAGCATTCTAAATCCATATAGGTGAATCTCTGGCAAGGTTTCATGAGTTTATATTCATAATGAAGTGTTACATTTTGGCATTTCATATCCCCAACATTCTTCATTGACTCTGTTTTTGTAGATTGGGGTTTTTGCAAATAAGGCAAACATAGGTTAGGGATTGGAAGTGTATGAACTTTTAATCTATAAACTTCCAAATGGTTTCTTCGCACATCTTAATGTTGAGTTTATAGGCCACTTGAAACATTGCTTTCCTTGAAAAACCAACTTTATAGAATGGCTATAATTTTTCCAATGGACTATAAAGAAAACTTAAAATATGTGTTGCGTGCCTTCTTTCTGTCGCATACGTTTTATATCTGTGTGGTTGCTTTAGCATACAGTTCTTAAAACTACTTACTGTTAATGATGCAACAAATGAAACTAAGCAGACATAAGAACAGAGGAAGTTTCACATCACGGTGGATTTTGCATTTGTATGTCAGTACTTCTTGCCATAGTTGTGTGATTTCATGTTCATGCAGTGCAATGTACTGAACTGGGCACAAAATTCAACATTTTGGTAATGTCAGCTTTCCTTTTTATTAAGTTTTTTGTCATCATTACAAAACCAGACAATAGCTCAGAATGTGATGAGAATGTGGGATCTTTCTCCTCAATTATTAAACGAATCAGAATGTATTATAATGGAAGTTTCATAATTTATGCAGGTTGGAAAAACCACTGTTCCTTGACATGGGGAAGAGGTCAGTTGGTACTTGATGCTTGATAGCAGGAGGGAAAGATAAAGGGGTTGGGGTAATAGAAGATGAGTTTGGGACATAACTGTTGACCAACAGATACAGAATTATATTTGCCTTGTTCAAAGCAGGCATCCTCTTGTTGCATTATAATGTAGTTTGCAAAGGAATTATTTTTTTAAAATACCTATTTGAAAAATCATGAAAATGAAGAAGGTGGCTTCAACAAAGGGCCAAACAGTGGCTATGAAGTCGAACAGTGTTAAGATTTTCATCCACCCAAATTGTTCAAAAACCAGGTGCTCTTTAGTGTAGTAAAACCTCTTCAGCAACACAGTTCTGGACTGGAGGGCTCAAGAGGAACAAAAGGTGCTTGTGAATTGCCTATCATCCCAACCTTTCACAGATAAAAATATGAATTCCTTGTGTATTTTCAACACCCCTGTTCCCACACTGATGATTGTACCTGTCTATCTGCTGCATGTTGCATGTTGCATACTGCACTCTGCAGTAGCTCCCTGATTTAAAAGCAGAGGGCATCTGGTACAAAAAGCATTCCTTTTTTAAAAAAAAACAAAACAGTAAGTTTTTATTGTTATGATAATTCATCATTAATACACATATATTACAAATATACAAGAATACAAACATACATTTCATACAATCCTTAAAAGTGTTCAAACATACTTACACTCAATCCCACAAATAATTCCTTTTCCCATCACCATCCACCACCCGCACCCCACCTTGGTGTTGGATTTCCAATCTACTCAATTGCAATTTCTTTCCACTTCTATTACTTTCTTTCACACACCTTTAACCTAATTTCATACTTCTTTTTCTATTACACATTGTTATCCATCTTATTTAGTATTTCAGTATTTGAAACGGAACTTGTTTATTCTAATAGGAGTTCTGATTTTTCGATAATGGTTTTGCAAGTATCTTGTAAACACCTTCCAGTCTATCTTCTCTTTTGAGATCCTTCCAATTTCTCCTATTGTTTTGGATATATTGTAGTACTCCAATAATTTGGCTAGCCACTCTATTTTTGTCGGTACAATACCGCTTTTCCAGTTTTTCGCAATCAATAGCTTTGCGGCTACTGTTGCGTATAAATATAAGGTCTTGTCTTCTTCCTTTAGGCTTCCTGGTACTATTCCCAATAGAAAACCTTCTGGTGTTTTCCTAAATGAATATCTGAACATTTTTTTCATTTCGTTATATATTGTTTCCCAAAATTGTTTGATGTTTAAACAATTCCACCATATATGTATCATAGTAGCTTTTCCAGTGTTGCATCGCCAGCAGACATCGCTACAATTTTTATTCATTTTTGCTATTCTTTCAGGTGTTAAATACCATCTATGTTGTATTTTGAGGTAATTTTCTTTCAATATATAACACATAGTGAATTTCATATCTTCTTTCCACAATTTTTCCCATTGTTCAAACATAATATTTTTCCCAATATTTTGCGCCCATTTAATCATGGATGCTTTAACCAATTCATCCTTTGTTTCCCACTCTAAGATCAGATTATACAATTTAGATATATTTTTTTTATTTTTCTTGTATTAAGTATTTATCGAATTTTGATATTTCTTTTTCAAATCCTAACTTTTTGTCTTTTGCTAATCTATACTTAATTTGAATATATTGGAACCAATCACTAATATGAGCTTTAATTTCTGTATAATCCTTTAATTCCAATTCTCCGTTTTCTTCCTTTAATACAATTTTATAGGTAGCCCAATTTTCTTTCATATTTAATATTTTCACTGCGACAATTTCTGCCGGCGATGCCCACCAGGGAGTTTTCGGTTCTAGGAGTCTTTTATATTTCTCCCATATTTTATATATAGACTTTCTGACTATATGCCCTAGGAAGCCTTTATGTCCTTTGACTTTTTCATCTATTAGATAGGCATGCCATCCAAATCTCGTCTCTACTCCCTCTAAATCCAATACATCCGAGTCATCTAATTTGATCCATTCTTTTAGCCAGGTCAGACCCACCGCATCATGATATAACTCCATGTCAGGGAGACCAAATCCTCCTCTCTCCTTCTTATCTATCATTATTTTGTGTTTTATTCTTGGCTTTTCCCCTGACCATACGAATTTAGCCAAATCTCTTTTCCAATTATTAAAACATTTATCTCCTCCTAGTATTGGGATACTTTGAAATAAAAACATCATCCTTGGTAGTTGTCGATTTGCAAGCCCCCTCCACAGAGGCTGGCCCCTCTCACTGTCCTCGGAGCTTGCTTACCGGTAACCTCCTCTGGCTGACATCCCGGACAGACCAGGGAGATTTTGATAGGCGACATTTTCCCAAGCGTGGGGAAATGCACACCCCCCTCCTCCTGCTTCTTCTGCAGGGGAAAGAAAAGTAGTCAGATATCTATTTACATGATGTTTATTTCTGACATTACAGCACTAAAGGAAAGCACGTCCTTTCAGTTCAGTTCTTCTAGCACATCTGACAAACTTCCTGTACATGCGCACGCAGAAGGTTTCAAATTACACTCTTCACAGAGACTTATCCAGCCTGTGAACTTCCTGGGAAATTCTTCTTTCTCACAGATAGGCGCATCATGTGATGTCAACAATCTGGCTGTCTGCAGCTGTGATGTTTCCATATACTGACAGTAATATGTTCATCTTTATTACCGATATTTTCCCTAGTAAGGAAAGATTTCATTTCCCCCATACTTGCAAATCATTTTTTATTTCATTCCATGTTTTCCCATAGTTCTCATTACTTAAATCTATAGTGTTTGTTGTTAAATTTATTCCAAGATACCTTATTTTCTTTTTAATTTCCAATCCTGTAATTTCTTGTAATTTCACTTTATCTTTTTCTTCCATATTTTTCACTAATATTTTGGTTTTCCCATAGTTTAATTTGAATCCTGCTAATCTGCCATATTCGTTTATGCATTCCAATATTCTAGGTGTACATTGTAGGGGATTTTCTGTTGTGATCATAACATCATCTGCAAAGGCTCTTAACTTGTATCTTTTTTCACCAACTGCTATTCCTCTTATTTGGTTGTCCTGCCTAATATTCTTTAATAGAACCTCTAATACTATTATAAATAACATTGGGGATAGGGGGCATCTTGTACCTTTAAAGATGTTGATTTCTTTTCCAAACTCTCCATTAATAATATTTTTTGCTTTCTATTGGTTATATATAGCATTTATATCTTTTTGGAATTTTTCACCTAGACACAATTCTTTTAATAGTTTTTTCATAAATTCCCATGAGATTTTATCGAAAGCCTTCTCTGCATCAATTGAAATCAGGGCTGCTTGTTTATCTCTTCTTACTTGTAGATATTCCATTATGTCTATTATATTTCTAATATTATCCTTTATTTGTCTACCTTCCACAAATCCAGCCTGATTTTTATGTACTATTTTTCATATAATTTTTTTCAACCTGTTCGCCAATAATCCTGCATAAATTTTATAATCCGAATTTAACAATGAAATGGGTCTATAATTTGAGACAGATTCCAAATCTGTACCTTGTTTTGGCAGGAGCGTTATATACGCTTGAGTCCAAGAGTCTGGAATATTCCCCTTCTCTACTGCTTCCTCTATTACTTCTTTTAGTGGGTCGATTAATTCATTTAACATTTCTTTGTAGTATTCTGCTGGTATGCTGTCTGGACCTGTGGATTTCCCTATTTTTAATTTTTGAATTGATTCCTTAATTTCTACGGTTGATATTGGTTCATTTAATAATTTATGGTCTTCTTCTGCTATCTATATTAATTTATTTTTCTTTATATATTCCTCTATTTCTTCTATTGGCACTTCATCTTTTTGATATAAATTTTTGTAATATTTTTCAAATTCTTTTTAAATTTCTGTCATATCCCTTATTGTCCTCTCTTCTACTTTTATTTTATTTATTAATTTTTCATTTCTTTGTTTCTTTAATTGCCAGGCAAGGATCTTGCCTGGTTTATTTGCCCATTCAAAATTTTTATATTTCCAAAATTTGATTTGTTGTTCTACCTCCTGTTCTATAATTTTATTATATTCTACTCTCAGTAGTTTAATTTCTCGATTTAATCTCTCTTTATTTTTGCTTGCATAGGCCAATTTTTCCTTCCTTTTAATTTCTTCTAAAAGCTCCCTTTTCTTTTTTTCTTTATTCTTATATGCTATTGAGTTTTGTTGTATGAAATATCCCCTAACAACTGCCTTCCCAGCATCCCACACTGTTTTAACATCTGTCACTTTCCTCCAATTATTTTCAAAATATTCCTTCATCAACTTTCTGGCTCCTTGTATTACTTTTTGGTTTTTTAATAAGAAAACATTCATTCTCCAACTCCCCCCCCCCCTTTCTCCTCTCTTCCTTTAAGAGTTAATGATACTGGATTGTGATCTGTAAGTGTTTTTGGTAATATTTTGGCATTCTCTGCTTCAATTGTCATATCCTTAGTAATCCATATACTGTCGATTCGACTATACGAATTTTTTGGTTCTGAGAAATATCTGAACTCCTTTTCGACAGGATATTTATATCTCCATATATCCACTAAATCAAAAATCTTTACCATTTCCACAAAGCTTTTTGGCAGCTTCCCTTCATTTCCCTCCCTCTTCTTCTGCGATCTATCCAGTTCTGGTTCCATTGCTCCTAACACAATAATTCTCATATCTATATATTCCATTAATAATCTTACTTTAACATAGAATTCTGATTTTCTTTTATTTGATCCACAGATTCCCGCTACCACAATTGGTTCCCCCTCTAGTGATATTTTGACTATTACAATCCTCCCCTTTTCATCTTCATATAACAATTCTGGTTCATATTAGCTTTTAACATACATTACAACCCCCCTCTTTTTTCTTACATCAGATGTGATGAATTCTTCCCCTAACTTTGGTTTTACCAATAGTCTTTTATGCTTAGTATTGATGTGGGTTTCTTGTAAACAAGCAAGGTCCCACTTCTGCCTCTCTAAGATACGTTCTATTTTCTGCCTCTTCCTCCTATTATTTACACCATTTATGTTCCAAGATAACAATTTACCGTATTTTTTGCTCTATAAGACTCACTTTTTCCCTCCTAAAACGTAAGGGGAAATGTGTGTGCGTCTTATGGAGTGAATGCAGGCTGCGCAGCTATCCCAGAAGCCAGAACAGCAAGAGGGATTGCTGCTTTCACTGCACAGCGATCTCTCTTGCTGTTCTGGCTTCTGAGATTCAGAATATTTTTTTTCTTGTTTTCCTCCTCCAAAAACTAGGCACGTCTTGTGGTCTGGTGCGTCTTATAGAGCGAAAAATATGGTAAATTTCATTCTTTATTAGTTAAAAAATTAGAAAGTTAGTGGAAAGAGTTTAAATTATCTGCAGTGGTAAAGGAGAAGGGTTTTGTAATAGTTATTGGTCTGATTATTTACCACTGGCGTAGTTCTTTATCCTTCCACCCTTTGCTGAGCTCTTTCTTCTTCTTCCGCCTCATCCGATAGCTCTCCCTTTCTTCCTTCCTCATTTCTTACTTCGCTTTGTCCTCCTCCTAATTCTCCTCGATACGTCCTCCAAAACATATCTGCTTCCTCAAATGTCTCAAATCATCGTCTTTTTCCTTTGAAGTTGAAGGAAATCCCCACTGGGTATTCCCATCTGAAGGATATTGATTTGGCCTTTAGTGCTTTTGTTAGAAATTGGAATTGCTGTCTCTTTTTTATCAGCCTGGGTGGGACCTCCTGTAAAATTATTATTTCCTTTCCATCTATGGTTAATTTGTTCTTACTCTTTGCTTGGAGGATTTTATCTTTCATCCAATTCGATGTGAATACAATGATGCAGTCTGCCGGCCATTTGTTCATTTTTACTTTCCTTGAGTTCACTCTGAAGATTTTCTCTGTCTGTTCTATTATGTCTTTTTCCTGTAAATGTAGCCACTTTGCTAAGGTTTCAGTCATCTTCCAAATATCTTCCTTCTCCTCTTCTGGAACATTTCTGAATCTCAAGGTCTTCTCTTTAATCTGCATCTGTATCATTGCTAGCGCATCCCCAGTAGCTTCCTGGATTGCTTTTTGTTCCTCCATCTCCTTTTTCGATTTGTCCATTTCTTTTCTTTGTTCCCTTTGTTCTTTGCTAATTTTCTTCACCATCTCTTCCATTTGTTGATTTTTATTCTTAATTTCTTGTACTTTCTTATCTGTCTCCTTCATTCCTTCTAAGGCTTCTGTTAATTTTTCCTTTATTTCTTCATTTTCTTTTTCATTATTTTTCATTGTGTTTTCTAATTTTTCTAATTTCCCATCAATTGTATTGATTTTTTCTTCCAACTCTCTTCTCAATCCTCCCACGTCCAATTTCAAACTAATAATAAGCTCCTTCAAATCCATTTCTTCAAGGCCTGAGTTTCTTCTTAATTGTTGCTGTTGACTTCCAGTTCCAGTCATCTGTTTTTTAATTGCATGAGACATTTTGCGTTCTCTTTTTCAACCACCAGATGTCCTTCTATTGTTTCAATTTTCCTTTATTACTGCTTTTCCTACTTTGTCCACTGGGTGTCACTGTGTTCTTATTTACTCAGCTTGCCAGCTTCTGCCCTCCTTTAATCCTCTCTTTCACTATTTTGTCTTCGTCACTTCCTCCTTCTTCCTTCTTCCTCCTTCTTGATGATTACTCAGCGTCTTCAGACCCTCAACGCCATCTTATCTTATCTGTTAAATTCCCCTCCTTTCCCCCACAGTGTTCCTTATTCCTTTGTCCTTATCTTTCCTTCAAGGACATTCGGTTTCAAAGCAGCTGCTTTACTCCGCCCAGCTCCAACAACAGGCAGCCTGCACCGCTTTGCACTTTGTAGTAAGTCCGTTTCAGACAGTGTGCTTTTCAAATAGTTTAATTGCAATCTGAGTGATTTCTTTACACTCTCTCCGTATTTTTTTTCTGTTCTTCTGTCTTCCCTTTACTTTTGTGGTAGCATTACTTCTCCTTCGCTATTTTTACTCTTTATCTTGTTTTGGGTTTACTTGCTCCGTGAGGGATTTCCCCCCCTGAGTTCCCTTTTCCCCCCTTGTCTTATTTCCTTTTAGGTTATGTTGCTGCTGCTACCACTTTACGTTTATTTTAATATAGAAATAGAGATTTTACCATCTTGTCGCTGCTTCAGTGATGTGAGGCTTTTCACCGGTCTGTTTGATGTTCTTCTCTGTGCCTGGATTCCCCCCCCACACCTCAGCCGTTTTTTTCTTTTGGCGAGGGGTGCCGGGACTCCAAAAAGACACTGCCGAAGTTCCTTTGACTTGAGCTTCCTTCCAAGCCTTTTCAGGGGTCGTTTAGCCAAACGTTGCCCCTCACAGTACCGGTGTACGCCCCGACCTGCTTACTGCAGTCAGAGCTCACACTGTTGCAGCTGTTGTAAAAGCGGAAGTGCATTCCTGTTCTATGATATCTATACCAAAATAAATCACGAGTTGTAGCATAAGAAATTATAGTCTGTGCACTACTTGGTGCCTCGACAACACAATCCTTTTTTCCTTACTCAGATGTAAGCCCCATTAAGTTCAGTGGGGCCCAGGTAGTTGTAAGATTTCAACCTTAGGCTCAATGGCTGTGCATTTATGCATATATAGATTAGAGACACTATGTATGTATCTGTTCTCTTCCCAGATTTAATATCTAGCAGCTTTCATGCACAAGCTTATGCAAGGTGCACATACACTCTCCAAAAGGCAAAAATGCTGTTGTAGTCCAAGCACCTGCTTAGCTGCAGAAGTTGCCAGAAGGAGGCGTACAAGCCAAGGAACCACCTAACCATCTTAGGGACTCCAGATTTGTTTAGGGTTTACTCCTTAGCTTTTTCTTCTCCCAGAAGGCAACAGAGTTTTAAGATCCGTTTTCCTTCTCCTAGATGGACTAGCTTTGCAGGTTGATGAGCCACATCTGCCCCTCTTTCCTTCTACATCACATGCAGAACCCACCTTCTTGACCATTGAACCCACTATTGGTCTCGTCCACTCAATCTGCAGAAGCCTGTCTTCATCGCATGCAGGGGAACATCTCTAACTCACAGAGGGTTTGAGACCCATTGGCTCACTTCACCTGCTTTAGCTGGCCACTGAAAGCCATTTCCCGAGATGTGGCCGCTATCGCATGCTTCTAGGAGCCACAGGTGAGAGTTCCATGCAGGGTGGGGGCCAAAGGTGAACAAACAATCCCAGAAGGTGCATAGCGTGTCGCTCACCAGTGGTACTACCCCTCCCCTGATACAGTGGTGCCCCTCAAGACGAATGCCTCGCAAGACGGAAAACCTGCTAGACGAAAGGGTTTTCCGTTTTGGAGGTGCTTCGCAAAACGAATTTCCTATGTGCTTGCTTCGCAAGACGAAAATGTCTTGCGAGTTCCTGCGGGGGTTTTTTCCTTTTTCCCAAGCCGCTAAACCGCTTGTCAGCTGATCGGCTAAGCCGCTTAACAGCTGATCGCTAAGCCGCTTATCAGCTGATCCGCTAAGCCGCTAATACTGTAGCGCTAAACCGCTAATGGGCTTGCTTCGCAAGACGAAAAACCCGCAAGACGAAGAGACTCGCGGAATGGATTCTTTTCGTCTTGCGAGGCACCACTGTATCCCATACACCCCAGAAAGGTATCATAGAGCAAGCAAAGAAGTGGTGAGAATCTGTATCTTTCAAAAAGTACTGCAAAACAGAATTTAGATTGCATTTTAGTGGCGGAAATGACTGGCAGAATCCGAGACCAGGGAGAAGAGTTGGTGGGAGAAGATTGGAAGAAATTTAAAGACTATTTACTGAAATACTGCAAAATTAATGAATGCTAGAATGATGTCAGAATGAAGTTAAGTGGTTTTAGCAGCAATGTTATAAAGGTGTATGTAAAGATGGATTGTTAATAGGTGAGAATCTAAAGCTATAATTTATTAAGTTAAAAGATTAAGACAAAAACAAAGAGGGAAAGGAATTGCTGAATTAACCAATTGAACTGGAATACAAAAAAGGGAGGTGAGAGGAGGTCAATGAAATGTAAGGTATGGAAAGATTGATTTGTTTTTAAGTGCTTTTTATCTTTTTTCTGTATTTTGTATTCTGTATTTTTTCTCTTTTTTCTTTTATTTTTTCTCTTTTTATCTATGTAATCTATTGTCTTTGAAATCTTAATAAATATCATTAAAGAAAAAATAGATTGCATTTTAGCAGTCAAAGTTCAACCAGTGTGGGAACAGTGGATTAATTTGATATTGTATACTTAATATTAGATATAAACCTTCATAATAGGATGGACTAGAAGTATTTAAAGTTTACTCAATCAGACTGCAAACGCGAACGGGACTTGGCTTGCCGTTTATGCAGAGTCAGTATAGTCTCTTATCTGAAAATCCATTCAATTTGCACTTATCTCTGAACTTCATGTAGTTTCTGGAATAATGACTTTTAAAAGGATATGGGTACATTGCCAACATTACGATAAACAATATTAAAAAAAACCAAATAGTGATTTAAAACAACACTATATCATACTGCAGACAGCAGTTAAAAAAAACAATGTAGAAACGTCATAAAACTATTGGTCCAAAGCCTGTTGTTGTTTTTTTAAAAGTATTTACATGTTTCTTGAATACAGGTAAAGGTTTTCAGTGGTACCTCGGGTTACATACGCTTCAGGTTACATATGCTTCGGGTTACACACTCCGCTAACCCAAAAATAGTACCTCGGGTTAAGAACTTTGCTTCAGGATGAGAACAGAAATCGTGCTCCGGAGGCGCAGCAGCAGCAGGAGGCCCCATTAGCTAAAGTGGTGTTTCAGTTTAAGAAAAGTTTCAGGTTAAGAACAGACCTCCGGAACGAATTAAGTACTTAACCCAAGGTACCACTGTATTAATAGTTAAACTAGTCAGGCAAGTTTATGAGACAATGGCCACCTAAGGACCACCATTAGTCTAAAAAGAGGCGACGGTGCCTTCTGGGCAAATGAGTGGAACTTTTGCCCTCTAACAAGCTATTACTTAGAAAGGCAATAGGCAGTGCTAGAAGCAGGCAGCAACTAAAGACAGACCCATTTCTGCTTGATTCCAAGGCTGTGATTTTGGGAGAGGCAAGACCTTCTAGGTCTGGATGTTAATGCTGTGAGCCCCCCACCCCACCCCAAATCTTAGGCACAAGTTGTATATTTGTGTAGGTAAACCATATATCATAAAGACACCATGGTCTCCGCTGTCTCTCATTCCAAGGAAGGCAAACCCCAGGAAAGCGCCCAGAACCCCTCGGAGACTAGGGTGGCATGCAACAATACATAGAAAGCAGCCATATACTGTCTGTCTAGTGCAGTATTGCCTATATACCTTGTGAAACATGGACCACTTATAAACACCATCTCCAACTCAAAAGATTCCATCAACAGTGTCTCCAAAAAAAAAATTACACATCACTTGGGAAGACAGGAAACTAATGCTAGTATACTGGAAGAAGCAAAGGTCACCAGTGTCGAAGCAATGATTCTTCAACATCAACTTCGTTGGACTGGTCATGTTGTTCGGATGCCTGATTATCGTCTTCCAAAGCAACTACAGTGGTACCTCAGGTTACATACGCTTCAGGTTACATACGCTTCAAGTTACAGACTCTGTTAACCCAGAAATAGTACCTCGGGTTAAGAACTTTGCTTTAGGATAAGAACAGAAATCGTGCTCTGTCGGCGTGGCAGCAGCAGGAGGCCCCATTAGCTAAAGTGGTGCTTCAGGTTATTTTCAGGTTAAGAATGGACCTCCAGAACAAATTAAGTACTTAACCCGAGGTATCACTGTACTCTATTCTGTACTTAAAAATGGAAATTGTAATGGTGGGGGTCAACAAAAGAGGTTTAAAGACTCTCTCAAGGCAAATCTTTAAAAATGTAGTATAAACACCAACAACTGGGAAACACTGGCCTGCGAGTGCTCCAATTGGAGAACAGCCTTTACCAAAGGTGGTGTGGGCTTTGAAGATGCTCAAACTCAGAACACAAGGGAGAAACGTGCTAAGAGGAAGACACACTTGGCAAACCCTCACTGTGATCAACTCCCACTCGGAAACCTATGTCCCCACTGTGGAAGGACGTGTGGATCCAGAATTGGCCTCCACAGTCACTTACGGACTCACTTTTAAAACCATGTTTATGGAAGACAATCTTACTCGGCCAAAGAAGAAGAAGAAGAAGAATTTATTTGTATTTATTTACTATATTTATTTTGCTATTACATTTTAATTCTACCTTTCTTCCAAGGAACTCAAGGAAGGAACTCATTCTTTGCCCAGCAGATGGTTGAAGCTCTCTTTGGTATATTTGGTCGGCAACAAATTGTTTAGGAAGGGATAAGATAATGAGACATAAGCAAGATTGTTCTTGAGGAAGGCTTTCTGTCTGCCCCATGCCAGTACTGCTGCTCCTCCTGTGGCACGCTCCTCAGTAACATTTGCAGCGGGAAAGGCTTCTCTTCAAACTGTGAGTGGTTTTTTTTAATCCTGGCAGGCTCCTCAGGAGTGTTGTGAGGAGTCTAGCCAGTTGGTGAGCTCTCTAATCTAAAACAGCTGTCCCCAGACTGAGGCCTCCCATTTGCATTGTTTAACATACTTAGAAAATGAAGTGTTCATTTTTAACATTCCTCCTCCAATTGGTTTAATGCTGAATTACAGAAGAGAACTAAGCAAAACCAGGTGCTTTTGCTGTATTCTCTCCAGTGTCTAAGGAGGAGCAGATCTCTCCTTCTCCCTTCACTCTTCTCCCCTCCTTCCTTCCCTCCCTCCCTCCTCCTCCTTCCTTCCTTCCCTCTTTCTCTCTCTCTCTCTCCTTCTGCTTCTCTATGATTTTGGGTCTTTCATTCTGTGGAATATAAATGATGGCAGGACTAACGTTCTGGCAAAAGGTTTAATGTGCAAAACTATTTTTCAGCTATTCAGCTGTGCACACGTTATTTTCCCCGCTCAACTTTTTTCTTCAGTTTTGGACATGACAGGATTAAAAAGGTAGGTCCTATGCACTCTCTTTCTCTCCTTCTCTCCCTCTCTTAGTGTTTACTGAATGCAAACCTTGCTTAATAGCAGATGTCTCTTCTCCTGTCACATTTTCTAAAACTGTATGTAAACTAACAGGAGGGAGAGCGGGGAAACAGACTATTCTGTAGCATGATGTATACATAGCATCTACCAATTTCCTTTGCACACTTTTCTCTTTTTGCCCTTGATAACTGCAGTAACTCATAGAAAGTGTGGATCTTAAAGGGGGTTTTCCCCCTGTGCAAACATGTATAAAAAAATATTGATTTCATCGTTCACTATTATTTAACTGCTATTGCATCTGGTGGCTAAGCCAGCCTCTCCAGCTGATAAATGTGACAGATCTCTTGAGAATAGCTGTCTGGAAGAAGTGATAGGGACTGTAAATAGAACTCTTACAAAAGTAAACCTGGAAACATGACACTGAAGAGATATACAGAAATTCAGGGATTTGTTGTTGATGAGGAAGATTATTTCACTCTCTCTGTAAATGGTGCTTTACAGAGGAGGCCAAACAAAAAAAGTCAGGTCTCTACCCCAAGGAGCTTGCAATGTAAATTTTGAATGGGAAAAAATGACAGAGGGAGGAAGAGGAAGGCAAGAGGTGAATAATATGCACAAGGTCAGTTACATGCAGCTAGGAATTAATCTTGCTGTTGACTGGTGACTCTGAAACCTCTTTCTTCCTCCACCCTCAAAAGTGTCGATGAGCAGAGCTTTATGTGTAGCACTTTCAGTACAGAGGAACAGAGCTCCTTCAGGGCCATTTAAGCAAGAAAGGTCTAACTCTGAATACCAGTTGCACCCGCAAAGGAGGGCTTTTGCTTTCATGCGCTGCTTGCAGGTTCCATGGGTGCATCTGGTTGGCCATGGTGGCAAACTGGGCTAGATGGAACTTGTGTCTGACCCAGCAGTCATCTTCCTATGTTATATTTGCAAGTGTGCTTGTTCTAACGTGTGGATGTAACCAACATGCGGTCACAAACAGGTGTGCCATATACTGGTATATTCATCAGGGATCCAGGATTGCCCAGTTATTTGTACACTCTCATTGGCAAGCCCAGGTTTGCTGCTTTGTAATATAAGCAACAACTTGATTTCCTTCTACTTGTGCTACAGAATGAATCTGCACTTGGGTGTGCATTTTTGAAGTTGGACTACCTCTCTGGAAAGTTTCCAGGAGTTCAGCATTGAATGACAGATGACATAGCACTAGGCAGTGTCTCTGGAGAACAATTCTAGTTTTCTATGACTGAAAGGCCTGCCAAGCAAGCAAACATCTGCCTGCACAGGATTACCAATGGAGGGATTTGCTTGTTTTTTGTGTGCTTTGTTTCTGAATCATGTTCTGAAGGGCTTGAGAAGTTGCTGTCAGAATTAAAAACAGCATTGTTTGCCTCCTCTGTAATATGCAGAGAGAGAACAAAATATGCTGTTAGCATCCACTTGTGCTTTGGGAGTTGAAAACTCTGGGAGCGGCAATGAGGAAAGTTTTCTTTGAAGCACTGGCCTTCCTAGAAAATGTTTTAAATCAAATCCCCCACAAACAGTTAAATAGACATAGAAGCTATATATTAATAAAGGTGCAATCAACCAAAAAGTTGTTTTGCACAAGCTCCATTAAACTACCACACTCTCTCATACATCAAATTTAAATGGGGCTTGTACTAAAATTATGATGGATTATTTCAGCTAATGTAAACAAGTTGCTTTCCTGGAAAGTAGATCACACAAATACGGTATGAACTAAAGTTCAAGAAACTTATGTTGAGAGACTGAGAGATTATATGACAGCAAATCTACAGAAATCATAATGTTTACATTTTAAACATTTGATTTCCAAGGAATAGGGAAGGCTGTATTTTAAGTATTCAAAAATAGTCAGCACTCTTATACCACTTTAAAAGTCATGGCTTCTTCCAAAGAATCCTGGGGACTGCAGCCTGTTAAGAGTGCTGAGAAGTGTTAGGAGAGCTCTTACAGAGTTACAATTCCCAGCACCCTAATGATCAATTGTAATAATGAGCTGTACTTTGAAGAGTTGGCATCCAGCACCTAAACGCAGGACAGATATTAACCCGGTGATTCTCAAACTGTGTGCCATCTGAAAGTGTGCTATAAAATTAGGGGTTCTTTTAAGTATAGGCTTCGCATGAAAGGCAGCATGAGGTCTCACTAACTCTACTGGAAGACCAAAAAGACAAAACAACAAACAGAGGACAGCAACTCCCTGCTAGCTGCGGGATCACACAGCTCAAATTCTCTACAGATGGGCAACCTGTAGCCCCTGTGGATGGTTTTGTAGTACATTCCCCATCATCTCGTTCTATCTGGGGCTAATGGGAGCTGGAGTCCAACAATGTCTTGGAGGGCCACAGTTTCCCCACAGTTTCTGCCTAGACCCAACAACCAGGAGATGACCCTTAAAGATACAGCAACTCTATTTTAAAGAACTGTTCAATAGGCCACAGGCTCCTCCTGAATGCTTCTTTCATAGGCGGCTGTATATTACTTGACTCAGTGAATGTTTCACTGCCCTGCTCTGCTATTCTTCTGTTGGAAGTGGGTAATTTAGCCAGAGTGACCAATTTTGCTGTGTTGTGCAATCACACCGGATGCAGAGAAAGACAGCATTACTTACTCTCAGAGGAAGTGGACATTACGGTCAGGAGACTCTGGGCTTTTGCCTACAAGGGTCTGTAGGCAAAAGCCCAGAGTCTCGTTCAGCGGAGAGCAGCCTCAAATGCAGCAGGACTGGCTTGCCACATATTAAAGTCAACAAAGTGATCTCCTCTGGATGCAATGGTGGCTGAGTGCAGTGGGGTCATATCAGAAAACAGGTGGGTTACACATATCACTGTCCTGCATAATCATGAGGTTTATGTTCCTATTGCAGGATAATTACCATTTTCATGGTGGCTGCCTGCCTCTTAAGTCGTGGGAAGACGCAGGTAAGATATGTCACAAATATTTCAACGTTTTATACAAAGAGATTTCATGACCGTGAACTGCCAAAGAGGAAGACCAGGACACAGTGCAGTATTGGATTTGTGTTACACTGTTGGCTTGGGTCAAGACAGAACCAGAGCCTGACATTTGCATTAGACTTATTCTCTCATTCAGCTTGGTGGTGGTGCGTATAATAATAATAATAACAATAACAGTGTTATATGGCCTTTGTAAGAACAAAAATCAATAGCTGCATCAATAAGTAGAAGTTATGGTAAACTGACTTAGAAAAACCATGTAAAAACTAGTAAGAACCCAGCATTGCTATGCAGAACTTGACTTCAGCTCAACATCTTCTCCACACCCTTATAGATCAGTGATTGAACACATCTCCAGGTTAAAGGACCAGGAAGTGGCTCATGGGATAGGCCTCACTGTTTCTGGGACCATGGAGAACTGCTGTCAGCCAGAGTAGACCAGTGGTGGTAGACTGTGGCCCTTTACAGGCTGTTGGACTCCAACTCCCATCATCCCCAGCCAACATGGTCAGTGATGAGGGATTGTGGGAGCTGTAGTCCATCAACATCTGGAGGGCCACAAGTTCCCCACCCTTCAAGTACAAAATCTTGGATTTGATAGACCAATAGTTTGATCTGGTGTAATCAGTTCCTACCCAAATCCTAACCAGGTTCATAACAGATTCATAAGAATCGTGCCCTAAAGCCAATCACCTAATAGGCAATGTAGTTAGGGCAGAGGTAATATATACTTCTACCAGATATGGTGATCAGGTGAAAAAGAGGGCAGGATTCTGGCACCTAAACAGTTTTGTAGACAAGGGAGTTTCAGCTGCTCCTTTCCACTTTTGCCAGATGGCGGCAAGTGTATTTCCTACAGGCGCATCTTCAGGACAGAATTCCCTGCAACATGAGCTGTGACAAGAGACATACGCTGACAGAGAGATTCTTGATAAAACTATTGTCCCTAGAATACAGAAGGCAGAAGCAAATGGCCATTGTTTAATTTAGCTTTAAAATATATAGGAAAACACACTTTAGGCCAGAATTCTAAGGTGTGCAGTGAAACCCAAACAGTAGAGAGTTTATTGTTTTTTTAAAAAATGAAAGGAGGTCCAGGCCCAGAGGCCTACCATTTGATGAGAATGAAAAACAATAATATGTGACCACTTTTATTTATTTATTTATTTTTAAGATGGTCTTATTTTTTTTTAGCTGTTAATAATATTTTAAAATGTTTTTATGTGCGATGGTTTGTCTCCAGTCAGTGACATTGGCCTATTAGCGCAAGGAGGTCCACTTGTATGACAGAAGTCCCCTTCCGTCTCATCTGCCTATGTGCCCCCCTATGTGGCAGCGTTGGAGGTTGGCCCCCAGAATAGTTTGGGGAGGCACAGGGGGGATAATAGCAAGGGGACTTTCTATTGCTACAACCCTTTATTTTCAACTGTATTGTTTTGCCGCTTTGTTGTTTGCTGCCCTGGGCTCCTCTCAGAGGAACTGCAGGGTAATAGTAATAATAATAATAATAATAATAGAACCCTGGTAGCATAGCTGTCTCTGGGATGCTAGGAGCACAGTCTCTCTCTTTTTGGCTCTGAGGAACTACAATATGAAACTGAGGAGATGGGGGTAGAGATGGAGATTCTGAGGAGAACTGTAAACAGGACAGAGAGACTGAGGAGATTACAGAGAGGGAATAAAGGATCCATATTGGCAGAAACAGTAGCAACAGTTTATGCCTTTTGCCATCACATAGAAGCTCCAAGGCCAAGGTGTGTGACAGAATTTGAGGCCTAGCCCTAAAGCTAGCAATAAGTTTGTGAGATTCTGAATGCTGGACTCTGCTTTTATTCTGTTGCTTAGAAGCGTTTTAAAAATTGTATACTTGCCCGAGCTGTTCCTCTTCATCCCTCACCTCTTTCCTCCTTCCTGTTAAATTCTAGCTGTTGCCTTTCAATTTAAATAATTTGCTCACTAGTTGCTTCACCTACCTATGGTGGACATTTACACATAGCAAAAAAATTAGGATAAAATAGGACACATGTTTTCATAAACATTCCACATGCTACTTTATATGTTTAAGATGAAAATTTAGAAATAATTGCTGCAGTTTAATTAGAAATGCATCTGATGTGCATATGTCTGCAGCTCAGTTGGTAAAGCATGAGACTCATAATCCCAGGGTTGTGGGTTCGAGCCCCACATTGGGTGAAAGATGCCGGCATTGCAGAGGGCTGGACTAGTTTCTTAGGGGTGCTGGGAAATGTAGCTCTGTGAGGGGTAAACTAGAGTTCCTAGGATTATTTGGGGGAAATCATGTGCTTTAAATGTACGGTACATTATCAGCCTTGGACATCAAATATAATAATAATAATAATAATAATAATAATAATAATAATAATATATTATTTGGACCCCGCTCATCTGGCTGGGTCTCCCCAGCCACTCTGGGCGGCTTCCAACAAAGATTAAAAATACATTAAAATGTCACACATTAAAAACTTCCCTGAACAGGGCTGCCTTCAGATGTCTTCTAAATGTCAGGTAGTCTTTGACATCTGATGGGAGTGCGTTCCACAGGGCAGGCGCCACTACCAAGAAGAAGGCCCTCTGTCTGGTTCCCTGTAGCCTCACTTCTCGCAGTGAGGGAACCGCCAGAAGGCCCTCGGCGCTGGAGCTCAGCATCTGGGCAGAACGATGGGGCGTGGAGACGCTCCTTCAGATATACTGGGCCGAGGCCGTTTAGGGCTTTAAAGGTCAGCACTTTGAATTGTGCTCGGAAACGTATATATGATGTCTTCCAGTATTATTAAATTTATATGCTGCCCATCTCCTAAAGGTCCCTAGGGCAGCAACAGAGCACTGTCCTCTTGATAGTCCCTCCAAAAAACCACAAAAAACCACATGTGCATGGCACAGCTAAGCAAGCTAAGATGCTGGGCCAACACTTAACACACCCCTTGTTATCCTCATCAAGCAGGGTGTTGATGAACACAACCTTCATTGCATTGTCAGGAAATTCTCACACGTATTCATGGATCACTCTGGCCCATGAACGCTGTGAACCCAGTTTCCTTGGAACTTGGCAGGCAGGCTGAAGAGTCTTGACCGGTGGGACAGCTGGCTGAGCTGCTTGCACAAGCTGTCCTCTCAGGGTGGCAATCTCCTGGGCAAAGGCTTGGAGGGCTCAGTAGACACCGATGATCGCAGCTGCTCCCGCCGCCCCCCAGCACCTTCATCCATTCCGGCACCTTGAGAAGGTGTGGGTTGGATCAAACTGTCCTGGATGTGGGGCTTGGATTCCATTTTCTACTATAGACTTTATTGCTCAGTTCAGTATGTTATGGAAGCAAGGCAAGGATCACTGGTGCATGGCATGGCAACCTAAGATGTTGATTCAGCCGTAGACACACCTCTTGTATTCCTGTTGCAAAGGAGCAGAGCAGGCATGGCATTAGCTCAGCAATACACTGGGTCCCTCCATGGTATTGGATTCCTAACCCATGGACATGGACCCATGTCGAGCAGATTGATTTATTGCTCAGATAAGCCTGAGGTCCGGCACACTTCTGCTGCGCAGGCCTCTGCATTCCAAAGTCCACATTCCGATGCTTCTGAGCAAAGCAGAGTTCAGCAGCGGTAAGAGAAAGACTGCAAAAAACTCCAGAGCATTCTTCAGTGTGCTTAAATAAAGTCCACTCAGGATCTTAGCAGCTAAAAGCAGTTTTATTTACAGCAGACTATCCAATATCTATCACAGCGAACAGCATCGTGAAAACACGTCCTCTCTCCTCAAAAGCGAAAGTAGAGAGAAAGAACAAAGGCTTGAGGCTCTCGGAAATGACGAACCTCCCCCCTCCCAACAGTAGGCAGTGCGTACACTCTGAGCTGTTTAACCCTGTAAGCTCAGGTTCTCCTCACACCCCCTCTCGCTCTGCGCTACTGTGGGGAAAGTAAGTACAGAACTTACCCCCAACTCCAAACCACCACAAAACTCCCCATGACGCTGGAAGCTTAAAGGTTTGGTAAATCCATCGGCCAGGTTACTGTGACTGGCACAGTACTTCAGCCGTATCAAACCTGACTGAACACTCTGACACACATTTTGGAAACGTATGTCCAGATGCTTGGTTCTGGCCTTAAATTGCGCAGATTCAGCCAATTTCAAACAGGGTTGATTGTCTTCCCAAACCGTGATGGGCAAGCTACAATCCCCATAGATCTCTTGCACCAAGCATCTATAGAACTCTAGTTCCCGGCACAAATCTGACAGTGCACTGAATTCAGCCTCAGTAGAAGACAGCGCAATGAGACTTTGCTTCCGGGACTTCCACCCAACTAGTGACTTCCCAAACTTTACCACCAACCCAGACACAGACTTGCGGTCCTGCGAATTCGCCCAGTCACTGTCCGCATAGCATGTGAGCTTCGCCTCACCTTCAGCTGGCAGCTTAAGACAGAAGTCTTTGGTATGCTGCAGGTAGCGCAGTACCCGCTTGATACCGTGCCAAGCACTCACACTGGGCTTTGATGCTTCCCTACTTAGCAGGTTGGTAGCAAAGGCAATGTCTGGTCTGCTCCATTGGGACAGATACAACAGACTACCTAGAGCTGACTGAAAGAGCTCAGCATTCTCAAACTCAGCACTTTCTGCTTGCTGGCTATCTTTCACGAAGTTCGTCTCCATGGGTGTCCGAACTCCTGCACAATCGGACATTCTGAACTTCTCAAGCAACTGCTCAATCTTGCCTTTCTGACTGAGCAAGAAGCTACCATCCTCAGTTCTCGCTATCTGCACGCCTAGGTAGATCTTTACTGCACCCAGGTTCTTGAGCTGAAACCGTTTCCCAAGCTCTTTGGCAAACTTCTGCACCTGTTTGTCTGCCTTTCCAACATGGATGATGTCATCAACGTAAAATAACACCAGTTCCTGTGAGTCTCCTGATCCTCTAAGGAACAGGCAACTGTCAGCAAGACTCTTCCTGAAACCTAGCTTCTCCAAAGCTTCATTCAGGCACAAGTTCCAATTCCTGGCCGACTGCTTCAGGCCGTAAATTGACTTGTGAAGTTTCCACACAGTACCTTGCTCATTGCCCTCAAACCCTGGAGGAGGAAGCATGTACAGATCCTCCTGGAGGTCTGAGTTCAAGTAAGCAACATCCACATCAAAGTGATGCACCAGCAAACCTCTTTGTGCAGCAATGGCCAAGACCAAGCGTAGAGATTCACTCCTACAGGTGGGAGCACAAATTTCCGTATAATGCAACCCCTGCGCTGCGTGAATCCTCTCGCCACTAATCTGGCCTTATACTGCGGTTCTCCTGTCGCTGTGGGCTTAAGACGGTAAACCCAGCGGCTACCCACTGTCTGTTCACCCACCGGCAACTTCGTGAGGGAGAACACACCTAGAGACTCCATTGAGTTCATCTCCTTCTGCATCGCCTCATGCCATTTCCTGGCTTCTTCCTGAGGCAGTTTCTGAACATCCTCAAAACTCTCGGGTTCACACTGTGCCATTCCGACCCACACACTAGTGACGGCAAACCTTTCAGGAGGTTTCCTCTTGGTCGTCCGCGTTGAACGGCGCAGCACTCCTTCAGGAACCCCCTCTGGCCCACTAGGGCCAGCCAGAACGTCCTTGGCGTCAGAGAGCTCCCCTCTGACTTACTGCGCCTTCTGGACTTCTCAGCCGAACCTGTGGGGAAGATGGAGCACTGCGTTGCTCAATCTTCACAGCCTTGGGAGAAGTTCTCCCTCTGCCTGCACTGGGTCTCGACTCTGAGCCTCAGTAGCAGGTTCAACCTCTTCCTCTCCTTCATCAGCAGAGTCTAGCAGACTCTCTGACAGGATGTCAGGGTTCCCATGTATCCTTGCCCAGCCACTCTGCTCACAGAATTCAGCACTGTTGCTGAGCAGAATCCTGGACTGATTCCCTGACGGATAAGCAAACCTCCACCCCTTGGTCCCTGGCTCATACCCACAAAAAATCATCTTTTGGGACTTGGGTTCACCTTTCTTGCATTTGGCCTTTGGTATGAGGACCCAAGCCTCACAGCCAAAAACGCGGAAGTAGTGCACTTTCGGTTTCTTTCCATGCAGCAAGAAATACGGTGTGTCACCTACCACTGAATTGAACGACCTGTTCAGAATAAAGTTGGCCGTTCGCCAAGCCTCCCCCCAAAAGCGCTGTGGGAGCCCGGCATCAAACAAAAGAGCTGCGGACATCTCCCCTAGAGTCCTGTTTCTGCGTTCCGCGATCCCATTCTGTTGGGGACTGTGTGGAGAAGTCAACCTGTGTTGAATCCCCTTTTGCGGAAGAAACTTTGCAGTGCAGACCCGGTGAACTCCCCACCGTGATCGCTCTGAAAGTTTTGCACCCGTGTGGAAAACTGCAGTTCCACAGCCGCAATCCAGTCTTTGATTAGCGGCGCAGCTTCATCTTTGCGTCGAAGCGTGAAGGACCAGGAGTTCCTCGTATGGTCATCAATCAGAACCAGCGCAAATTTGGCTCCGCCCATACTGCTCACAGAAAACGGACCACACAAATCTGCATGAATTAACTGAAAAGCCCTAGTGGTCACCCTCTCAGACCTTGGGTATGTGCACGTTTTCACCTTTGCGGACTTGCACGCTCTGCAATCTAGAAACTTAGCACATGATTTCATTTTGCACCCTTGCGTATACTCTGGGATCTTCATCACTGACCCCCAGGACACGTGTGCCATGCGTCTGTGCCAGAGGTGAGCACACGCATCATGAACTGGAACATTGGCACACTGTGCTTGAGCCTCCTCCGTGTCATCTGGACCTGCAAAAGAAGCATCTATCACAAACAACCTGTCTTTACATTCAACACTGACTAGGTGCTGTCCATTCTTAGAAATAGAACACTTATTGTTCTCAAAACACACTCTGTAGTTCTCAGCAAGAAGTGCACTGACAGACAGCAACGCGCAGGACAGTCCTGGAACAACAAAAGCCTGGATTGAATCCTGCAAGAAAGAACAAAACAGTGAGCCAGTCTGCGTGAGTGGGTGTCGAGTCCCATCTGCTAAACAGACAGTCTTCCCAGAAGTTACAGAGGTGCAGTTCTCCAGGAATCCTGCAGATGGCACTAGGTGATGCGACGCTCCACTGTCTATGACAAAAGCCAGCACAGCATCCTGTTGACAACTCTTGACTACAGCCATAGAGGCTGCCAAATGTTTACGTTCAGTGTCTCTGCCAGCTGCCTTCGGCTTGCCTTTCCCACGCTTTGAAGAAGAGCCCTTTATCTGGTTGCTACAGGAGACGGCCTTCGGCTGTGCCTGTGCCTCCACTGGACATTCTCTCACCAGATGGGAGGGGGAGCCACAGCGATAACAGCGGCGACGCGTAGCAACAGCTCTCACAGCTCCCTCTTCAGCCATTCCTTTGTTCCCAGCACCCCCACCTTTGGGTGCACAGCCTGGGCCTGCACGCTCCCCAGCACTCTGGTTGTAGGCCTCAACATCACACGGCCCCTCGGAGACAAAGCAGCTACTCCCAGCTGTAACTTCAGGAACATGGCCAGCAGCCCCCTCTGGGCTCTCGGCTTCCTCCCTGCTCTCGGCTTTCTCCCGGCCCTGGGCTCCTGCTGAGTTCTCACACAGACTCCTCAGCACCTGCCAGGCGGCCTGAGCCGACTCAACGCCCTCCAGGTGGGGCAACAGCATAGCGTCCACGCTTGCTCTCAACATGCAGAGCTCCCTTTGCATTCTCTGCTCTCTATCTTCCAGCAAAGCAGCCTCCAGGTCTGCTCCGCCATCTTCAGCAGCAACTGGCATGGGTGGGGCCGGCTCCTTCTGGGCTATACTCCAGAACCCTGTGGCCAAAAACCACCCCCTGACTCTTCTAACCCAGATATCCCAGGACTGGGTTGTGAGCTTTTCAAACGGGACATCATAAAAGTCCTGGAGCTCAGCCATCTCCCCCAGTGCTCCCATTGGGGCTTTGAAGTACTCACGCGTACCAGCCAGCTTCAACGGAGAGGCCTCCAGTGGCTCTTTGCAGCACACAGCATTGCAGCCAGCTTCCCTGCTTTTCTCCCAGGCAAAGCCTCAAAGCAGGACTTTTTTCCTTCCGGCAGCAAAACAGCAGCTTCTCAGGTTTCTCGTCCTTTTTTAGCACACAGCACTTCAAAGCAGGCTTCCTCTAATTGCAGTAACTGCCCACCCATAACCTGTCGAGCAGATTGATTTATTGCTCAGATAAGCCTGAGGTCCGGCACACTTCTGCTGCGCAGGCCTCTGCATTCCAAAGTCCACATTCCGATGCTTCTGAGCAAAGCAGAGTTCAGCAGCAGTAAGAGAAAGACTGCAAAAAACTCCAGAGCATTCTTCAGTGTGCTTAAATAAAGTCCACTCAGGATCTTAGCAGCTAAAAGCAGTTTTATTTACAGCAGACTATCCAATATCTATCATAGCGAACAGCATCGTGAAAACACGTCCTCTCTCCTCAAAAGCGAAAGTAGAGAGAAAGAACAAAGGCTCTCGGCTCTCGGAAATGACGAACCTCCCCCCTCCCAACAGTAGGCAGTGCGTACACTCTGAGCTGTTTAACCCTGTAAGCTCAGGTTCTCCTCACACTCCCCTGGACTACACAGATGGCACTCAGGGCCTAGCTGCGATCTGGCCCTACCATCTGGGTTCCTCTCTAAGATCATCATCAAGCATCATATTGAACTCCTCACATTGTTCACCCCAGTGAGCCCAGCCTCTCCATGATGTCACCATGGGGCTGATGACATTATCCCCCTTCACCCCCTCTCAGCCTTTGGATTTGGGCTTATGTGGAAAGCAATCAGTTCAGGGGCCTGAACATCAACTTCCGAGGACCAGTCATCAGGGACACAGCCCTTCTAGTGATCAGGTATTGCAGGCAGCCGTGGTGCTATCTAAAGTCTAAGATGTGTTGCTCTTCAAGTTATTCTTCCAACTTGATGTTCACTGGGGGGGGGGGAGCTGCTGTCAGATCGGTATGGGTGTGGTGGAGGGGGCAGGGATAATAAGGGTGGAGTTTCATGGAGAGCCAGAGAAGTAACCAGAATGTGACTAGGTTGATTTGTTCTTCAACGACATAGGACCCAAATCTGAGGCCTTCTAACTTGTGGCTTCACGCTCAGGTGGTCTTTTCCAGGTGGTTAGTGCATGTCAGCAGCTTTCATGTAAGTGGCCTTGGCTCCTTCTTGTAGCAGCTGGCCTTGGCTCGAGTTCTTGTAGCAGCTGTTGTATAGCTTGCAATTCTTGGACAAAGTCAGTAGCTGAAGCAACCAATAAAGTATGAGTGAAAGGTGCATGGGTGGAATCCATAGCTGGTAAGGAATGGAGTCTATTGAGTAGAGTTCTAGAAGCAGTTGTATACAAATTTGGGAGTCCAGTACAAGGGATCAAAATGAGCCATCTTGCTAAAGGTGTCGACCACCACTAAAATTGTAATGTGGTGCTGAGGTTTGGGTAGTTCAGTGATGAAGTCCATAGAAACCATTTCCCATGGTCTAGTGGGTGTAGAGGGTAGTTACAGGTGGCAGGCCGGCCCACTAGCAGGTGTCACACAATTTTTGTACATCATTGCACATATTTTTTTACATGGTGGTTTATTTTGGAGGTCTTTAAGCAGAGGCTTGACAACCATATGTCAGGAGTGCTCTGATGGTGTTTCCTGCTTGGCAGGGGGTTGGACTCGATGGCCCTTGTGGTCTCTTCCAACTCTATGATTCTATGATTCTATGATTTTTGGCCACCAGAATTCTCGAGCAACTGTGTGCAGGATTTCATGTTGTCTGAAGTGTCCTGTAGTGGGATTATCATGGCATTGCTTGAGCATTTGGGCTGTAAATTCTCATGGTGGCACATAGATTACTTTAGGATGAAAGAATAGTCCACACTAAACAGAGTAGTCGGTGGAGCTGTCAACATTAGGGGAAGTTAATTCTTGCATTTTTTCCCCTCAACAAAGGGATCTTTGTTGCTCCTTTAAAAAGGTAAAGGACCCCTGACAGTTAAGTCCAGTCTGGGGTTGCGGCGCTCATCTCACTTTACTGGCCGAGAGAGCCGGTGTTTGTCTGTAGACGGTTTTTCTGGGTCATGTGGCCAGCATGACTAAGCTACTTCTGGCAAAGCCAGAGCAGCGCACGGAAACGCCATTTACCTTCCTGCCAGAGCAGTATCTATTTATCTACTTGCACTTTTTGGCGTGCTTTCGAACTGCTAGGTTGGCAGGAGCTGTCCATTATCAATTGCTCTGGATGAAGGGTTCAGTTCAGGCTCCCACTCTGCTCTGGTGCTGTTGTATTCCGGCTTGCAGAAGAAGGCATCCTCTCATCAACTTTGAGTGCTGAGTATGTTGGCGATCTTGAAATGGAACCAGGTGAAAAACTGTGACTCGTGGAACTGTCGTTGATTTAGTGGCTAGGCAATCCCTAATTTGTGGTGGTCCATCTGGATCTCTATAGTGTGTTGCTGCACCTTGAAAGTGTCTTTGATGTCTTTGCACCAGATGGTGTGGTTCTGTTTGGGCAGGGTTAATTTTGGGGAGTAGTACATGTAGGGACAAGCTGCTCCTCCCATCTCTTCAGCCTGCAGCAGAACCACCCTAGTAGCCACATCAGAGGCATCAGGTTCCACAGCAAAGATATGGGACAGATCTGAGTGGTATACGATCAGTTCAGAAACAAAAGGTTCCTTTAGGTGTTCAAAGGCTTTCTGTGTGTCTGCTGTCCACTGAAAGGACTTCTTTCCCTTAAGACAGTCTGTGAGTGCGGTGGTGGTTTTCAAACCTCCAGTAATCATTAGCAAAGCCAAGGAAGCTTTGCAAGTTTTTGTTTGGCTTTGGGGGACTGCCAGGTTAGCATGCCATGTGTTTGCTATGGGTCCATCTCTACCTCTTGGTGGGAGATACAGGTATCCAAGGAAGTTGATGCTGGAGAGGTCAAACTTGCACTTTTCCAGCTTGACATGGAGATTTTCCTGTTGTTAACCACTGGAGCTGGGGTGACTCCCAGCAGATAAGGATTTTGTCTGGTTAAATCACTACGAACCTGTCAAGAAAGTATCTGAATATGTCGCTCATGAGGTGTTAGAAGATAGCAGGGGCATTGCAGCAGCCCAATGGGATGACAGTGTATTCATAATGTCCATATTGGGTTTGTAAAGCAGTCTTCCATTCATCCCCTTCTTGTAGCCCACTCTATGATCCAGCTTAGTGAAGATATTGACGGTGCATGGCCTTTGATCAGTGAACAGAGGTAGTGATTAGGGATGGTAATCCTGTTTAGTGCACAGCAGTTGTTACTCCTGATTTCTTCTTTGAACAGGATCGGGGCTCCAGCAGGAGATATGGAAGACAGGATGGATCCTCACTTGAGGTTGGTATCAATGAATTCTCCCAGTGCTTCAATGGTACCATAATAGGGACAGTGAGATGGGAGCTGATACTCCTCTTTTTTGCAGAACACGCCTCTGTCAGCTGAGTATTTGGTGGGAATCTTCCACTTTGCTGCCTTCACACACATGAATGGATCATGCTATGAACTGATCCCAGTTTCCTTGGAACTTGACCAGTGGGCAGACGAGTCTTGACTGGTGGGGCAGCTGGCTGAGCTGCTTGCACAAGCTGTCCTCTCAGGGTGGCAATCTCCTGGGCAAAGGCTTGGAGGGCTCAGTAGACACCGATGATTGCAGCTGCTTCCACCGCCCCCCCAGCACTTTCATCCATTCCAGCAGCTTGAGAAGGTGTGGGTTGGATCAAACTGTCCTGGATGTGGGACTTGGACTCGGATCTCATTTCCTACTATAGATTTCATTACTCAGACCAGTATGTTCTGGAAGCAAGGACCACTGTTTTAAAGGAGCAGGGCATGCATGGCTTTAGCATAGCAAGCGGGATGCAGCTCTGGGCTGAGCAAGCAAACGCCTGAGGAACTGTACCCGAGTTGTCTGTCTGTGCCAGTGCTAGCATCTCTGTGCCCTAGGTGACAGAGGAGGCAGCAGGGCCACCTAAAAATCAGACTGGGCATCAGCCACCTCCTCAGTGGGCAGGGGCATATCAGTAGAGGCTGATGCAGGCTAAAGCTCTGGTGGCACCAGGGGCAGTGCTGGTGGCAGAGTAGTTGAGGCTGGTACTTATGAGCTAGGTGGCAACCTGCTGAGATCCCTCACCTGTAGACTCCTCCCCAAAATGCACAGATGGAAGTCAGGGGCCACACCACAGTCTGTCCTAACCGGTTCCTTCCCCAGAGTCATTGTCAGGCACCATTTTGAACTCCTCCCACTGCTCATCCCAAGTGGCCCAGCCTCTCCAGGATGTAAATAAGGGGCTCATTCCCTTTCGTCTTTCCCTTAAGGGTGAAGACATACCCAACAAGTTTAGAGCAGCGAGTCCACTCTGGAAACTCTCCTTCCGTGGAGGTTTTTAAGCAGAGGTTGGATGGCCATCTGTCATGGATGCTTTAGCTGAGTTACCTGCATTTCAGGGGGTTGGACTAAATGACCCCCTCCCCCGGCTTCCCTTCCAACTCTACAATTCTATGAAACAACCTCAAAGTATTCCATCATCAAGCTTAGTTCCCCCCCCCCAAGGCTAAGCTCTAAAAACCCTTGCAAGTCTGAAGCAGAAGCTGATGCTGATATATGGCCCCCATCAATAATCCCCCTCTCTATTTCTCAGAGCAATCCTGCAATTAAAAACAATTGGTTTTACTAGTGGAGAGCACTAACAGTACAAGCACACTAATGAACTGATGAATTCATGAATGTTTGTGCAGTGTTTTGTTAACTAAAAAAGGCAAGCAGCCCACCTGAAGCCCGTAGGGAAGAGGAAACCTGAGGGTTTATCTTCCGTTGTGAGGCCAGGAGGAAGCAAGGCTCACTTTAAGAATAAGAATAAAATGCACCTAATTCTTCTGACTCCACTCACATTCCCAGAGTGTCTTCTGTAAGGTTTATATCCATAGATATAGATGACAGGTATCTCATATAACTTCTGTACCTTGCCATAAAGTCGAGGGATAAGTTGAGAGTTCAATGTTATAGGTTTTTTTTGGGGGGGGAGGATACTTCTTCAGGCATTATCAATTGCTCTGGATGAAGGGTTCAGTTCAGGCTCCCACTCTGCTCTGGTGCTGTTGTATTCCAGCTTGCAGAAGAAGGCATCCTCTCATCAACTTTGAGTGCTGAGTTAAAAATGAAGGGGAAAGATGCACAGTAAAGTTCAAAGGCCTGTTTCTAGACAACAGTCATGTTTAAATTGCAAGAAAAGCACCACCACTTAGGTTGGGTTAAGTGCATCATTTTTGCTTTGTTTTATCCTGCTCCATTACTAAAGATACAAACATTACCAAAGAATATTTACATTACATTATGTCTGAAAAACAAGGAAAAGGTGGGCAACTTCTCCCATCCTTTCTAAATGGCTCCCCTGGCTATACAGTGGTACCTCGGGTTTAGTACTTAATTCGTTCCGGAGGTCTGTTCTTAACCTGAAACTATTCTTAACCTGAAGCACCACTTTAGCTAATGGGGCCTCGTGCTGCTGCTGCGCCGCCAGAGCACAATTTCTGTTCTCATCCTGAAGCAAAGTTCTTAACCTGAAGCACTATTTCTGGGTTAGTGGAGTCTGTAACCTGAAGCATATGTCACCTGAGGTACCACTGTAGTCAACAAAAGAGAGATGTACAGTAAATAAAAACATTGCAATTTTAATTCTTTTTGATAGGTTGGCTATGTATCCTTGCAAGTCCCTTCCACGAAACGAATGCATTTATGCTTCCAGACAATGGAATTATTAAGTTTCATGTGCTTTAAACAAGCTTGCATCCTGAATGGCAGATTGCTGTATTTATAGAGAGTTGAACGCTGCTAGTGGCAAACATTGGAACAATGTGGGAAAGTGATGGGAGAGAGGGTAGTTTCCTGAAGACCTCGTGTTCACCCAGCAAGATCCTCTAATGGTCTGCCAGAAGATGCATGATGGAATTTGGAGAAACTAAAGCCAATTATTTAGTTGAGCCACCTGGTCTTTTGAACTACAGTAGTTTTTACCAAACTCATTTTTAGCTTTTTTTTAAAAAGAAACCTTTAAAAATGTATTTAAATTTGTTGTTGCTTTTCTTTCCTTCCTTGTCTCTTTCTCTCTTTGAAAAGAATATCAGAATATTGAAAACTTCAAAATCCAGCTTGTGCAATGGGATGGGGTGGGGGACATAGGTACAAAATACAACTGTGTATGTACTATACCTTTAAAGCACCCCCCTGGCAAGAAACTTCAACTGTTGTTTGTTATGGGTGCTGGGAATTGTAGTTCTGTGAGGGGTAAACTACAGCTCTGAGGATTATGGGTGGGTATGCTTTGAGTGTCCTTTAAGGATATGGTGTGATAATTTTGCAGTAGTTTTACATTTAGGGCTCTTCCACACTTCACTTGTCCTGTGCATTTATTTATTATTTATTACTTATTTATTAAATTTTTTTTGTTCCGCAGCTTTCCTGGAGAAAACACACACTTTACCACTGAATGGGGACAAATGGCAACCCACGCAAAACCTGATTGCCATTTGGTTCAATTCACTGTTCAGCTGTGGGTTTTCTTGGGTGAAAGCAGCAGGCCACATGGCAGTGTGGATGAGCCCTTAGTTTAATAATTGCACATTTAATGACAAGAGTAAATCTAGCCCTGACCCAAAAGAATGGAACTGTGATATTATCTCTATTGTGCACATTCTCTAGTAGTAGAATGCTTTGGGTTTAGGATCACAGCCAATTAGGAGTTTAATCATGGCACTTGTGGGTTCTTTCATTCACCTACGGTATCTTATAGTGGTACCTGAATTTGTGTGTCTGCTGCAAATTTCGCAACTCAGCACCAAAGTGTGGAAGGGAGAATCCTAATTCATTCTGATCTGTGTTTATCCAGGTTTCCATTGACTGAGTGTCCTTTTCTTTTCTCTTTTTAGCAACAATGCTCAAATGGGTTTGAGATGGACCGTACCTCGGGCCAGTGCTTAGGTAGGATTTTATTGCATCAATTCCTTTGAACTAGGGCTCAACTGACTCTTCATTATGTACAGTGCCTTTGTCTGATTGTAGCATATTGGTTATGGTTCTGTCCTTCAGTATGTCTGCTTCAGGGTGTTAACTGCATCTGCTACTTTCTGTTCCTCCAGAGGGTAGGACCCAAACCAATGGGTTAAATTACAAAGGGATTTCAACTAAATGTTAGGAATAACTTATTGGTGGCATGACCTGTTTTCCTTTGTTAGAGGTGTTTAAGCAGAGGCCTCTATCAGGGATACTTTAACATCAGATTTCCTGCATTAGCAGGGGGTTAAACTAAATGACCTTCAGAGTCACTAACAACTTTATGATTCTAAATGACTATAGTTAGGGATGATGTCATTAATACGTGGTGACAATAGCCAGGCTGCTGGATTTTGAACGTATAATCTAGGTTCAAATCCATACTTGCCAGTTGAATCCATGTATTCATTTGGTGGTATTTAGTATTTAGTATGTATGGTATTTAGTTAGGAACATAGGAAACTGTTATATACTGAGTCAAATCACTAGTCCATATTGTCCACACTGATTGGCAGCGGTTTTCAGACAGGGAGCCTTCCCAACTCTAGCTAGAGATGGTGGAGATTGGACTAGGGACCTTTTGCATGCAAAATAGATGCTCTCCCACTGAACCCTCCCCAAAATTCATTCATTTGTTAGCTCTCTGGCAGAGGAGACAAAACAGGAAGAGGGTCTCCAAAATGGTGTCTGCAGTCTAATCTTATTAATCAGTTTGTATCTGTCTGAAGTCAATTCATTACGACACATGAAATAACTTTCAAATGTTGGTGAGAGCTAAGAGGAGATCTGAAACAAATCCTCAGAGTTTAATATCCTGTAACCATGTTTATGCAAGCAAGAGTGTAAAAGAAGCTTGCAGTTCCAGATTAAGAGCCAAGTTTCACAGCTGCCAAATCAAACCATCAGTGTCGGGGGTGGTGGTGGGGAACCACAAGCCTGAAATTTGCATCCCAATGTTCTTTTACAAATGTGTTAGTGGAAAAAGGCTACAGGAGTTTGCAATTAGCAATGAAACCGTAGTAGAGAAGGCAATAAGAATGGGATCTTTTACATTTTCACTAGAAACGTAAGAGTAGGATAAGATAAAATCATGTGGGTTAGATGAGGCTTTTTGAGTAGTCTAGTTTATGCCAGACCTCCCTGTTGGCCTGTGTTGATCTTGCCAATGCAGGTCTACATTTTATTGCACCATTAGATGGTTCTTAGCAGCTGTGTGACGGGATGTTAAAAATGGGGATCTGGGAAATTGCATTACTGCTTCACCTTGTGCACAAACCATTATCAATCTGCATGACATGGCAAGACCAAGGTAATATCAATGAGCCTTCCATTGTTTTAGTTAATGAAATGTATGTATGTATGTTGAGTTGTTTCCAGAGTGCCCTTTAGTGAAGAGAAGGCACCCTTCCAGGACTGAGATCCAGTGGAGGCTCCCACTTGAGAACATATGGGGAGGCATCTTTTGGCCCATTACCCTCTGCAGCCCCCTCTTCTGGGCAGCTTTCCCCATAATGTTCAATTCCCCGCTGCTGTGGAACTGCTCTGTTGTTAGCTGTGAGCCAGCAATAAATCACACAGTGCAAGTTGGAGTTAACTCTTTATTAGCAAAGCCACAACCTGCAAAAGAGTGTCAGGTCTAATGAACGCATAGCGACTCGTCTCTGGTAGGTCTTGCCCCCATGAAGCAGTTGCAAGACTGCAGGTTCCCACAGCCTCCCCACGGCTGCCTAAGTCCTCTCCTCTCCAGGGTTTCCCCCAAGCAATTTGAGACTGTGCTTGCATGAAGATAACATCTCCTCTGCCCTGTTCATGCCTCTCCTGGTTCTGGGAGACCAGGGAGGAGAGGAACCTGTTGCAGCAGGAGGGAGAGCTACACATGACTCTTCACCAGCCTGACTCATTTCTGCTCTTGGCCTCTGTCATTCCACTCTACTGCTTCAGCTTCTGCCTCTGATTTTGGGCTTCTCTTTGCCACAGACTCCAAGCTCACGAAACCATGTTACCTCCTCAGCTTCTGACACCTCCTCTTCCCAGTCTTCTCCCTCTGACCACTAGCACTTTCTGGGCTCTGAGCCCTCTTCCCTTGGTGGCTCCCTACCTGGTTCCTCCCACCATTCCTCTGCAGCCAACCAATCCATGGCATCTGTGGTGTTTTTAGTGTGGGCTCAAGCACGAGCACATAAGAGGTTTTCGGGGGGGGGTGACATTCTGAAAGCTTGTGAGGACACATATCCTCTTCCCCCCGGTGCAGCTTGAACTCCCATCTCCTGCTTGCCAGATCCATGCCTCATACAGTTGGCCAATGGATGCTGTTGCTGTTGCTGTCAGTATGGTGCGGTGGCTGCCCTTCTTGTGACCTGCCCTGCCCCTTGGCTGCTTAACAATGACTGCTCCCCACATCAAATGGGTGGCGCCTTTTGCGTGGTTGTGTGCAGCCCCCAGCACCCTAGTGCGACTCCTGGTAGTTCAGGCTGGCTTCATCCTCCCCAGGCTGGATACCTGGAGGTCTCCGTCTACCTCAGCCAGTCTCCCAGTCCTGCCTGGGGAGGCATTGCCAGGGGATTGGCCAGGTAAGGGGGGGACTGTCCTGCCCACACAACAGAAGGTGAATCTTACCTGTGAAGCGGCAGTCGGCTCCAGAGCTTCTCCCACCCTCCCCTCCCTCAGTAAAGTCTTCTTTTGCAGGTTAACCTCTTCTCCACAGGTATGCAGGTGCTGCTATGTCAGGGTCGCTGTTGAATAGCCAGAAAGGAATTTTCCTGCATTGGCAGGTTTTGCCTTCCCTGTAGCAAAACGTCACAACTTTGGTGGTTTCAGGCCTTGGATGGAATCCTTTAGTCTATCTTTTAAATGGGGGGGGGGGTTTGAAGCGGTGAACCACCCTTGTGGCGGTGATCCCAGGGTTCCCCTTTGAAGGGGTATTGAGGGGAGGCATTGGCCATACCCCGAGAGGTTGTCATTGCTCTCCCCTGCAATGGCGGCAAACCGGGGGGGGGGGGGCCTCTCTGCTTGAACATATGTTCTCCAGAGCCAGCCCAATCCCCACACGTTCTGGATAACCCTGATGTCTCCCAGATCCCCGGTTGGGGACTGAGAAGGATAAACACCCAATGCCTGAGCCAAGGTCTCCCTACATCCGAAATTTAATAAAGCTGCGGCCAATTTTAATCCCATAGCACGTTGTCTTGACTCATTACTATGCTCGGGGGTCGCCTGGGGTTGGGGGGGACTCCAACTGTCCACGCAAAAGGTTCTTTCCCACTCATGGTTGGTCTTGAAACTTTGAACCCAGGAGGACTGTGCAGAGCCCTATCCAAGTGAAGGTTCCTTCTACCTTTTTGTGGAGCCTAATGGAGTTCTAGAGGAATGCCTGAGGACTGGCCATGGTGGGGCTGTTGCAAGCTCTGCCTCTGCAGCTGATGGGATGGGAGGCACTATAGGATAATATTGCCTGTGGTGTGTATATGAAGGTGCTGGGTGCGTGTGATGTCACTCTCACAAAACCATTGGCTCCCTCTGTGTGGGCGTTGTCATCAACATAGTCCTGGAGGTTTCTAGGGTCACTCCTGGGTTGAGTACACAGTGGATGTGGCTGATGTTCTGCTAGTGTGTAGCAGCAGCACATTTCTCTCCTGTAATAGGGGGAAAGTATTAAAAATGCCTTTCTACCCCCCCCCCTAAGTTAGCGGTGGCTTAATTTAAAAAATAATACTAGTATTATTGAGTTTTCCTGCACTTCTGTAACAAAAAAGGCACTTATATTGAAATGTTTATAAATGATGAATGATGAATTGATTAAATGTACAGACCTTAATTGTTGACTGATCTAAATAGCAAATGATTGATTTGCTAAATAAACCTTTAACTGGCAGAGAGATACATTTTTTTCCCCTTCTGCATCCTTTCAGATGTTGATGAATGTCGGACTATTGTCGAGGCCTGTAGAGGAGATATGGTGTGCGTTAACCAGAATGGTGGCTATCTCTGTATACCACGAACAAATCCCGTTTATCGATCGCCATATCTGAATCCTTACTCTAATGCGTATCCTCCACCACCTCCAGCCCCAGCACCTGCTCCCAATTATCCAGCTGCTGCACGAGCTCCAGTCATTTGCCGGTTTGGTTACCAAATGAGCGAAGGCAACCAGTGTGTGGGTAAGTAGCAAAATGTCTTATAGATCCCTGCATAATATTTATTTTATTTTATTATTTTATTTTAATGGATGGCTGTGTTATTATTATAATCTGAAATATTTGTCCTGCTATTTTTATTAATGCACTAGTTTTATCCCAGTTTATTCACATTTTATCTATCTATCTATCTATCTATCATCTATCTATCTATCAGGGCAAAAAAGAGATTAAATCCTGACAAATTGAAGATATGATAATAAAAAATATAGAGATAAAAAAATTAACTGTTACAAACTGACATAAATACACTGCTTATATAAAAATAATTTTATGAAATCTAATGGCATTTATTAAAAAAACCTATACATCTACTTCAAAAGCAAAAAATAAACACAGTGGTACTTCGGGTTACATACGCTTCAGGTTACATTCGCTTCAGGTTACAGACTCCACTAACCCAGAAATAGTACCTCAGGTTAAGAACTTTGCTTCAGGATGAGAACAGAAATCGTGCTCTGGCGCCGCAGCAGCAGCAGGAGGCCCCATTAGCTAAAGTGGTGCTTCAGGTTAAGAACAGTTTCAGATTAAGAACAGACCTCCGGAACGAATTAAGTACTTAACCCGAGGTACCACTGTAAATCCAAATGGAATAAGGAGAGAGCTTTTAATTATCATTTATCTGTCTGTGTGTTTATATACCTACCAAATGTATTTATGCTAGTTAATTACAGTTAATCATTTTATCTCAGTTTTTCTGTCATGTCTATTTATTTATCAAGCGCTGTTATTATTTATTAGATTTCTTACCTACCCTTTACCATAAAAGGTAAATCAATTAAAAAGATTTACAATCGAGAGACTAGGGTAGCTCCTAAAAGCGTGAGCTAAGAATATACTGATGTAAAAGTCCATGTATTAAGTCAGAAGCTAGTCTGTTTTGTTTTTTAAGAGGCCCAAATCCTCAGTGTATGTGCGGTTGAGAAGATATTCAGAGTGGCAGATAATGAGAGGACCATCCTTCTTCCATGTATAACCTTGTGGAGGCCTCGTTTATTTTGCCAACGCTCATGCCTTTTACGGTCAAATTGATCACGGTGAAGCTATTTTTTATATTAAAAAAACCCTACCCCAAATATTAGGTGTGTAGGTTTGTAGTGCTTCTTCTTCTTCTTTGGCGATCACTCATAGCTTGAAAAGTCTAGGTGATGAATATACAACATTTCTGTTATGATCCATGTTACACACCATCTCTTGTTATAGCTAAGCAGCTGTGTGCTTGGCAGTAGCAGCTGTTCCCAGGGACTAGAACAACAACAAATACAGCTCTGATCATCTTTACATCCACTTGCAATGCCGGCACAGGTCATGATAATATACCAGTATGGAGGTCTTTTCCCAACAGGATGCTTCCTTATTTTGTCCAAGCATCAACCCATATGGTTTAAGTTAAAAGTAATTCCTGGTGAAGTTCAGTCTGTTTGGATAAGGACGTCACACTGGGGTCATCCCATTAGTATACATAGAATCAAAAGTTGTAAAACTAATAAGATTCCAGGGGATCAGAGTGAGAGGAAAAGCTTGGCTGTGCTCTTTTTTGGAAACTCTGTTTTTGTCTCATGCCAGCTACTTTCAGTAATTCAGTCCATCATCATCCTCTATGTACAATGGTCCAAACATATTTGTCTGCTGCCTTTGCCAACCTGATGCCCTCCAGATGTTTTGGTTTACAGTTCCCATCAGCTCTGCTGGTTGGGGATGATGACAGTTGTTCTTCAAAACATCTGGAGTGGGGCAGCAGGTTGGTGAAGACGAATCTAGATTGTCAGATGAAACACACAACAGACATTATGGCTTATCAGTTCTATTTATGTTCCAACATTTCATAGTAATTGATGGTGAGATTTCCCCCCCTCTTCAGCTCATATGAGGTATCTAATTTAATACGATATCTTTGGAGGGCTTTCAAAAACTCATTTTTATTAAAACATTTTATGGGCTAGTGTCTAGTACATTGCATGTCAACATTGACATACTATGTGGTACATTATATTCACTTCTTCATACAATGAATATCCACAAAAGCATTTAGTGCATTCATTGTGGGAATGTGGCTTAGTGGGAAGACTGTCCATTGATTTAAGAGGTTGAGAGAGTGAGCAAGGATGCAGTAGCCCACTTCCTGCCCTGCTATTCCATATGGTTCATTCACTCACCATTCTCTCCAGCTTACATCCCACTGAATGTGGCAAATAAAGGTGGTCAAGAGGACCATTGGAGCAGAAGGGCAGGAGTTCACTACCCCCAACACATACTCCCTCGTTGGCTCTGAGCTCTTAAAGTGATAAGCAAAGTCTCCTGGATAGGACCTGGGAACCCTACTTTCTTCCTGCATTCTGAAGGTTCTTCATTTACTGAGAACTAGGGGTTGACAAAACCAGTCAATCTGGCTTTCTCTCAGTTTCTCTTTTTTATTTTAAGTTCAGTTTGTAACATTTTTACATTTGATTGCAAATTTTAAATTCAATTTGTAACATTTCTACATTGGTTTGCAAATTTTATGTTTGTCAGCGTGTTGTTGTTTTGTTTTTGTTTTTTGTACACAGTGATTGGAGAAACTGCATTACAAAATTCGTGGAAGTGTGAATTCTGAAGGATAGGTGCATTTTGGTCCGTATATTCTATTGGCAACTGTGAATTAGAAAAGTCCACATTAAAATGTACACTGTACCAAATTTCTCCTTTATCCCTCCTCTGCACTCACGGACATATGAAACTGCCTTATCCTGAGTCTCAGAATCAGTCCATCTGCCCCAGTACTGTTCACTATTCACAGCAAGGACTCCCCGAGATCCAGGCAGTGGTTATTCCCAACTCTGCATCTTGAAATCCATTTATTCCGGGGTCATCAGAAATGGCCATGGCTGCAGGCTTGTAGGGCAGGCATTTCTTCACATCTAGTTCTCAAGCTAAATCGCTTATTTGAGACTGAGAAGGGGTTTTCACTTATCAGATTGGCTAGTGACCAAGGGTGTGTCTCTTCCACTGTAGATTACGATTTGCCCAATTTGCTGAAGCCATCAAGATTGTTCTAAGTATTCCTACATTTGGCAGACATTTCTGGCATGCCTTAGGGTTGTGGACTGGAAAGCTTTCTTTCTTGTCCTGTGATTATAGGATTCTAGTGCGATTGCTACACACTGAACTTCTGGTTTCTTAGTGCGAAAGAACTGAAGGTGGTCTTCAACAATTTAGCTGTGATTCCTGCATTGCGGTTCCAGTACTGGCTTAGAGAGACCACTATATGCATTTAAGAATTAAATTATTGCCTTGCTAGAGGAGGCAAATGGTGTATCTAATCTAGCAGCAGCAGCAATTTTGAAGTTGTTGGCATCTGTCTATCTCGGGAGACAATGAAGGAGTGAAGTCAAACCATTGGAGAGTTACAGCACCTGTTGTGGCTGTAGAGACCAATATGGAAGAGACATGTTTTACTGCAGCTAGGGCAGATGAAGGCGTCCAGTTGTGCTGATGCAGGTGCACCATGCCGTTTCTTCTCTTTGAGCTCATTCCAGAGGTTATTCCTCTTCCGGTCACTGCTGTGGATACACAACCTCTCTGTCTGTCTCCAGGCACTATGGTCATCTGCATGGGATTCCTACACAGCGGGGTTGATGTTGCCAGCCATCATGTCTCGTTTGCAGACATCTTAGAGTTGGTCTGCCAATGGGCCTGGTGCCTGAATCCAGCTCTCCATAGAGCACATCCTTGGGAATCCTGCCATCTTCCATTCTGTGGAAATGACCCAACTCCTAGATGGGCTACCTTCTCAGGTTCCTGAGCCCCATCTGCCCTTCATTTCCTTCAACAACACATGCAGAAACTGCCTTCTTGATCATGGGACCCACTATTGTTTTTGTTTTTAAAATGATATTTATTGAAAAAATAGTTGTTGTTTTGTTTTAAATTACACAAAGGAAAAAACAAGACAGAAAAAGAAAAATAAAAATAAAAAAAAATAAAACCATCATTCTCCAATTCTCCACTTTCAATACCTTCTTTCCTTGACCTCCTCCTCCTCCCTTTCCTGTATCCTGTTTTATAATAATCACAGCAAATCCTTTCCATAATTCATAGTATTCTGTCATCACATTACCTTGATCTATTTTCATCTTATCTTATAGAAAACCTTAAAGTTTAAAACTTAAATCTTAATTTTTACCAACTTCTCCTAAACCATAACATTCTTACCTAGTTCTTTAGACATTTTTATAAGAGCCAAATAGTTTCATTTCAACATTTTCCTAACATTCATCAATTTTATAAAACAGTCCTAATGATAAGAATAAAAGAAAAAGGCAATCCAGTCTTCATCCAACGTCCCTTCCTCCTGGTCCCGGGTTTTGTCAGTCCTTTTTATCCTATTAATCTAGCACATTAACCTGGCAATCTTATATCCGAGGCCCTCAAGTCTCTTCCATGTCCCTTTCGTACCTCTTCTTTATATTTCCCTTTTATTCGTGGGAACTCCAGCTTGGTAGTGTTTTTGACCCTTTTCAGCAAGACGATCCCTTTTCCATAGTCCAGGATAGGCTCGATGTAGTATTTACAAGCATGCTCCAGATTCCCTTCAAAGTTGAGAGCCCCCACAGCTCCAAACATCTGACGGCCCCTTTCCAGACTTGAAAAGTCCAAATCTCCCTGTAAAGGGGGGTCTATCCAACCCCCCATTTCCAAACCAAACCAGATTTTATCTTTCCAAGTCTGATTTTTTCCAAGTTCATTTATCAAATCCAAGAGTTTATATTCCTGCTGGGCCGCAGCTCCTCCGTCTCTGGCGCCCAAGATTCAGCAAGGTCCTCTTCTTTCAGTTGTTCTGTCATGGCACGCTCCTGTTTTGATTCCTGGGTGGGCTCCGTATAGTTTCCCACTACCTGTTCAAAGGTTCTGGCCGCATTAGTCATGAAATCTGTCTTCTGACTTAACTGATCCAATAGGGCATTTATTTTACAGAAAGCACCCAACAGTGCTTCTGAAGACATTGTCCTACAAGGTCACAAATCCTTTCCCACAGTTGTAATCAGTGACAGCTGCAAGTTCCCAGGAATTAGTTACAATTTCACAGTTCCCCACTAGGGGGAAAAACTTCTGGTTGTTCTTTTTCTTGAAAACAATAGCAACAAAGTTTCTTTTTTAAGATATTTTGTCCATATTTGTTCTTTTAAAAGACGAAGGGAAACAATGGAGTCACAATGTTTCTCTTCTTTTAACTATCTGTCAAAGACATTTGTTTCTGGTCAATGAGCTTCAAACGTCAATTCTGACACCCCGCTCCAGGGTCAGGACGGTGGAAAATTACTTTGCTTTAGATTCACTTCTGCAGGTTTAAGCAGCTCAGAAAAGGTCCCCCTTCTTCCCCTGCTACCGAAGGGGGGTTCAGCGATTTTAAATGATGAAAGTTGATCCTTTAAAAGTGATTTTTAAGGCTCTAGTTTGCGTTGTCTTTGCTTTGTTCTGACTACGAGGAAACGGAAGGGTGACTTCCTGTTTAAACCTTCCCGTTTCAGTACCAAATTAGGGTTAATTTTTAAGTCCAAATTCCTTTTTATTTCGCCAGTTCTTATTTGAAGTCCAAATATTCAATGTTCCAGTACTCACGGTTGGTTGTTTTAAATGCCAAATTGTCCCAGGAAAGGCAGCGCTCTCCGGCAACGACTATGCGGCTTCGCTCCGCAGAAAAAGCAATTGACTCACAGCACCGCGCCACTTCCCCCTCTTCACTTCGGAGCCCGTTTGTGGGTTCCTTTGTGGGTTGGGGGGGCGCTAAGGGTGCCCGCCGAGTCCCACGGTCACAGGCTTCATCCGCCTGTGATTTCCAGAAGGGTCCCCGCTACGCTGCAGCGGAAAAGACCTGTTTCATGCGGAGCTAGTCCCTCCAATTCAGAGGGAGTCCGCCATTGCCGGTGGCGCCACCCCGGAAGTCCATGGGACCCACTATTGGTCTTGTTCGCTCAATCTGCCAGAACTTGTCTTCACATGCAGGAGATAGACAAGACTCACCAAGGGTTTATGACCTATCGGCTACCCTCACCTGGTTTAGCCGACCAGTCAAAGCTGTTGCCCTGGGTGTGGCTACTGTTACATACTGGCAGCTTCTAGGAGCAACAAATGAGAGCCGAGTGCATGGTAGGGACCAGTGGTGGCTGAACTACCCCAGAAGGAGCATGATGCTTCCCCCAGCAGAGATAGTGCCTCTCCCCATACACCCCGTATGCCCCATACTTTGGAGTAACTCACATGGTTTATACAAGTGCTGAATTGACATGAATCATGTTACCAAGAGGAGCTCTGCCATTTGCATGTTTGACATATTTGAAACATGAGTGAAGGATTAAAAAAAAATGCTTAAACAACATGGATTATGTTGGGCATTGCAGCCCAAGCAAGCAAGCTAGACATATCTACGTGTACGGGGGAATACCACCATAGACACAACTGCTATGAAGCTGCTTGGATCCAGGTGGGAGTAAATTGCATTCCTGAAGCAAAGCATAAAGCACTAAATCTAGGCCAACGTTTTTGATCTGGCTGTGACCCCTTTTAACTTATTCCATTTCTGACTGTTTTTCTTGTAAGCTCTTAGAATGCTCAGCCATAATAATGACCCTTTTGTTCGGTATCCCTCCTTGGCACACCGTGACTGAAGCAAAGCCTCACGTTCTTTCATTACACATTCATAAGCTAAGCTGAAAGTCGCTTCCAATTTCCCTTCACCCCACCCCTGCCATTTCCTGCTTCACAATGATTTTCGTAATCCTCGTTCAGAATTGTTAGAAAGAAACGCAATGGGTAGACTTTTCAAAAAAAGAAGAAGCAGCTTTCCTGCTAAAATGTTTAATGCAGAGTGGCTGCATGAAAAAGCAAAGATATGAAAACATGGAAATAGGTAAGGAAAGGGGGGGGGGAATCATTTGTAACAGAAGGGGAAACCTAGGAACAGTGATAAAAGGAAAACAAAGAGAAAATCCCATGCTCTCCTCTTCCTCAGCTGGTAGGAAGTTCAGACAGTAGCCTTCTATGGGATTTGCTTCCTTGTCAGCAGAGATGACTGTATTTTTGTAATACTTTTCTATTTGCAAAATCATAGCATGAGCCTAGAGATGCATGTATGTGCACCCAGAGAAACAGTCTAGTTTCAAAGCTGCATCAGTTTCCAAAAGCAGCAACATACCCTGGGAGCCCACGAGGCCCCTCTGCTTGCTAGGGAGATGCATTTGGATAGCTGATAACCCCAAGGTTGCAGGTTCAACCTCCATATGGGACAGCTTGGACTACTGCAACGCGCTCTATGTGGGGCTACCTATGAAGGTGACCCGGAAACTGCAATTAATCCAGAATGCGGCAGCTAGACTGGTGACTGGGAGTGGACGCCGGGATCACATAACACCGGTTCTGAGAGATCTGCATTGACTCCCAGTCTGTTTCCAAGCACGATTCAAAGTGTTGGTGCTGACCTTTAAAGCCCTAAATGGCCTCGGCCCAGTATACCTGAAGGAGCGTCTCCACCCTCATCGTTCAGCCCAGACACTGAGGTCCAGCTCCAAGCGCCTTCTGGCGGTTCCCTCATTCTGAGAAGTGAGGTTACAGGGAACCAGGCAGAGGGCCTTCTCGGTAGTGGCGCCCGCCCTGTGGAACGCCCTCCCATCAGATGTCAAAGAGATAAACAACTACCTGACATTCAGAAGACATCTTAAGGCAGCCCTGTTCAGGGAAGTTTTTAATATTTAATGCTGTACTGTTTTTAGCACTTGATTGGGAGCTGCCCAGAGTGGCTGGGGAAACTCAGCCAGATGGGTGGGCTATAAATAATAAATTATTATTATTATTATTATTATTATTATTATTATTATTATAGCTGCATATTCCTGCATTGTAAAGGGTTGAACTAGATGGTCCTCAGGGTCTCTTCCGACTCTACAATTCTGTGATTCTATGACTTGGTTATCTATTGCTGAGTACATTAAAAAAACCCAAAACCTCTTTTCTTCGCTGCCCTTCCCCGCAAAGCAGGTTGGATATGACATATAGCTAGTAGCCCCCAGCCATCAGTGGTCATTGGATATTAACGAGCAGATGATGCTGTGGTTGTTTCATCTCCCAGCAGTGGGGGATTCTAAGGTATGCATTGCTGGGGAAGGGCTGTAGCTCAGTGGTAAAACATCTGCTTTTGCATGAAGGAGATCCCTGGTTTATTCTCTAGCATCTTCAGATATTGCTGGGAATATCCTGTTTGAAACTCTGGAGAAGCACTTCTGGTCAGTGTAAACAGTGCTGAGCTAAATGGATCAATAGCCTAATTTGGTATAAGGCAACTTATTAAGTTCCTATACTTGCCACATTTCGGGAAGAAGAGTTCTGTGCCTTTCAGAATTCCATGTGAGACAGAAATGGAACTGGTCTAGTATCTCCTGGCATGAAACAGCACTGATGGAAAATGTTTCACCTGGTGAACATCTGTCTGCCATGCAACTATTTCCCCATATGTAAAAAGGTAGCAGCTATAACCCTTCTATTGTTATTTCCTTTGGGAAGATCTGAGTGCAGGGAAATGGAAAATAAGAAATGGAGCAGCAGTACAGTTTTAAATTTAGGGAGATGGGAAAGTTGTAGAAACAGGAGACTGAAACTCATCCTTATCAGCATTCTGCATCTCATATTAAGTGCATTCTCCTTATGTCTTTTCCCAGGCAAAAAATCTTTTATTTTTCAATTCCATTTTTGGCATTATGAAGCTCTCCAGTAAATTAGCAGGCCAAAACTTTTAATCTTCATATGTTTTTTTTTTATATTGCTATTTATTTCAGAGTACAAATAAAATAAAATTGGGATGTTTCAATGGCTAGGGGGAAAACATATCAAGTAGATGGAAAGATTTTACTTTATATTGGAATAACGATATAGGCAGAAAAGTGGTGCTAGAGATAATATAAATAAATATATAGATATCCCCCCAAGGTCATATTAAAACACTATTCTTTCCTTCCCTCTCCCTCTTTGGCTCCTGTTCCTTGGAATAGGTTTGTAAATCTGTTTTGGCTGGTGTCTCTTGGAATAAGTTATGATGAAATTATTTTTGTTGTTTGCTTGTTTATCTGTGCTCAGCCTATGTTTCTTAGAATAGGTTTGCAATATTTTGTTTCCAAAAAATGTGGGAATAAAACAAATAATTGAATTGTTAATATGATTGTGAATTCATGTTTTAGCTATTCTTTGTTCTGTAGAGGTCTTTTTGCTCTTAAAAAGTTTTTGTTTTTTTTAAAAGAAGAGATTGGTAGAAATCCCTTGACTTTTAGGGGCATACATAAAGCAGCAGCACAAGTGTGTGTGTGTGTGTGTGTGTGTGTGTGTGTGTGTATACGTGGCTTCATATTGTCTCTCTTCAGCCAGTGTATGTAACCTCCTAAAAATAAAAAATGAAAACCCCAAAAAGAGGTGATCTGTTTCAGTATGGGATATCTTGATACATCTCTCATAACTTTTGAAAATAAATTTATTCTCCTTACCACATAAATTGTGGGTAACAGTTTTACCTAGGAACCAGATAAAATACTTTGAAGTCCAATTTTGGTTTGTGCGGACAGCTGTTTGGTCATGAAAACAACTAAGGAGTGAGCAGCTTTCATGCTTTCATGTTTCCATGCGCTTGTCTTGATACAATTGGCTCTCAGCCTCCTCCTGCCAGGCAAAATCCACACTACAATTGGAAAACAGGCAGGGCCTGACTACGTGAACAAAGGGACTTCTAAATTCCATGAGGCAAAACTGTGTCCCATATCCTCTCAAGCAGTGGGTCTGGTAAGAAAATAGCTATCAAGAGTATTGGCCAGAGAGGCCATGGATTGTATGGACCAGGGCCAGTTTGGAAGATTTTGCTCACACTGTTTCGGTTTGCAGAGTTGAATTATTTATTGCATTTTTATCCAGACCTTCCTTCAGGGAGGTCAGGGAGTGTACAGAGTGTCTCTCTCACTCATATTAACTTCTTAAGAACCCTGAGAGTTATATTAGACAGAGACGTGGCTAAGTGGAGATTTGATTTCAGATATCTGAATCTGTCCGGTACTGTACAGTACAGTACATATCATTGATCTGGTTTGCTGGATGTAGTTACAACACTTGGGCTCGTGTGTGTGTGTGTGTGTGCACAGCATGTTTTGCTAAACCATAGTTAAGAAAATTACAGTTTGTCTGGGTGCAGATATAATGAGTAAACATGGTTAGTTAGAATTGAAAGCCAAAGCTTTCAGTCTTCTGCTTGCATTTGTGCCAGAAGGGAGGGTGGAGCCCACAAAACCAAGAGAAATTCATATAACACTAAAACATAGTTCATCACTGTGTCTGACCAGCTTTCTTTATTAGTTGCTTATTCTCCACACTGTTCACTGTCCTTGCTTTCCTTCTGTTCAAGCTTTTCTTTTTCTCCTAATTTCAGCATTGCCAAGTCCATTAAATTCAGCATGTGTCTGTTAGTTCAGTCTGTTCTGATAGTAATTTAACATAGCATGGGAACCATTTTACATGCTGGGTAAAAGAATGCAAGGAATGAACAAATGATCTTGGCCCATTAGCAAGTTTTCTTTACAAGTCACTAAATGATTGGGGGGGGGGGATCTCTCTATTCCACAGAGGGCATCTGCACATGTACTTATTGCCTTGGGAAACATGGGTAGTTGTACATTAGGGTAATGGCCATTTTCTCACAGATTTTTGCACTTTTCACTGGTAGAAAAAGTGGTGCCCAGAGTGGCTGGGGCAACCCAGTCAGATGGGCGGGGTACAAATAATAAAGTTGTTATTATTATTACATGTAGCAGTGTATTTGCACAATCCTAAATAATCATTAGCTTACAGAGCATATGGACGGACATTCAAGAAAATACTGAAATGCTTTATTATGCACACAGGTTTGAAGAACACGAGTGCACAATTCTGTCTCCCTCCCAGCCATGATGTAAAGTGGAGTGGGGGCCCTCCACAAGTTGCTGCTCCCATCATCGCTTACCAAAAGGGATGTTGGCTGGGGCTGTTGGGAGTTAGAGTCTAGAGAGTCACAACTTCCCCACCTGAGTTTGTCTTGTTGGGATAAATCTGAGTTTTCTCTCTTTCTTCAATTTAATTATAGCCATGTTCTCTGGTGATCAGAACAATTGAAGCAACCCACTCTTGTGGTCACATGAACAAGCTGTGCTGGAATTATCTTTATTTACTTATTTATTTATTTACCCCGTTCTTCAGCTGAAATGACTCCCAGAGCAGCTTGCAATGATCAGTAATAAGACGGTTCCTGCCCGCAGGCTTGCAATCTAAAGATATTTAAAGAGAAGCCTGTGCTTCAGTTTCTTCACCAGTTAAGCCCTTATATGAGGCCTGGTTCTCCTTCTTAGCATCTCATGCTAAGCGCTTTTTCTTCCCAGGCCAAAATCCTTTACAGTGGTACCTCAGGTTACAGACGCTTCAGGTTACAGACTCCGCTAACCCAGAAATAGTACCTTGGGTTAAGAACTTTGCTTCAGGATGAGAACAGAAATCGTGCAGCGGCAGCGGGAGGCCCCATTAGCTAAAGTGGTACCTCAGGTTAAGAACAGTTTTAGGTGAAGAACAGACCTCCAGAACGAATTAAGTTCTTAGCCTGAGGTACCATTGTATTTTGTTCATGCGGAGGAAACTGTTATGGTGTTGCAGTTGTTCAGTATGGCAAGTATAAAATATAGCATGTTCATGTCTGGTAGTGTCACAGCATCTCACCATACTGTATTATGTAGGGGATCCGTGTGGCAAGCCACTCTACCATTAGAACTGCAGCCCGGAGCAGCCATCAATGTGGAACATGTTTCAACTGGGTTCCATAGTGCTGTTTAAATGTCAAAGCAGCCCTCAGATTTCTGGAAAACTGTGTTGCCTGCAGGTCCTGTGTAGTGTCTAGAGATGGCAGCGTTCACACTGACACATAAAATTGATTGCTATTCTTGGCTCCTGCCTTATATTTCTTGGTTCAGCTTTGTTTGTTTCTCTTCGGTTTGGTTCCAAACCTAAAACTGGCTGCAGTTCTATGCCATAATCAAGATGTTTGGCCAAAATATATAGAAAATATGAATTGGCTCTTCAACATTTGCACATTGGCCAGATAATTTGAGTGCACTGCCAGACTCCATAGGCAGAGACAAGTTTGAGGTTGATGCTGTTCTCTGTGTCTTGTCGCTAGAACAGCTAAATTATTAGTTCTGCATTTCAGAAGCATAAATGCTGCCTATTAGAGAGTCAGGATTGCCTTCGATTTCTTGCCACGCTCAGCAGCAAACCCAGGTTGTCACTATGTAATGTGTGAAATACTGGTTTATTCAGTGAATTTTACAGAACCTTGTGAGAAGACAAACTGGAGCTACATAAGAATAGTGATTCTTAATAGAAGGTCCATCGGCACTTCATACAGGAGTCAACAGTCAAAATGCCTCTTGTCTCCTAATTCATACTTTCCTGGAGTATCCTCACAGTCTAAGTATTAGATGCTTTATGTCATTTTCATTAGAGATGACTTTTGATGGCTTGGCTAAGCAAGAAAACTGGATTTTATGGTTTGCATTGAATTTCAACTATATATATATAACTCATGTTTTGCTTGTGCATACAGATATATGGAATGGTTGTCAAATTTTCCCTGTCCTAGGATTCCCCCCCCTCCCTCATATATTGGTAACATATTTTGGCTAGGCTGGTCCTCAAACTAGATTAGGATTGACTTGTCCATTTTCCTTTGCTGCCACTCTTCCCCGTCTTGGAAACAAGTCATGTAACATTTCTAGAAACACTAGTTCATTGGCCAGGCATCAGATGCTCTGCTCCAGATGCCTTCTGGTTATTTCTTTCATTTGATTCGTTACTTCTAGCCATAGGTCCGAGAGGTTTTTTTCTTTTGCCCCACTGCTTCCCCCAGGAAAACCCTCTGTTTTCTGCTTAATCAGGACAAACATCAATCTGCAGAAAACTCAATTGATATTTGCTCAGATTCAGCAGTAAATTGTGGGAGTTCCCAGGGAAAGTGTTGGGACAAAAGAAGAACCTGTCTGACCCATGCCTGGAAATCATGGACCAAACAGGAGTGCCCCGAGTGCAGTCGCTGAACCAAATCAAGTCTACTGTGACAATTTGGCCTTTAACTATCTGTGGTTTTTTAGATGTGGATGGGTTGTTTTAATGTATGCCCCACCCCCATGGTTTTATGTGGGTTTTTGTTGTTGTTTGGTTGTAAATTGCTCTGGGTTGCCTTGGCAAGACAAAGCAACTAACAATTTTAATTAATAATTGCAATAATAATATTGTTAGACATTTGTAGGTAAAATTGCTGAGCTCTTTGTGACTTGGATACTGTGCAATTAGTACAGAGACTAAACTAGAAGTGTCATCAGTTGTTTTTTTGTGGATTTGCTTTTGCTTTTGATCTTTGTCCTTGCTGGTTAGTGATTACTATTGGACCAACTATTGTCCTGTGTCCCATTTACCATCCTTTGACAGCGTGATAAGAATGGCTGGACATGTTCAGGCATTCCAAGATGATACAAAAATTATTTTATCAATTCCAGCCCACCTTTCAGCTGGACCACAAGTTTGAAGGAAGCAAGTACACAGTCGGTTTAGGATGTGCTCATCAGTGTTTAGTATGAGCATCACTGATTGTGTAACTGCACTGATATGTGCATAAAATCCAGTTTTACACATGCTGTTGGCTGGATTAGAAAAGTGTTTTTGCGAAGCATGCCTTGTAGTAAACACAGTTTGTTGGATTGTGTTAAGAATATGCAGTAGGTTGAAAATGCAATGTGTTCAGGCACCGTCCAGTAAATAGCAAAGTGACTCCTGCACAGATGGACCTACCCATGCAAGCCCCAGCTGCAAGGCTCAATGGGCCATTATATTTTAGAACTGAAGTGAACAGCTGTAAAAAGAAGCAACCTGTCTCCCCACCTCCAGCTAACCCTTCATGCACATCACTGATGAGGAATGTAGTAGTGCAAGCTAGAAGGGTAAGAACAGTCCTCTGACATGACAAAGAACACCAAACACACATTAAAAAATCCAACACTTAACTCTCACAAATGTGACTTGTATTTGTATTCTGAAAATGCTTTTAAAGGGCTTGGTGAGTTATCTGCATGTGGTGGTGGGTAGAAGAACTACTTCTCTGTTGATTGATTTGTTTTGGACACCTCTGCTGCTTCTGCTACAGTATAATAGATCACGACTTTTTTCTGGGTCATCTTCAGGAAATGGTAGGAACAATGGGACTAGCATTGACGGGCTGCACTTTGTCCTTTCCAGGCATTCTTGGAGAATTTGGCTGAGGAATTTTAAACCAGCGCCCCCCTCCCCCAAGGGCTTTGTCTTGCAGAGTGCCACAGGTGTTCATTTTATTCTCCCGGCATTCAACATCTGTATCAAAACAGCTGAGAAAGATCATTTGAACATTTGGAATGTGGTGTTATTACTATGCTGATGACGCCCAGCAATATAGGTTTGGTTTTTGTTTTTAACTGATCCAGAAGAAGCAGCGGCTTCTCTTAGACAGCGTCTGAAGTTGAACTAACTTAATGCCAGACTAGACAGAACTGCCAGTTGGCAATCTTGCCTTCTGAGGATAATAACCAGTCTCTTTCTTGGTCAGACCAATGAAGCATTACAGGGGTCATGCCATATCATCAGCTGACTGGTACTGGTCTGTTGAGGCAAAAAGATTTCCTTGGTTGGGGTGGCTGATTTCTTGGTAGTTTACTTACCCCAAATGGATTTATGAGCTGGGTGGCTCATAAGCTAAATCCCCTCATGAAATCCCACAGGTCACTGTGCCAAAACCTATAGTATCACACAGGAAAAAGAAAAATTTCAGTTATGGGGGTTAGGATCATGTCCTTTTCGTGTGTGGTCAGCTTTGTGAAACTCCTTGATCAGGGAATTTTATGAATGGAGGTCTTCTCTGCAACTGGTAAAAGTAATGCCCTTTAGAATGGTGTTATGTTTAAGTGGTTGCTTCAAAATGGTGGACCTCCCTCAGGAAATACAATTGGTGCCATCCTTGGACTCAACTATACAGCCTCAAATAAAACGTTTTAATTGTCTTTTAAGTGTAATATACAATTTGACACAAGATGACGATGGTGACCCTTATGGAAAATTCAATCTATTTTTTTTTTTAAAGCATTTTCAGAACGGTTTTTGTATGTGTCTAGATCCTACCCTTGTTATGCCTTGAAAACATTTTTCCCCCTCCCGGATTGGTTTTAATTGAGGGGGTAGATCGGTGTTTTTAGTGGTCTGTTTTAGTCTTTGTGCTGGATTGTTTGCTAAAAGAGATTATTGGTTTTGTTATTACCGCATTGTGTATTGTTGTGATATTGTAGATGCTTTTAGCTGTTTTATCCTATATTAGAGCCATAGGAAGCTGCCTTGTACTGACTGCCTGTCTAGCTCAGCATAGCAGTGGCTCTTCGGGGTTTGAAACAGAGGCTCTTTCCCAGCCCTTCTTGGAGATGCCTGTGATTGAACCTCTTTGCACAAAAGAAGAACATAAGGAGAGCATGATGGATCAGGGTAAAGGCTAATCTAATCCAGCATCCTGTTCTCTTGGAACCAGCCAGATGCCTGTGGGAAGTCGGCAAGCAGGACATGAGTGCAACAGCCCTGTTTCCACCTGCAATTCCCAGCACACTGCCTCTGATAGTGGAGGTAGAACATAGTCATCATAGCATTGTCCTCCATGAAATTGTCTCGTCCTCTTTTAAAGCCAACCAGACTGGTGGCCATCACTGCCCCCTGTGGGAACAAGTTCATAGTTGATAACTATGCACTGTTATTCTCTCTCTCATAAAACCAGAACTCAAGGACATCCTATGTTGGATGACTCAGGACACAGTTGTCCACAGCTACTATGCAGATGTGGGTCCAGTTGCTGCAAATCACAAGTAGGGAAGATGCTGCTGAACTCCGGTCCTGCTTTTATGCTTCTGGTTGGCCACTGTGGGAACAGGATGCTGGACTAGATGGGCCACTCGTCTGATCCAGCAGGCTCTTATGCTTCTATATTGTGTTTTATATCTTAACTTTCATGCTGTGAACCACTATGGTTTTAGCTGAAGGGGTGGGGGCAATATGCATGTGTTATAAATAAATGAGTATATTTATAGCTAATATCCAAGATCTTTGTTTTATAATTTACTCCAAAGCTTTGATGATTAATGACACATGATGATGGATCAAATGTGTTTTCCATATGAGCTGTGAAGAAGAATCCATAGAAGACTGACAGTGGTGCAAGTTCTGAAAATGGGAGGCAGAGCTTCTAAAAGAGTTTAGTAAACCTTCCTTAGGAATCTCCCTCCAGTGTGATCATTTGTAACTGGCCTGTACACACATCGAAGAGATCTGCCCTCCTCTCCCCATGTTTGACGGTCAAGTATTTGATGCTTTATTGACTCTGAAGTACTTGTTGATGGGATCATATTAGTGTTGAAATTGTTTATGCAAAAAGTTGTTTTCTGACTCACCCGAAGGCAGCTTGACATTTCCCCCTGGCTACATTTCCCATCATTATGTGGATTAGCTGTGACCCAAAGCCTAATTGCATTTTCTCTCTTGCTTCAGAACATTCTGTATGATTAACCCATGAAGGTCAAAGGATTTTGTCGTTGTTCACTCATATCAATATTGCTGCACATCACCTCAATCTCTGAGCAGTGTGAGATTGCAGGGGTTACGGGTGCTTACACAGGGTTTTTGGTTTGCTTGGAATAAGGGACAGTGGAGACTTTGGTGTGTTCGGAATATATGGTTTATTTACACATGCATACAACCTGAGCCTATGATAGAGGGGCTCACAGTATTAATACAGTGGTACCTCGGGTTACATACGCTTCAGGTTACATACGCTTCAGGTTACACACTCCGCTAACCCAGAAATAGTGCTTCAGGTTAAGAACTTTGCTTTGGGATGAGAACAGAAATCGTGCTCCGGCGGCGCAGCGGCAGCAGGAGGCCCCATTAGCTAAAGTGGTGCTTCAGGTTAAGAATAGTTTCAGGTTAAGTACGGACCTCCGGAACAAATTAAGTACTTAACCCGAGGTACCACTGTACCCCAAGAAGGTCTTGCTTATCCTATAGCCACAGCCTTGGATTCAAACAGAAATCAAGCATTTTCTCCCTTTCAGGCTTCTGCCTGCAGCCTGCCTCAAGCCCTGCTCTCTCTCTAGCATTCATCTCTGACTTTAGTCTTTCTAACAACCAGCCAGTTGAAGGAGAGGGGACGGCCCCTATCTGCTCTCTGGCACAGAGCCACTTCCTTTGTTACCTTAACATACTTAGGCCGTTACCAAGAAGCTGGATTGCTCCCATCTTCCCTGAGGAACTTGCAATCTGAAAATTGCTGAAGAGAGAGGTGAGAATGATCAGAGGAAGAAAATGGCACCTGCAAAGCTCTGTGCCTTTGGGAGTGCTGCCGATCATCTGACTGTCAGCATTGGCAAACCCCGAAATCAGTTGAAGCCCATGCTGCTGCCACATGGTATTTTGCACTCTCTCAGCAAAAGGTTAACATGGCTACTCTCGGTGCTATTTTTCTAGAAAAAGAGGTGCCAGAACTCACCATTAACATCTCCCTTGTTCTCTTATAATGGCAATGGCTCCCACCTGAGAGGTGCCAGAACTCAGTTCTGGTGAGTTCCCACTGAAAAGAGGCCCTGACTACTCTAATGGAAAGGGCTCAGAACCCCCTCTTTTGCACACATGCTGGTTTTTCTCTTTACTTTGCAGCCTCCGTGCATTTCATCAAAGTAAAAGCAACAACACCAGGGACAAGCAACTCAACATCACATGCCATTGGGCTCTCTTACATATTTTTTTCATTTATTTTTATATCCTACTTGGCATATAGTGGTTAAGAGTTTCAAGCTGACACATTTCCCAGTGTCTCCCCCTCAAAAAAAAAAACTTTTGTTCAATTTTTTTAAATCCCACCCTTCATCCCAAAGGGATCTTGGAGCAGCTAAAAATGTAAGATAACACAATAAAACATTGACACATTATAATAATAAATCTTTATTGCGGTCCAAAGACCCATAAACACATTATAAACATCGATCAGACTGAAAGGAACAGCAATTAATCCCTTCAGTGCAGAAACCTCATGCATAATTATGCCCCAAAGACAGGGACAAATATGTAAATCTTAACATTCCGCTTGAACGTGGCCAAAATGGGAGGCTGACTGATTTCACTGGGTGTGTGGGAGTTCAGTAAACAGGGTGCCACCACTGAGAGCACCCTGATCTATATCACTGTCCTTCTTGCCGCTCCCACTTACAGGTCTCTCTCCCTGATCACAATGTTCAGCTCAGAAGGCACTGGGGAATAAATGCTAAATTGGAGTTTAAAACATTATTTGAGCTGGGATTAAATGCATTTCCAGTTGGCAATACTACTTGGAACATGCCAAAAAAAAAAAAAAAAAAGAATAAGAAGGCTTTGTGATGTGTAAGTTAGAAAGGAATACTGCATCGCTTTGGTGCATTAATGGTAATGAGGACACAGCTGTTACATTCTTTAAGCCAATAATTCTCAAAGATTTTTTCTCCAGGACTGGCTTTCATCCACTACAACTTATTTGTTTAAAAAGAAGCCCCAAAGCCACATTGCTTAGAGAAGAATTACCTTAGCTTTATGGAGATTTCACTAGGAGCACATCTGGCTGACAAACAGACCCCAAAATTGAATGAAATTTTAAAAGCAATTTATTTTCTCCTGGATAAGTCATCTAGCTTCCACAAGGCCAAAGATCACAATGCCTTGGCCAGGCAAGAATAGGCAGTCTTCTTTTTTCTCAGAGCCCATCAAGACTTCCCCAGAGGGAGGTGGCAAAATTGGTGGATTACAGACATCAGTGAGAAATTTACCCTTTCAAACAAAGCTCTTCCCAATTCCCACTGTTTTCAGGCTAGGCCAGAGTTACTGACAATGTCTGAGGATCTTGTGTTAGCCACATGCCAAAGGCTAAAATTCTATCATTTAATATTAAGTGGTAAAAGTGTATTAGGTGCTCAAAGATTGATAGATGATGATGATCTATAGATATAGATAGATAGATAGATAGATAGATAGATAGATAGATAGATGACAGATAGATAGATGACAGACAGACAGATAGATAGATAGATAGATAGATAGAAATATATATGGATAGATGATAGATAGACTGTGAGCCAAGAGCTTACAATCTGAGTGAGTTTATCAGAAGAAGAGCCTGATGGATCAGGTTCATGGCTCATCTAGCTCAGCATCCTGTTTTCACAGATGCCTGTGGGAAACCTGCAAGCAGGATCCGACACAAGAGCACTCTCCTAACCTGCAGTTTCCAGCAGCTGGTATTCAGAAGCGTATCTTCTCAAAAAGAATATTGCAGATCTGGAAAAGATGCAGAAAGGGACAAACATTATAATGGGGATGTGGCACCTTTAAAAAAAGAGAGATAAACTGGTGCTAGGATTGTTGTTAATGTGTTTTGATGATATGTTTATCAATAAGTTTGATAGACTGGTTTACGTAAGGTCACTGAAACCCCCACTTCATAGAACAGATTCCTCATGAAGGAATCTACTACAATCCCTTGTAGTAAAGGTATCATGGAAACATGTTAGGAACATAAATTCAAGCAGCTCCCTTTTTTAAAAAAATGTGTTAGAGTACCCTTGAGTGTTTAAGGATTTTAAAGGGTATTTTTTTTAAGGGTGTACTCTGATGCACCAGCACAATGCATGCCATATGCTACACTACAGCAATAATAACATGGTAGCATCCCGGAGGGCATGGCAACACAGCCAGTATCCACCAATCATGGCCAGTGTGACAATGTCATGGAGATGATGTGGTGAAATTGTAGAGAAGTTGTGGAAATTTCCCCATGCCAGCCAACACCCACTGAAGTGTCTGAACCGTCTTCAGAGGTAGCCCTACGTATAACATGTCACAATAATCTAACCTAGAGGTTTCCAAAGCATAGACAAGAGAAATATGTTATCCCTGTCCAGACAGGGGTACAACTGGGCCAGCAGTTGTGAAATGCTCAGCGTGGTTTTCTTTGCTTCATTGACACAGTTCATTCCTCTGAAACAAGCTTCAGTGATCTGAAGGTTTAACTCTGAATAATGGATAGGCAGAGCAATGCAACCTTAAAAAGCATCATAAGGGTGAAGAGAGGTGCAAGATTTTAAGAGCAGTGGAAACAATTTTGAAGCGCCCTCAACTGCATCCAATATTTTGCTGGCCTTCCGAAAAGCCTTGGAGCGAAAGCTTTAATGACTCAGTTCAACTGTACCGTCAAGAAGTTCACGCATTAGTGGGAATGTAAACTAATCACTATTTGGCGAAATCTACTAGCTCAGTTCCCCTCTTCTCATTTCTCCACGTTTCCCAAAGAAGTATAGCAACATGTATAGAACATAATGATGATAAGAGCCTTGCTGGGTCAAACCAAGGACCTATCCAGTCTAGCAATCTATCTATCTAGCAATCCAGTGGTTTGCCAGATGCCCCTGGGGAAGCTTACTAATGGGAAAAAAATCAACAGTCTTCCTAATATGCATGATTAGGTTAATATTACCCACAAATTAGTTTAATCCCCTATTAAGGAAGCAGTTTTTAAAGTTTTGTTCTCATCTGCCTATTTAATTTATAATGTTTGGTGAAAAAGAAAAAGTAGCTCATATTACTTTAAAATGATGATTCTAAAAAAGGTTCGGAATCTCGTATCTGATATGAAGTTCTCTCAAAACCCCTTTGCCACTATATTTTGGGACACTGACAAAATAAAGTTCTTTCTTGTAGATTTTTCTGCAGTGAAATAACACACTTTCTCTTAGTCCCCCTCCTTCCTCTCAAGATAATTGCATTTGGTAAGGAGTGCTTAACAATGCTACATTCCTAAAGTACAAAGCACAGCCAAAATGCAAATCACTGTTGTGTTTGGGCAGTGTTATTTTTTCAAGGACAGCCTGATAGGTTGGGAACCATCCAAGACCAAATCTCTCAACACCTGTTTAAAGGCAAATTTCAGTGTCCAAACTATTAGGTTCAACAGATTGATATGCATATATTCTGTCCTTTATTTTCTGGGGGGACGCAGGGGTATGCGCACCCCTAAACATTTTGTGAAACTTTGTACTTTTGTCCATTTACTGTATGTATTTTTCCCAATTTGAACTATAAAATGGCGATTTTCTTGAGTCAAACTGAGAATACTCCTAAACATTTTTTTTAGGAGAAAAAACACTGCATATATTAATGTGCTTAATTCTGTAATTAAAATCTGTGTGACTTCCAAGTGTAAACCGTAACTCTGACAGGATCATGTCTATTTGCATGCTAAAATGAGGCACAGTATTGGAAGACACAGGTTAATATTTTAATGGCAAGTGGGATGACAATTTTAGTATATCAGAAAGGCTGACTATGTAAAAGAGGATGAATTTAGGACCTGCAAAAAAAAAAAACACACAAAAAAACCCCACCAGTTGATTCCAGTTGTAGCCAAAGAGATGTAGGCAGAAATTTAGAAGACAATCTTCTTAGCAAAAACAAAGTTATCAAGGGGAGACTTAAAATGTCCATCTTCAAGGATTTTTTACCAGAGACCAAATCAGGATGTCAACTTTTTGTTCTTTGCTGGGGTGTGGGGTGATTTCCAAAAGGAGATTATACTGTCTTCTCTATATCCCACTGGTTTCTGGCAGCCCTTATTCCTAATCAGAGATTCACTGCTGGGGTCCCACATGCAAACACTTACGTGTAACTCAAGATCTATTCTGTAAGGCCTGATTCTAGAGTGATACTGGAGAATGAAAAGAAAGTTACCTGTGCAGGACTTAAATACCGCCAACGACGAAATTGGCTCACCAGTTCTTATGTGTGCAGCACCACTGGCACTTCACCATAGCCCATTCATAGCCCATTCATTAGTCCTTTTAAACAACACTGGAGGTGAAAAGTAGTAGAGACGTGTTAAGCATTGTTTCTGCCATATATTTCAGTGATGTTCACAGCAAAAGGACCTGGCAGGTAATCAGTGAGTTGCACAAAACTAAGCAGTTTATTCCCATATTTATATAACGTAATGTGCAAGAGAGTGGGGAAGGGATGTTTGCACAATGCCCTCCGTTCCATTTGCTCTTGCTTGCAATTTTCCAAGGAACAAAAAGGTGCCAAAGAATGTCCTTGGAGCACTTGTATGTATAGATCTTGAGTTACACATAAGTGTTTGCACGTGGAACCCCAGCAATCTGTCACTTAAAGCTTGGCTGAATTAAACCATTTTGGACAGGCACCCAAAACCCAGGCAGGCAAGGGGTGCCAGGCAGGCAAGGGGTGCCAGGCAGGCAAGGGGTTTCACAAATAAGGCACCATTACAGAAGAGGCCCTGTTTTGTTGTCCTAACCTTGCAGGGGCACTCAGAGAAGGATGTCCAAAGATTATAGATGTGAATGGGCAGGTTTATATGGGAGCAGTCAGCCATTTAGGTAAGATTAGAGAATCTAAAGGAGTACCATGAGCAAGGAAAAGGGGGGGGGGGAGAACATGTCCCTGCACCAAGGAGGACAGTGACATTAATTTCCCCAGTGAAGATTCACCCTCCACAGAAAGTTTGCTATGCACTGCCATTTGCTGCAAACTGCGGGGGGGGGGGGGGGAGTAACGTGTTTTGACCCCAACAGGTGTATAGGATGTGAAATTAAGGCTGGATAAATGTGTCGATTTTGGTTTCTCATTTTTCCAGTCTTAGGTTGAGTTCTCCACATTTCCACATCAGTTTGCAAAACCTTAAGACCTCAAGAAAATTTGTCAGCGTTATAATACAAATATCTCCTAATATATACATCTTTGAATGACATTCAAAAAATAGTTATGCTTATGGAAGCCAGCACAATGAATCTTACTAGCACAATAGGACCTTTCTTCCTCTCCCCTGCCCACGTGCCCATCCCAATTGGCTCTGGAGGGTCAGAAGAAGCCCCAAAACAGCATAAAGTGGCAGGAGGGGAGGTGGTTCCATCTGACTAGCAGAAATGCTTGCACTAATGGATCGTTCATCACAGTGCAACATTGAATCCTACCCACAGGATGCCATTTTGCCTAATATACAATTTTTTTGCAATCAATTTTCTCTCATTTCATGCATTTTTTGAAGTTATTTTCACTCATTTTTGCATTTTATGCACATTTCCCCAATGTATGCATTTTTGTACATGTTACTTGGTTGAAGAACTGTGTTGCTAAACTCAGAAGTCAAGTGTGAATTTTGCAGGATGGTTTCATTTCAGTTCACGTATAGCTTCTGAAATTCAGTGGATTTTGCTTTTAAATATAAGCAGAATCAAATTTCTCCCCCATCCCTAATTGTAATCTTATTGAGCATTTATTCTGTGTGGTGTTTGTATCAAATGGGGGGAGGCAGTTTGTTGTGCCAAATCCACTCTAATTGCCAAATCTGAATTTTCTAGTGTACCATCCCACCCACAAAAGAACCGTCTGAAAGCATCCTTAGGTTTCAACTTAATGCAGTTACCTGGCTGTAAACTCCGCTGAACACAATGGGAATTGTTTGTAGGCATGTGTAAGACAGTGCTGTCAGTCCCATTGAACTCTGAGGACTTATTTCTAAGAAACCTGCTACATCATGCTGCAAGTATGCTTAGGAATACAGCCCTAGTGCTCTGGAGATCAGGCAAACGAAAGATCTGATTGAAGAAGGCGTTTTTATTACGGGTTACAAATTCACAATTGGTGTGTGTTCAGAAATGTTATTTACCAGGAAAGCAACTAGTAGATGTAGCATGATATCAAAGAAACTGGAAATAACTTTTGTCATTGAATCAGCTCTATAAGAGACAGAGCATCTGTTGGGCGGACATGTTTCTCACGAACTGTCAATGATTCTCCTGCACTCAGTACCTTGGCATAGAGAGTACAATACTGAATTTTCTTCAGTGCCTCAGAGACTGTGGTTAAAGCTGCTCCAAATGTATTTGGCATTCTTCTTCCTTGCTTTCTCAGATGGATCTTTTATATATTTGATTATAGGAATGGGACTCTGCAGTTGTGACAAATGCTTTTGTATCTGCATAATCATGTAATGCTTGATTATTCTCTGAATTGCAGATGTTGATGAATGTGCTTCTGAATCACACCAGTGCAACCCCACCCAAATCTGCATCAACACTGAGGGGGGGTATACTTGCTCCTGCACAGAAGGATACTGGCTTTTAGAAGGCCAATGTTTAGGTATGTAATACTTTGGGAGGAAATGTCTTTAAAACAAAACAAAACAGTTTGTGATTTCTGCATGATGGATTGAGGGGAAATGTATGTCTAGACCACGTAAATAAAGGGGACTAAAGATGCTTTTATTCAAAGGGGTGGCAGGTCTAGAGAGAGTGTCCCATGAGGTGTTAAGCAGTCATGTCTGACCCAATGCAATGTTTGAATGCAAGACACCTCTACACATTTCAGCAAAGGGACATGGGTGGCGCTATAGTCTGAAACACTGAGCCTCTTGGGCTTGCCAATCGGAAAGCCGGCAGTTCGAATCTGTGCGATGGGGTGAGCTCCCACTGCTCTGTCCTAGCTTCTGCCAACCTAGCAGTTCGAAAGCATACCAGTGCTAGTAGATAAATAGGTACCGCTGTGGCAGGAAGGTAAATGGCGTTTCTGTGTGCTCTGGTTTCTCTCACGGTCCTCTGTGCACCAGTAGCGGTTTCATTATGCTGGTCACATGACCCGGAAAGCTGTCTGTGAACAAATGCCGGCTACCTCGGCCTGAAAGCGAGATGAGTGCTGCACCCCATAGTCACCTTTGACTGGACTTAACCGTCCAGGGGTCCTTTACCTTTACCTACATAGCAAACAGTGTCTTGCATCCAAACAAAGTATTGGGTTTGCTATGAGTCAATCATATCTCTAAAGCATAAGTGAGTGTATCATTTGGGCTGGCCAGATGCACACGGTGTTTGAGAAACCATCATTTTGATGTTTCTTCCTATTCCTTGGGCTCCAGTATGACATCTTTTCAATAAGTGAACCAAATGTAAAACACATGCTATCAGCCATTATGAATTTGTCTTCCTTCAACTCACAAAAAGATTTTCTGAAATTGAACACATTCTTTCTTTAGAGATACTAGAGTAAGGTTCCATCTGGTCATTGGCCTTTTCCTACATGCATGGTAATAAAACTTGCCTTTATTTTGCCATTTTCATTTCCTGGCCTTGGAATCTTGGTCTATCCAGTCTAAATCCCAACATTTTACCCACTGCATTTTAATATTACATTTTTAAATTGTTGTAACCCATCCTAGGACCTCACGGAGAAGGGCAGGTAAGAAATATAATATCATACTGAAGATCTGGAAATGCCTTTTAAACTAAGATTTGTTTAAGCTTCTTCCTATTATTATTATTATTATTATTATTATTGAAAACTGCTTTTAGCCAGCACAGCAAACTGGTAGACTTGCTGCTGTTCTTCTGACCACATTGTTCTGAATGCTGTCTCTGAAGGAGGACACTTTTGGCCCATTCTCAGAGTCCAGAGGTGGTGAAGAAGCCTCAGTGCTGCTGCTGCTTTCACACCAGCAAAGATTATGATTACCATGCAAGTCAGTGCAGCATTCTTTTAAATGTAACTTTTAAATTTTTTTACAGCTGGGGGAACATCGCTGCTCAGTTGTCGAGCTGCCTCTGTTGCAACATAATTTTTGTAGACGTGCTCACAGTGTGATATTTTCTGCTCTGCTTCTTTCTAATACTACACTGGAACATTACGAGCTTATAAAACTTGAGAAATACAAATTAAGACCAAAGATTTTTTGACGGTGTATGAACAGTGAGCAGCTTTATTTCTATATTACAGCTGCCATGTTTATTAATTGTACTGATCTCCAACAACACACTAGTCTGCTAGAAGCTATTAACAAACATAGTCCCTGTTGAACAGGCTTAGATTAGAACCAATGTGCTAGTTCATGTAATTGAGTGCCTCGTTTTTTTGTACAGCTTGTTTCATGCAAGAGATTTTGCTTGCTCAGCCCACCATTAGAAGGTTTATGATGGTATATTAAAAACATGGTTTGTGCTTTTGATATACAGGGTTTCTGACTAGGGTGTGTGCATGCAGTGATCTGGACTAAAAGCCAAAAGCATCATGAGGAGAGTGTTGGTATGAGTTGGCCTTCAATGAGTTGCATAATCCTCAGTTCTTCAAACTCAGACCCCAGATGTTGGACTACATCATCTCCAGCCAGTTTAGCCAATGGTCAGGGATGATGGGTGTTGTAATCCAACAGCATCTGTGGACTCAAGGCAGGCATGGACAGACCAATGGCGAAGGGAGATTACAGGGTTCAATGAAAGAAGATTTTGTGTGCAAAGTAATGGGTCTGAACAATACAGCCTTTGATCACACTGAAATAATGAGATCTCTTAGCAAATGGGTGCATGCGGTTATAAATTTTACTGTGTGACAGGTGCAACTAATAGTCTCATTTGTTGTTCACATTTTTCTTTGCAGACATAGATGAATGTCGCTATGGTTACTGTCAGCAGCTATGTGCCAATGTACCAGGCTCCTACTCCTGTACATGCAATCCAGGATTTATCTTGAATGAAGACGGAAGATCATGCCAAGGTACCGTTTGTGCATGAGAGAGAGAAGACCAGAGAGCACAGTACTTTTTAAGCAAAACATTCAACTGATAGAGCTTTCCGAATCTCTTTGGGAGGGTATTCCAGAGGGTTGGTATAACAACTGAAAAGGCCCGTTTCCATGGTGTTTTCAGACGACAATCCACTGGCTATGTTACGGCCAGCAGAGTCTCCTATGAGGGACACAAAGTCCAATGTGGCTTTCAGCAGGGGGGATATTCTGCTATGTAGCCTGGTCCCATGCTGTTTAGGGTTTCCATGAGTTTGGCTTGGGAGCAGCAACAGGCAGCCAGTGCAGATCACTAAGCACAATATCAATTTACCCACAGCCTTAAACACATTTATGAAGTTTAATGCATGGTGGTTCTTGCAATTTTCTTTTATGAAAGTCCTTGTTCTCCTTCAGCTGCAAAATCATCAAAGCTCTCTGGTCCTGGGTGTGGGGTGGGGGAAATCTCCTAGCAATATGCCCATAAAAAGTAATCTTAAGAGTTAAGGCTACAGTTTGTTACAGTCACAGACACGCCTTCATCCATTGCCCTTTCCCCCTTGTTTCATCCTGCTGCTTTTGGCCAGGTTTTGTTATGATTGAAGCAGTCAGAGTCTTAAAACTTGTAGATAAACAAGGAAGCACCTGCAGGATACACTTCAGTTTTGTTTGCCATATTGGTCTGAATCCAAACAGACTATGCAGAATCTTTTCAAGATGTCACAGTGGTAAATTGAACTTTTCCAGCACTGTAGCTTTGTTTGCATGTCAGCGTCTGATGTGTACTACCCCATGTTGCCCATTGAGTATAGTGGTTCCCTTGGCAGAGTAGCTCCCTCTGGCCTCGTGTACAGAGACAGTTTGGGCAAACTAGGAGTAATTCTTACTTGCCATAAAGTTGTTCCACAAAGAGAATGAGTAACTAACTCACACATGTCACCGCTTTCTCTCTAAAGTGGTGATTTGTACATCTCCCAGAAATGTCCTTTAGAACATCTCTCAGAGACAAAAGATCAGCTATGTACTACAGCTGCCACCTGACCTGACCACAAGCTATGGTGGTTGTGGCTAATGGGAGTTGTAGTCCAACAACATCTGGAAGTCCCCATCCCTGCCTCAAGGGAAGAAGATACTCCAATTACTTTTCTCTCTCTTTTGTAGCCAAAATCATCTCAGTAGGTTTTATTTTTAAGAACTTCTTTTTCATTGCTGTAAGCCTTAAATAAACTAGAGCCTTGAAAAAAGTGATTGATACCGCTTTCCCACAGATGTGAATGAATGTACAACCAACAATCCTTGTGTGCAAAACTGTGTCAACACCTATGGCTCATTCCTTTGCCGCTGTGACCCTGGCTATGAATTAGAGGCTGATGGTATTAGTTGTACTGGTAAGTAAAAAGCTTCCTGAAACAGGGCTGTGTTCAGATGTCTATGGAAAGTCATGAGATTGTTTATCTGTGTGACATCTGACGGGAGGGCATTCCACAGGGAGGGCACAACTACTGACAAGGCCTTCTGCCTGGTTCCCTGTAACTTCACTTCTTACAATGAGGGAAACACCAGAACTCCCTCGGAGCTGGACCTCCATATCCAGGTTGGGCGATGGGAAGTGGAGATGCTCCATCAAGTATACATGGAAGGTTAGAGTGATGAAACTAGGAAGGGTTAACAGGAACATCTAATCCCACAAAATGTAGGACTCTGAGCAGTTATTTCCATTGGTTTCAATGGAGCATGTTGTTGTTGTTTAGTCGTTTAGTCGTGTCCGACTCTTCGTGACCCCATGGACCAGAGCACGCCAGGCACTCCTGTCTTCCACTGCCTCCCGCAGTTTGGTCAGACTCATGTTTGTAGCTTCGAGAACACTGTCCAACCATCTCGTCCTCTGTCATCCCCTTCTTCTTGTGCCCTCCATCTTTCCCAACATCAGGGTCTTTTCCAGGGAGTCTTCTCTTCTCATGAGGTGGCCAAATATTGAGGTGGCGATCTTAATTCCGGCTTGGGATTCATCCAGCCCAGCCTTTTGCATGATGTCAATGGAGCATACTCTCAAGTAAAGGTGCTCAGGATTGTGTGGGTATATGTATTTTGTTTACTCAGTGCCTCTTAACTGTAGAACCTTAGACTACACCTTGCTTGGCTTCCTGCAGGTGAACTAAAGAAGCATTTACAGTACACATGTTCTTGCCCCAAGTGTGTTGGCAGTGACCTTAAATCACTGAAGTCAATGAATTATATGCTTAAATTCATTTACTGCAACAAGGATTATATGGCTGTTTCTTGTGCTTTCATACTTGTTTCAGTTATGGAACACTTATTATACACTTGGTTTAATTTGAAAATGATTAGTTAAGCCTGTTTGTGTTCTGAAATGGTCTCCTGTGCCTAGTTAAATGAAGCTCTGGGAAAAACACATCTCCGAAAAATGCTTCCCCCCCCCCCCAATTTACCATAAGTAGATGCAACGCTGCCTGGCTTACAGTAAAAAGAACACTCAGGGTGGGTCTTACTCGGAGTAGACCTATTGAAATTAATGTACCTAGCTTAGTCATGTTCATTCACTTCAGTGGGCCTGCTCTGAGTTAAATCTAGCTGAAGACCACCCTCCGTTTGTGCAGACAGGGGACCTCTTTGGCTAGGGGTGAGGAAACTCGGGCCCAGGGGCTGAGTGTGGCCCTCCAGGCCTCTCCAACTGACCCTCAAAACTCTCCCCAAGTCACACTCCCTCTGCCTAGGCCATGCCTAGAAGGGATGCAGCTGCTGGGCTGGAAAAGGTTCCCCTTCCTTCAGTGGAGACTGGTTCAATAGGGAGAATGGGGCGCTGCCCCCTGACCTCACTCTGTCCCCATCCAGTTTCCACCTGCCTGCCTTCTTACTTACACCTAACCCAGGCGGTGGCACTGCCTGTCAACATCTTCCTCCTTAGTCCAAGGTTGCCTCTTGTAGGGAGCAGGATGGGGCAAATCTAGACTTAAGTCGGATCTGCCTGTCATTTGCTCTGGCTTCACTTCCTGGTGGCCTCTCAGCCATCCACCTCACCTGTCCCGTGAGCACCAGCCACCATGGCCTCCTCTGCCTTAGGTTATTCATCTGGGCAAGATTTCATTTTAAAGGGAAAACAGTACTCCAGACACAGCATTTGAGCTGGTATTTCTGCCTACAGTAGAGCTTTTTCAACATCATGATGTACTTGCTAAAGAATTAGTACACTCCATGCTAAACACTTAATTTTGGTACTTCTGAGGATCAGTTCTTAATTTGGCATATTGCTACTAGACATGCTCCTTTTTTCACCATCTGCCTGCTGCAGACATCACAGGAAGGAAAAAACCCAAAACCCAATGATTTCCCTAAGAGATAAAGCATGCCAGTTCTGGGATTAGATTGCCTAGTTGTCAAACTCAAATCCCCAAATATTATTTTGTTTGGTGTTGTTATTGCACCGAAAATTGCAAGGTCCTGTACAAAAATAGCGTTGGTGTTGCCTATACATTCCTTTGACCTCCTCTCCCATTAGTGTCAAAAGGGAATAAATCAGCTTGGCTTTTCTTCACTTTGGCTCAGCGTTGGAATTGCTTTAATCCTGTGGGCTTCTTCTGAATCTAAAGTTCGTGCACATCTCCCCAAATATACCAAATAAAATCTGGTTTCGATCAACGTTTTGGAAGTTTGCTTAGTCATCCTAGTATTGTGAAACCCTTTGCTGGCCTAGTCTGGCACATCTGTAGTGATTCTAAAATTGGTTAATGGCTGTAGATTATATAACATGATTTACACAATCCAGCAGCGTTACAAGGGGCAGGGCAGCATCAGAATACCTTATCTAGGAAAGGACAGTTTTAGATAGGCAGCTTCCCAATGTGGGCCAAGAGTGGCAGGGGTGAGCATACAAAGCATGAATGGTACATAGGTGGAGAGCTCCTTTGTCTCATAAGCTACATGGTGGATAAAGTCAGCTTGGCTTGCCACACAGGACTGGTTCAGGAAGTGATATATGGCAGGGAATATGATGTGAGGGTGATGGGAGATGGGCTGCCCTCTGTTTGTTTAGGTGGAATTCAGGTCATGAGATGGTCCATGGGTTGCGGCCTCCAGTGAAACTCAAGGGCAACTTAAGAGGGTCAGTAAGCACCATAAAACTAGTGTTATAGAAAATGAGTTGAGAAACATAGGTTGAACCACTTACTCATATTGGCAAGTAATGGTCTGAACCTATCACCAATGAACTGCTAACTCTTCATAATCCCAAATTTACAGATATGGATGAATGCAGCTTCTCGGAATTTCTTTGTCAGCATGAATGTGTCAACCAGCCAGGTAGTTACTACTGCTTCTGCCCTGCTGGCTACGTTCTTCTGGATGATATCCGATGCCAGGGTAAGAACATTTTGCCAGCTGTTTTGTTTTTTTTTTAAATTTAAAAACAAACACAAAAATAAACATTAACCTTTTTCTCGAAATAATAGTTAATGAAGCAAAGGATGAACATAAGGTCTAAGCAATTAGAAATGCACGTTGGGAGCTATTATGCAACACTGCTGAACACATAACTATGTGTGTGGTGTCATTACAGTTCACAAGGTTCTTGGCCTGTGCAACCATTCTCCAGTGCAGTTAAGGATTACACAACAGGTCCCATGCTATTCCTTTTTTTCTGCTCCAACTGTGAAGAAAACGTCAAATCTCCCAATGACCTTAATAGAGAGAGTTGACTCCATACTAAACATGCTTGTTTACTACCAAATTGTGGACAGCAGTGAACTCATTAAAATACCTTACCAAGCAACCAGTTCTTCTGGGTGAATATAGCATTCCCCCCTCTACCAAGCATAATTGGAAAGTGTTGTTTGGATCCAACATAGCAAGAGATAAGCTCAGCAAGTTCTCCTCTCAACCTGTGCAGAAATGCCGTCTGTACGTAGCTTAAGTCCTCCAGACAATCGGCTGCGCCTGAGTTACAGGCCCAGATGGTGAAAGGTCAGTCAGTGTAAATAATGTAATGGAAAGTGCAGCATCAGTCAGAGAGGATGTTGCTGGGTCCCACAGGTACATCCTGGTTCATGCTAAAATAATTCTCCAACACAGTTGCGTATATGCTTCTTTGATAACACAGAATGAAGCAGTTATGAAGAAGCCTTATCAAGTATGAACCAGTCATCACAGTGCCTTAGCTCACACCAACATTCTCCTTCAGCACACTGATTACATTGGTGGAAAAACAAACATGGAGCATGGCCAGTTGAATTACATGGCTAGGTCACTGTTGCCCCACTTAAAGGAGAAAAGGTAGTTGGGGGCCATAATGAAACCTCCTGAACAAACCCCCTAATTCCCTTCAATTTTTGGTAGATCACACACCACTCAACATAGCTTTATCTCATAATTCTATAACTCCTTGAGGAGACATCACAATGAGTTTTAATTACGTGCTTGCTTTGTTGCCCTGTGTTTAGGGTTTGAGAGTTTTGACATGATCTGCAGTGAATTGTATGATCTCACATTTGCAAGAAGCTGAGCCAATATTCATTTGCTGTTCCTTCGTCCTCTTCTTTGGGTACATTCAGACATGTCAAAATATTTGGGTTGATCCCCATATATAGATATATAGATACACACACACACACACACACACACACACACACACACACTCAGAACAACCCTGTGAGATAGATTAGGCTGAGAAAGTATGACTAAAGTCACTCAGTGAGCTTTGTGGGTAGAGATTCAGTCCCTGAAAACACTCTAAACACTACAGTACATCCTACTGGACATTATACATGGGTAGCATCTTGCAAGACTCTTTGAGATGTGTTTTAGTTAAATAGTATTCTGTGCCGCAAGTGCTATGGGGTTAAAACACTTATTAAAATATACCAATATTCATTTTATTTTATTTTTCATTTTAGATGTTAACGAATGTGACGTTGGGAACCACACTTGCACCTTGCAACAAACGTGTTTTAATGTCCAAGGAGGATTCAAATGCCTAGACCCAATAAGGTGTGAGGAGCCTTATATCCTGATCAGTGAAAAGTGAGTAATATCTTCATAGAAATAGGAGGATATTTACCTTCTTCAATAGGCATGTGCTGTTTGGACTTTCTGCCGCTAGCTTTGTGTTACACCATTCAGATTTTAGGGATCTTTCTCTGATTCCTCTTTAGGTGTAGGCATGAAGTGAGAATGTAACTGACAGAAAACTGGAAAAATGGGTTTCACATGGCTATGCTCATCAAGAAGCTAGAACTACCTGTGGCTCATTGTTGAGTGCATACTCAGTGGCAAACCCAGGTCTATTGCTGTGTATCTGGCCCTTAGCTTAAATAAAAATCTAACTCTTAACGGCATGTATCCCCTCCTATAATAGTACATTCAATATGCAGAATCCTTGTGAGGATAAAATGAGTTGTAGACCTTCCCTGACCTCATGGCATTCTTTATTCAGTCTACATATCTCATCACTCACTTCAAGTCCGCTCCCTTCTACATAGAAACATATGAAACTGCCTTTTATGCAGAGTCAGGCCATAGGTCCAGCTAGGTCGGCATTGCTGCAGAAGTGCTTTGTTGAGTGCAGCCACTGCACTAGCTTTCTCACACTGGTGGGTCATGGTTGTTTACCTGGACAGGTGAGGGAAGTTGGCATGGCTTCCAGTGCTCCTACAAGTGAATCTGCACCACACCAGCCACCTCCCAGCAAGCAACAGCAAGCAACTTGCCAGGAATCTAGCAGAGCATCTTCACCCCAGCCAGTGAGCTGCTTCTGAATTACTGATAGCCGCTCTTTGGGGTCTCCCAGCCATATCTGGAGATGCCAGGGATTTAATCTGGCACCTTCTGCATGCAAAGCAAATGTTCTAAAACTGATGTCCCTTTCCCAGCTTGTTTTAGTCACAGCATGGTTTACACACAAGAGTTTTCAGCAGCAATAGGTTCTGCTTCTCCTTGATCCCACATTATTCCTTTTTCTATCTGCACTCTTGAGTCCATCATTCCTGCCTAGCCCCTGATGGAGATGCAGAGTGCTCCTTCCCACTCATCAGATGATAGGTGCAATGAGCAGGGAAAAGGCAATATTGGTCCCATTCTGCATCAGGCCCCCTTGCTTGCAATTTGTGTGGGCAAAGCCTGCACTTAAGGTAACAGACCTTACCAGAGCCAATGTATTGCCTTGTCTGCTCCCAAGATGATGTTATAAGAACTGCTTCTTAGCTTCTTTTAACAGTAACAGGCACAAAATATAAAATCCCTTGTCAGGCCACCAGGTGGCAAAAGACTCAACTGTATTTCTAGTTACGCTAGAAATACTGTATGCTTATGAAGAAATAAGAGTAGGTCTTATTAGTCATTCAAAGGTCTTCAAAGCTGAGCTGTCATTCAGTGCTATTCCATAGAGGATGTTGATGGTACATTGTTTGTGTGCCTCTCTTGATTCAAAACAATGCATTTAAGGTTTAAGAACCCAAGTATAAATGGTATGTGCATATTAATTTAGGTCTTGTAAACTGTGGAATATCGGTCAATAAACGGATTGATTTAACTGTTATAAACTGGTTAATCTAACAGGTGATTGACTTCACAAATTTGTTGATAAACGCTTGTAACACAGCAGGGTGTAGATTATAAAACAGGTTATAGAGAAAACTGAAGTTGAGGATGCAGAGGTTGTGCTATGCATTCAGATACTAGATATCCTTTCTTGCTAAGCAACACAAAACAAATTCTCTTTGGAAATTTGCTCAATGTCAGACATAGCAGCAATAATAATTAGTAGAGTGAATAACTCATTCAGGAAAACATATGCCATTATAAATGTGCTAATTTTCAGAGTACTGCATGACTCTCCGTTGTTTTTGGTGGCAATACTACTACTAATAGTAACAATTTCTGTTCTTCCAGTCACTGTATGTGCCCAGCTGAAAATCCTGGTTGCAGAGACCAGCCATTCACCATTTTGTACAGAGACATGGATGTTTCAGGGCGCACTGTGCCGTCTGATATATTTCAAATGCAAGCAACGTCCCGCTACCCTGGTGCTTATTACATCTTCCAGATAAAATCAGGAAATGAGGGAAGAGAATTCTACATGCGTGTAAGTGGGACAGGATCTTGCATGGCAGATTTCTTCTTCTTCTTCTTCTTTTGAATACTGTTTAAAACCTCAAGCTCTCTTTGTGTCTTCCACACAGCAAACTGGACCTATCAGTGCCACTCTAGTGATGACCCGTCCTCTGAAGGGGCCACGTGACATTCTCTTGGACCTGGAGATGATTACTGTTAACACTGTCATCAACTTCAGAGGAAGCTCCGTCATTCGGCTGAGGATATATGTATCGCAGTATCCCTTCTAAACCAAGAGTTTCATTGCTTTATTTTGTAAAACACACACACACACACACACACACACACACACACCCCACACAGCTGAAAAGGGCATTATCCCTTTTCTGCCAGAACTTTCTTCTCAGGAGTCAGTGCGTCTAATAACTCAACATGAAATCAGCATTAAAAGTTGCCATAATGGCTCATATTACAATGATGGGCCAGACCTCTTCCTCATGGTTTGAAACCACCTGAGCATTACATTGCCAATGGATTCCATAGGCATTTTTCCTGCAATGATCATGTGCTGTTAAGAATCTTTTGTCTTGCTTTCCAAAACTTTTTATACAGTGTGATTATAAGCTTAAGAAACTGTGAAGCTCTCCACCTTTATCCTGGCAATGCTGTTTAGCAGAATAACCAGAGAAACTGTGGGAAATGCTGGCTTTTGCTGTTCTGCTCTCTCTTTTTTCTTCCGCTAACACTTGTGGAATCAGGGACCCACCAACCGCCTTCTCAAAAATGTCTGTGGAATCATCAGTTCTGTCCCTGTTATGTGTCTCTATAGAAACTGTCCCTCATTCATCTTACTTCCCCCCCCCCCCATAGAATATTTTCCTTCTTTTCAGCCTGGGTTCTTTTCTGCCTTAAAACTTTGGGAAGAATCATGTAGTCACACATGGCCAAGAGAACTGAAGGGAAAGACAGTAGGTCAGTGATGGAGCATCTGTTTTGCAAGCAAAGGGTCCCAGGTTTAATCCCCAGCACCTCAAGGTAGTGTTAAGGATACCCTCTGCCCTGTCTAAAACCCTGGAGTCATTGCCAGTTAGTGTAGACTAGCCTTTCTCAACCTTGGGTCCCCAGCTGTTGTTGGACTGCAACTCCCATCATTCCTAGCCAGCATGGCCAGTGATCATAGATGATGGGAGTTGTGGCTCAAGAACATCTGGGGGCCCAAGGTGGAGAAAGGCTGGTGTTGACGATGTTGAGCCAGGTAGACCAGTGGCCTGACTCCATTTCCTATATGCTTGTTGAAGAGCTCACCCACTATCCAGGGCCATGTGCTTGTAACATGCCATAGACATTTGATGCTGAAATCTGAAAAATCCCACTGGACATGCTCAAGCCACTGAGTTCACATGTTGCATCTTTTTGGATCCCAGCCACTACCAGGCACTGGGTTTTGATGGAAAGATCACTAGTACTGTTTAAAATATTTATTGTAAAATATACAGGGCCTGGTTCTCCATTTACAATTTGGGCTCCGTTTATAAGTCTTGTGATTTATACTCACAAGACAGTCTGCCATAGATAAGGAGCTGCGCTATGAAATCAAACACATGCAGGTCACATTTCAGTAGCTCTGAGAAACAGTCTGCATTCTGAACACCAAGAAGAGGCTTCTTTGTTCTCTTCTGTTAGTAGGGAAAGCAATACCTAGGGTTGTGGCACAGTTCAGTGGTAAAATGCATACACCTGGGGGCAGAGGGAGAAATTCCGTTCAGTTCACATTTAAAAGCAAAACTTGCAAAATTGTACCTAGTGAAACAATATGCTGACTAAAGCACAGCCATCTTTCTAAATTCTCACTTCTCCAAATTTTGCAATGCAGGTCACACATCTCTGAATTTTGCCATGCTATTCCCCAGCCAAATAATGCGTACAAAAATGTGTATGCAGAGAAATGCATATATTAGTGAAAATGACATGCTAAAATGCATTGTTTTAGGAGGAAGTGTCTTGCAAAAATGTGTATATTAGGGAAGACAGCATACAAAAATGTGTATATTTGGAGAAATTGGCACAAAAATGCTGATGAATTTTCGTGAGTATTTTTTATTTAAAAAGTCACAGGCTGATGTGGAAACGTAGAGAACTGAATTTAAGGCTGGAAAATGAGAAACAGAGAGAAATAGAAATTGACAGGTTCGCTCATCCTAAGCGCACACAAGATCCCGGTTCAGTTCATAGCTCTCCAATTAAAGGATCTCAGGTACCAGACTAGGAAATATGTCTGTCTGGTGCCATGGACTGCTACTACCAGCAGCAGCTGTAGGCCATTTGGGATAGAGCATTTCCCTTTGGGGAAAGAGAACCTGTAGCTCTGTATGAATTACACACAGTGGCTCATGCCCCGAATAACCATTTTTATGTTGCATGACATTTATTTGCTTTGGGGAACTTTTTATTCCTTGATTCTTAACCATTTCAAGATGTGAACTATTTCACTCTCTTCTGTTTCTATTAGATTGCTTCCAAGGTTGAGCTGACATAGGATTTAGCTAATGTGAACTAGTTACACGAGCAATCCTAACCACATCTATTCAGAAGCAAGTCCTATTAAATCCAACAGAGTACTCCTAGGCAAGTGGGGTGACGATTGCAGCCTTAGTCTGCTCTCTTAATGCACATCTCATATAGCACATTTGCTCTGAATTTCAAAGGTAGCTCAGCAGCCAAGACAGCCAGGGCTAGGAAATTTAAGATACGAAGATATTGCCTGTGCCTCACCTGGGAATATTGTGGTTGTACACAATAATGCTCTTCTAAAATCCCAGCGAGGTACAGCAAGAAGATATTTATGGGAGCAAAAAACGAAACCAATTATATTTAGGATACAGCTGTGAATGTGGCTCCTAGTTTTCCCCCCATAAAACATGTTTTCTTCTTCCAATATTGTTTGAAGGGTTGATTTCTAGCACCAGTAGTGTAACGTGTGCACTTCTAAATAATTTCAACAGATCTACGTAACAATAGATAGTCATGGAATTTATTAATATTATTACTGTATCTTGCTTAGTTTTCACAAAGGTTTTTGAGAGAGGAATAGATTGTTCAGAAATTTAAAACATTAAATTGTTCAAATTTTTAAAATTCAAGTCATTTATAATGCATCTATATGCTTGGTTAGTTTTCCCTGTGAATATTCCAAAACCATTAGAAGTTGTGTTCTGGGCCCAGTTGTGTTTAACTTATAGGCTGTGCAACATGTTAATATTAGAGGATCAATCTCCATGTTTAAATTTCAGTGTTTTAAGCTCCACAAATTCTTCTGTGAAACAAGCAACCTTGTGTGGATCCAAAGAAAATATGGTTTGCATATCTAGGTTGGGACTCTCAATAACCTCTATATTAAATGATTAAATATGGTTTCATAGAATATACCGTTTCAACATAGACTGACAATTATTTCATGGGACCAGCACACCAAGAAAACATATATGTACATAACACATACACAATTTAATATTCTAGCTTGAATATTGCAATGAACAAGCTTGAAGTATTCTAAAAAGTATTTTTCAGATGGGTTTTTGCCACAATGGTGTCCCCAAGTATAGCACTTTATCCAACACAGGGGTGAAATGGTGATTATTCACTTACATGCAACGAAGGAAAGAGGTGACCTTGAGGCACCGGCGACATGGAGGCTGTTCCCCGTTCCCAGTGACCCGTAGCTGTTGAGAAGCCTGTTCCTATCGGAACCTCTTTCCCCAGCATTGCCCTATCATGGGTCCCGTCTGGATCAATACAATCCATTCTCACCATCAACAACACATACATCTTCATAATCCAGATGGTCATCATTTGATACTGCAATGTAACTAGTTTCCAACACAAAGAGGATAATGTAATTTACACTACATGTCTTTGGTGTTTCTGATTCATACACAAATCCTTACTAATTTGTATCTGAACCGAGCTTTTTTTTTTTAAAAAAAAATTCTTGCATTATTTTTTAAAGATTGTGAAGGAACACAGCATTGAATATGCCAATGTGGAAATGTCCTTTAAACTGTTTGTACAAAAAAAAAAAATCCAATAAAATTATAAGTGATTTTTTTGATGTGAACGTTTGTTTTTTTAAAAAAATGAAGTTACAACAATGCACAGGGGTTTATTACTTTAGCATTTCTTAGTATTGTTCTGTGCACCCCAATTTCCAAGGGACTCCAGAGTGTTCCAGAACTTACCCAGGGTTCAGTTTCCTTGGAATGAAGGTTAATGGAGACTGTGGTTTTTTTATATATATGTAGGTAATATATAGGATATATATTACACATATACACAACCTGAGCATAGGACGGGGTGGGGGGCTCACAGCATTAACACCCCCAATAGATCTTGCTTCTTCATTACAGTTTCAGGGAAACCCCAAGCTACAGCTCTGGGTCAGGAGACAGCAAATCACGCCTCTGTCTCCAGCTTCCAGCACCAGTCCAATGCACACATATAACACCCCTATCTTGGCCAATGTCAGGGACTGGACTGAAGAGGAGGGCAGGAATCACCCCCTCCTTGTCCTCTGCTTCCCGAGGTGGGGGAGGGGGAATCGCCCTCCCCTTCTCCAGTAGTTTCAAGAGAAGAGGGAGACAGGATTGAATTACAGCAGAACAAGGAGCTGCCAAGTTATGAGGCGTTAGGAGGAGGAGGGAGGGGAAGAACTGCCAGCAGAGATGTCCTTTGAGAGCACAGAAGCGCCACCATCCCTGCATACTCGCCGCTCGCTTAGAATTCAAGAGCAAAGGGCTCAACAACATTTGACTCCTGAGGCCCCCCGTCGAGCCACGGGCTGTAGCTGGGGAAAGACGTGGAGGAGCTCAGGGTGAGCAACGTCACTATGGAGTTAAGGACTGGATTCTTTGTCTTGCACCACAATGACTAAATAAAACCACAAATACAAATTTTAACCACAGTCCCAGCTTGGGTGCAAGAGAAAACTGAAGTTAGTGTAAACCAAGAAGTGAATGCTTTCATCTTCCCCTTGTACCTGAGGCGGTGTGTGTGTTTGCATCCAAGACTCAAGCACACTCATTCTCAGACATGTGATGTCTTAAATAAGATGGTCATGTAGCCTCCTTTACAGAGGATAGTCCTCTATTACTGAAATCACAACTGTTTGCTTTGGCTTTGGGCACTTGAGGTCCATTTTTTTTGAGGGGGGTACACTTTATATTTGTAATTTTAAGTTGTTTAAGGTGTTTTTAATATCATGTAATACTGTGTTTTAACATTAATGCTGTGTTTTAATTGTTGTAACCCACCCTGGGGCCACAGGGTGAAGGGCAGGCAATAAATTGTAATAGTAATAGTTGAAGGGCTATTGGGTCCAAGTGTGGTTTAAAGACAACCCCAAGAAAAGTGTTGGGCTTGAAGTTGCTCATCAACAATTAGCACCTGAATAAAAGTTAAGCAGGTATGCAAATCACCCGGTCACAGCTTTCCTCAGTAGGAGATGTATTGCATTTCTATTTAAATTATAATAATTATTTCTAAATATGATTCCATACACATAAATGAGCATGCACAAATATTAAGCAAACCCATATCCACTTTTCTATTGTAACCTGCGCCTTTAAACTTGCTAAGCGATTTATCTACAGCAGCAGTGGGGAACCTCTGAGGTCTCCCCATTTGCCCATTTCAGCCAAGCTGAGCATTTCTCAGTGTTGGGCAGGTAAAGAACTGGCTCCCTGACCAAAGTGGATCTGCAAAGCTCTGTATCTTTACAAGCCCACAGTGACTGTCAATGCCTGCAAAGGCACAGTGCTCTGCAAGCACCAAGAGTCAGCCAACTGTTGACACTTGCAAAGCCCTGTGCCTTTGCCCACAAGGTTTGATTTCAAACTGCACAGGCAAAGAAAAATACAGTATGTCAGCTTATGTCCCCCGATGTCCACCTGTGAGAATGATCCATGGGGCTTGGGGAAAACCTAAGGATCTGGCCCACCAGTTGGAAATCTCCCCCCCCCCCCCAATCTAGAGATGGGGTAAAGAGGTAGCCAAGTTTGCTGATGATACCAAATTGTTCAGGGTCGTTAAAGCAAAAAGAGATGGCAAGGAGCTTCAGATGGATTTCTTCAAACTGGATGAGCAATAAAATGGCAATTGCAATTTTTTTTATCATTGTGATTATCTAATACCATGTAAACAAGTGTAAAGTGTTGCATATTAGGGGGATGGGAATCCTAATTTCACATTTACACTAAAGAGGTTTGTAGTGACTGGCCATATATGAAATGCAGGAGTCATACTGGATAACTTGATGAAGAGGACAAGTCAGTATGCAGCAGCTGTGAAAATGGCAAATTCCATAATTTCTTGGATCTCACAGTACTAAATACTGGAAGAGAAAAATCCAGTCTGTCTGCATGACAGATTCACCACTGAATTCTTTTCCAATGGAATGCTCCCCTGTGAAGGTTTACTAGCGTAAATTTGGAATGCTGTATAGTCTTAATCACACAGACTACTAAACAAAACCAGCTCATACGTCAGGTTGTGTTTTTTTTAACCACTCCCCAGCTAACTCATATGCGTGACTGTGGTAACACATGTCCTGCCAACATGACATTCATTGGGACACATTAGACTTGACAAGCTATTCACAGCGCTGATAAGGATCTTTAGCCATTTCAAATACAAATGAACATCTCTGTTGCAAGATTCAAGTGCCACCCATGTTTCACAGAACTTCCCTGTACTGCACAACAAACAGATTAATTCAGAAGCGTGCCCGTGCCGAAAGGTGCCTTAATAAAGACAAGGAGATGCAGAACCAGATGTTCTAAGTAGCCTCCTCCAGGACATATGACGACTGACTTATTCTCATGGCAAAAAAAGGTTGAAAGTTGAATGCCTCTGGTGATAAACCTGTAAAGTCAGTTTCAGCTCTATAAATAGGTATGGTTATCAAAGGCTCCATGAATGTTTAATGTGCTTTTCAACTTCGGTGAAAGTAGTTAATCTGTAAACTGGTGTAGTGGCTAAGAGGCTGAGCTGTGAATCAGAAAATCTTCCATTCAGATTTCACCTCTGCCATTAACTCGCCTGGTAACTGTAGTCTTAGACAAGTTTTTTTGCAATGTGGGGAATGATACTGATCTGCCTTGCGGGGATGCTGGGAGAATTACTGAGACAATGTACGTGAGCCTTGAATACTATTAATGTATGATGCAAATGCTAAGTTATTGCTGTTATTTTAAAACAATCATATCTTTAGCTTCATATTTATGTTTGAGGGTTTTTACAGTTTGCTGTATTACAATTCAAAATTTCGCAGAAGAGCGAAACACTGAATTCTGCAAACTGAATAAATTTTGCAACTATCTACAGTATACTATTCTATTTTGAGAATAGTATAAAGAAACTAGATCCTTCTGTGCTCAACAGGTACCGTATTTTTTGCCCTATAGGACGCACTTTTCCCCCTCCAAAAATGAAGGGGAAATGTGTGTGCGCCCTATGGGGCGAATGCAGGCTTTCGCTGAAGCCTGGAGAGCGAGAGGAGTTGGTTCGCACCGACCCTTCTCGCTCTCCAGGCTTCGCGCAGCTCTCCACATGCCGTGGGAGCCCGCGCCGGGCTCCCACGGCTTGCGGAGAGTTGCCTGCATGCTGAAGCCTGGGCACGCTGAGCTCAGCGCGCCCAGACTTCGCGCAGCTCTCCGCAAGGCACTGGGCTCCCACGGCTTGCGGAGAGTTGCCTGTTCTGGGGGCTGGGGTCGGGGGAAGCTCGGGCTTCCCCCGCCCCAGCCCCACGCCTGGGGGGAAATAATTTTTTCCCCCTTTATTTCCCCCCCCCAAAAAACTAGGTGCGCCTTATGGGACGGTGCGTCCTATAGGGCGAAAAATACGGTAACTTACTCATTTGTTGTTGTTCCTTTAAACTATCTGGAAGATCCTGGCCAAAAGTGTTGATTGTTGTAAATTAAAATAACCAAATGTATTATTTGTTTTTCAGCTTAACCCATTCCTGGCATAAAATTTGTGGTTATAGTTAATGTGTTAGGGTTCGTGTGTGATTGGAACCACACAATGCCAGAAGGAGTTTCCCGTTTGAAGTTGTGATAAAACCACAAGCTGCTGCTAGTACCAGGAAGGCTGCTTCCAACGACTCCCCTCATGAACACAACAGTTCTAATTCTGATCCCCACCACCCCTCCACCCCACATTATAGAAAGGAAAAAGCAGGCATGTTAAATGCAATAATATATTTAATGTTCCTTGAGATGCTGCAACTTGCACTACTCGAGTGCTGCAAAAGTGCTGCAAACCCGCTTCAGCTCCAGTTGTGCTGCCATAAAGCATTCTGCAATAAAGCACTACTACTGAGAAATGCAGGAAGACACACAGAGCCAGTCCTCCTTTAAGGCTCCCAGAGAGGAGACTGTGGCTGCTTTGCTCCTTCCTGGTTGTTCTGCTGCACTAAGCCATGGACAGGCCTTGGTTGGAGCTTGTTGTTTGTCTGGATCAGAGGATAGGAACTTCATCTGGCCAGGGTGCCAGATCCTTATCTTCCCCACAGTCCGACAGTCCAATAACACCTGATGACATATTTTTGCTTACATTCTTTGTATGGGTTCAGCCATGCCATACCCAGCACGTTGGAGCTGATTGCCAGAGCTTGTACAGAGTCCCGTTTGGCACAGCGCAGCACCAGCAGGATGACTGGGGAGGGGGAAAGTGGTCACAATCCCTTCTTTGGGAACCCACACATTTGCTCATTCGTGTAAAGCCGCAGACTGACTCAGTATGAGGCAGTTTCCTATGTTCCTATGGCAAAAATCATAAGGGTGGATACAGACATATCTTCAGTTGAATGCTACCCCCAGGTAGAAAGGGAGAGGAGGAAAATGTACAGCTCATCCCTTTCCCCCTGCACACCTGTCTCACCCCACCCCTATGGCTGTTCCCCCAAATCTGCTCTGGAGGGTTGAATAACCCTATGGAACAGAATGGGAGGAGATGGTGCATGTGGCAAAGAGGATTGCCAAAAATCAACACCTCAAGCTTCAGCGCACAACAGAGCCCCATCTTTGAATGGAAGGAACCTTCTGCAAGCAGAGGGAGATGTCTGCACCAAATCTATTAAACTATCTTATTGTCAGGAGCTCACTAAGTTCTTTGGGAATTGTTTTAGAGAGGTCAGGGGTCGGGGAGATGCATTTAGGCAGGACTACCTTCCAACAGGTTGACTTCACCCCTAAAGGTGCACTCCTCCATGGTCTCC